AGTATTGGTTTCTATATGTCTCAAACTTAATCTTTTTTAATTCCCTTAATAGATTTTCAAATGTAGGTTCTCAGGATGCATGCAGCATGATTACTGAGAAGCACTTTGTATGCTCTGGAAAATTGCTATATAAATGCTGAGTAAGACTAAGAATGTCTTTTTAACCCCCCACCCCCATGCCTATGACTAATTATTTACTAGTTCCATCCTTTTCCTTGTATGCCCTATCAGAGACCTTTTTAAAAGAGGTGTTCTCATGAGGGCTTTCTGGGTGATGAACATGGTTCTGTTTGACTTACCCTATGCTCCCATTTCATTACTGAAGCGGGACTTGATAAGTCCAGAAGTTTATTTCTGTGAACATGTTCATATGAAAATTGAAAAAAGCTGCCCATAGTGCAGATTTGAGGGGGTGCTGGACAAAGTGCCCTCTGGTTGGCTCCCTCCCCTTTGGTGGGACCTGTAGGGCTTGCTTAGTGACCTTAGCAGTAGCAGTGTGCCAAGCAATGCAGAGTGGCTGGATGTTGTTGTCATTAAAATTTCCCAGTGCCCTGGAGCAATGCTGTCAGAAGCATTGTGGGAAATTAAAATGGTGGCTTAGAGAACAGGGCTGGGGAAAATAAAGAGAGGGGACAGCTGCTTGGGGTCCTGGAACTTGCCCAAGGATGTGGCTGCTGGTACTGGCCATAGAAAAATGGTTTTCTACCGTCATAGAAAAATGGTTGCATACATCCAATTTTGGGCAGTGGGTTTTCAGATAAAAATACCTGTTTAATGAGAGGTTAAAAGAACATGTCTTATGTTTTGTTCCTAGGTCATATGTCAACAGGTCTCAGATAAACATTTAGAGGAGGGCCGTTTGTATCCGCCTTTAGTTTCAATTCAAGATGTCTCTCTGAAAATTGCTGTGAAAGTAAGTACATTTTGCATTTCCTAATTAAGAATAGACTTATTATGATTTGCCAAAGACTGAAGGTGGATTTCATTATTTAATACATTTATATTTTCACCTTCTTCCAAGGATCTCAAGATAGGAATCAGTTTTCTCTCTTCCTTCCCCCTTTATCCTCAGAACAGCCCTATGAATTAGGTTGAGAGGAAGTGACCAGCATACAGTCATTTGGTGAGCTCCATGGCCGATTGGCAAGTTCAACCCAAGCTGTCCTAGGCCAATATTCCACTACACTGCACGACATATATAATTTCCCTGATGGGGTGAATAGCAGTTGCAGGGGTTTGGAAAAATGTCACTGGAGGAAAGGTTAACCAGTCCAAATTCACGAAAATGGAAAGGGACAGCAGACCATGGCTAAAACTCTAGTTTGGTCCTTGTGTAGTTGTGTCCTTGATCTTTCACCCTCTGGGCCTCATTTCCTTTTTATCTCCCAGGAGGTTGGTTTATTTTTATTGCTGAGCTGGATAGAGATAATCTTTCATGTAAAGATCAGTCTTTGTTGTCAGTAAGCTTCTAATCATGAACTCATTCCCTCAGGCTTATGTAGTAATTGGTTCCAACTGCATGTAGAAAGAGTTGTCATATTTCATCTCTCTTCAAGTTTTTAATATATATATTTTATAGATGTTAAAACACACTTATGCAAGTTTCTCTGCGTAAATTCTCCAGCATTCTTTGTTTGGCAAAAACGTTTGTGAACAGCTCTAGAAAATTTGTTTCGTTATAGGAATAATTTTGTTTAAGTTAGAAACAATAGTCAGTATAATTGATGGGTTTGTATTATCCATCTAGCTTCTAGTCTCCTGGTTTTTATCTGAATTGGAAATATTTAACTTTTAATACTCTCCAGCCTAATAAAGCAAAAAGACACACAAGAAACACTAACATTTGACTTCATCTCACCTTCATATGTAACACAGAAATATTTACAAGAACATATTCAGATATATTTTAGTAACCTACATTTAGAGGGATATGTTCTTAGATGTGAGAAAATGAATGCTTATTAACATGTATATGGAAAAGAAATGAGTATGCAACAAACTCCCATCAGTATTTCTGATCTAGAGTATTGGCGCTGTACCAATGGGAGGCAATTTCCTTCTCTATAAATTTAGCAGTTCTGATTAATTTTGAAAGCAAATTTCAGAGCAGAATATGTTGGGTTGATGAACTGGCATGACAGGTTTGAAGATTTTCTCTTAAGTCAGCTCATGTTTAGGTTTTCCGAAATCATTTTGGCTACAATAAATGTGTTTTGGTAAATTTATCAAGGTGCAGAGAATTGAATGCTTTCATACCTTGCTGTAGGGGGAAAGTATCCATTCTACTTTTTAAAAATGTACTTACAATGGATCCAAACTTGCCCCTTGTTTACAAAGAAACCTGTGCCTTGTGCATTAGAGATCTTTTTGCTAGAGTGACTATGAGGTATACTCTTAAGCATGGGTAGGCAAACTAAGGCCCAGGGGCTGGATCCGGTCCAATCGCCTTCTAAATCCAGCCCGTGGACGGCCCAGGAATCAGTGTGTTTTTACATGAGTAGAATGTGTCCTTTTATTTAAAATGCATCTCTGGGTTATTTGTGGGGCCTGCCTGGTGTTTTTACACGAGTAGGTGTGCTTTTATTTAAAATGCATCTCTGGGTAATTTGTGGGGCATAGAAATTCGTTCATTCTCCCCCACCCCCCCAAAAATATAGTCCGGCCCCCCATAAGGTCTGAGGGACAGTGGACCGGCTCCCTGCTGAAAAAGTTTGCTGACCCCTGCTCTTAAACATACTCTCTTAGAAATATGTCCCAAGGAAATCAGTGCCAGTTATGTCCACAGGCGGGGGTGGTGAGGACTGGGCTATAAAGAGCCAGTTCACACATTATATTACCATTTTTCATCTAGAAAATGAGGCATGTGACCATGGCAAACATGTATTCAAACACTTACCATATGTGAACACTCATCAGAAAGCCCAAATTAACAGCAGCTCCCTGTTGAGAATGCATTCTGTTACAAACGTGGGGTTGTTTCTCCAAGTGTGAAATACAATCCAACCAAGAAAAAGAATCTAAAGCAGAATTCATTTCAAGATGTATATTTTGCCAATCTCTTCCAGAAAATTGGGTGCATATTTTCATCTTTTCATGGCTAGATTATAGCTTCATTGGTATCAGTCTGATAAGAATCTAATACTTGATATCCAAAAATTGAACTTTCTTCATTATACACTACGCTACCTCTCAGGTCAATGCAGAAGTCTAACAATGAGGGATTTGTCTTGCTCTCTCAGATTGCAGAGAATGCCTACAGCAACAACACAGCCACTTTCCACCCTGAGCCAGAAGACAAGGAAGCATTCATCCGCTCCCAGATTTATAGCACTGACTATGAAAGCTTTCTGACAGACTCTTACACCTGGCCCCAAGAAGCCATGAAAATACAGACTGGGAACTTTTAACAGAAAGACAGCAGCACTGCAGCAATACTGGAAGCACTCAGATATTTGGTAGCTTTCAACTTTTGTCAAATCATAGCACAATTTGTCAGAACTCAGGATATATTTCTTTTCTTTTCTAGCAGCACTGAATACTTTTTAAAGCCATGAAATTTTGGTAGAGTTGTTACACTTCTTTCACTTTAAGCTAATTAATTAAGCTAAAATAGCACATGCCTAAGAGAATAAAAATCAATTTAGGCAGTTTTTAAATATTTCTTTTGAAGGGGCTCTGCTAAATTTACTACAGAGCAGTACTGTAGAAGCACATTTACAATGTACTTTTCATATACTTAGACATCTGTATGAAATTATGGTCATATATTACAGTTCTGCGCTTAAGTTCAGATGAAATTTTTTTGCAAACAAATGACAAAGCAATATATCATCAGTATGATCAGTTTAGAAGCGTCTCAGCTATTTCTTTTAATATTTTTCTGGTGACACCTATAGAAAAAGCAAGATAAAAAGCTAAGTACTTCTAACTATAAGTTTTTTCATGCCAGATCAAATGTTCCTAATCAAGGAAAAGTAGTTTGAGTCAGTAGTTTGCTAGGCATGTGCACATTCTTAACAGAGAAGCCATCCGGTAAACCAATGACAAAGAGGCATCAGTCAGGAAGGTTACTGGATGTTCCGTAGCGTAACTACTCATGCCTTAGTGAATGAGCATGTGAACTATGCAATGTCTGGTACAACATCCAAAAGAGGTGCTCATGTATCTTCTAATATATAGCCTTTGTACAGTTTGGGCCTGAGATAACAAAAATATTTTTTTGTGTGAACCTGCTACTACTTTGTGGCTCAGCTTGAATATCTGCAAACTTTAGTTAATGGCACTGGAAATTATTTGTATTTGAAGTGCTAGAGCACAGATGGACAACCTGAGTGCAGCCCTCTGTCTCCTACAACCTTGTCCCCAATGCATCCTTGGCATCTACTGTGAGCTACCAGTGGCGAAACAGGATTACTCAATTCCTGCCCCAACTGCTTCCTTTCCTTCATTTCTAGGCTGGGAAAAAAGGAGCCTCTTTCCCTCCACCCACCTTGGAAGGAAAACTGAAAGGAAGGTGTGTGAATGGGGGAGATGGCGATACAAGGGAAATGGGGAGTGAATGAATTGCTGTGAGTGCATGTTTGTGAGAAAAGGGATGGAACTGATGATGGCTTAAGGAAGGACATAAAAAAGAGGTGTGCCCACTCACTTTGGCCCTGGCCACTGCTAGTGCCCTCAACCATTTCCCCCTTCACCTCAAAAATATTGTCCACTCCTTCCCTAGACACCTTAGATTGTGGGGAACAATGCCTATCAGGATTGGACTTAGATGTGGCATTCATCTGGCTCAGTACAAATCAAGCCCCCTTACTCTTGCAGCCAATTTGAGAAGTTTTGCTCTGAACAAAATTACAAACTGATGTGCTAACTGTTCAAATACTAAACAAAGTTTCTGTGCGTGCCCTCTTAAGTTACTTGTCACATTCACTCATCCATACTTTTATTTTCTTGCGGCAGATTCATAGATGGATTTCATTTCTATTAACAGAGACAAGAAAATTAAAAACATAGCTTATTGTTAGTTGTCAGAACATTTGCCTTCAATGCCAAACAAGATCTGAAATACATGTTCACTTTGATGACCCTTAAGGAATTCTAGGAACTGTCCAAGGTCCATGTGATAGTCATTTCTCAGGCCGTAGTCACCATGGGCTTGAAACTGTAAATCTTCAAAAGTCTGAAAGAGACGTAGGTTATCCCCATTTCCATCAGTCTCTCTATTCTCGACATGTTTGCAGGAAATGTGTTTCCAGTTGGGATATCTAATAACGTGCCAAAATTCTTCACAGTTTTCTTTGACACCTTCCACACAAATGATTCCAGGCTTGCCAGTTAGGCAGAAACCAGTCAGATTTAATTTCTTTGCACAATCAAAAATCTTTTTCCTTAGTTCTTGTCTATAGATGTGGTGGCTGTAAATCCACATCCGGCTGAATAACGTTTTAACTGCGCTCTCCCTTGGCACATTTTCGCAGTGGAGTTTGCTGTTTTCTAAGTAGCTTATGCTGTTGTCTCGCAACCATTGCACAGCAGCACATACACAAAGTTCTCCTGGTTCCAAAGAAGCAATGTAAGAAGCGAGATCCTTGTTGAGCTGCAGTTGTTGCTGCCTGTCTACAGCACTTGATCTTGCAAAAAGGTGCGGTGGCACCTGGGGGTAGTCATGAGGTAGGGCTACCTGCAAATTTATTCTTGCCTAAAATTAAAAAGCAAACATATGTTCACAAAACTTTCCAGTCTTCAGTGACTGCTTTGCATGCAGCACATCACAATACAGTCATACCTCGTTACGTTTGCATCAGGTTGCGTCCCACAGCAAACCGGAAGTACCAGAAAGGGTTACTTCTGGGTTTCGCCGCATGCGCAGATGCGCAAAATGACGTCACACGCATGCACAGAAGCAGCGAATTGTGACCCGTGCAGACGCGGGGTGCGTTTTGCTCATGTTGCGAAAGGGGCTCCGGAACGGATCCCGTTCGCAACCAGAGGTACCACTGTATTGTAATTTAATACAGAAGTGACTAAATGAAGCATGAATGGCTGAGGCTAACTCCAGCTGTGGGCATGCAATATAGTACACTGGCTTAAGTTGATATATTGGCTCAATACAATACATGTTGGCTTTATTGAAGGTAGAAATGCACAAATATTTAATAATTAAGTAAAATATTATGTTTTTTAAAAGCAAAGAAAAACATCCCAACCCAAAACAGATTATCTCACCTTTGGTTCATCAATAGTAACGGCAACTGAATATTCAATTATATGTGGTAGATTCTCACTTGTATTGTTCAGATATTTCTGAGCATTAAGGAAATTATTTTCATCCTGAAGAGTTATTTCTCCTTTATCAGGAAACATAGAAAAAAGCATTTCTAATTCTGCCATTTGAAGTTCAAGTCTTTCTTTTATTATGCTGGACATTGTTACAGATGTGAAGTCAGCCACCTGCAGGTGGGAGAGATCGTATAAATAATGTTGTTCTTATGTCTACTAATATTCTCTCCCACCCACCCCACAATACAGATGTAAAGTAATTGATAAAAGTCGTCCAAACCGGAACAAAATAGTTTTGAACAAATGAAACACTCCTTTAACTTTGTGATAACAATGAAGCCTATAATCCTCAACAAGATTTAGGTTTTGGGTCCAAGGAGTTCAAAGAGACTAGTTGCACAAATAAAACCAAGGCCATAAATGCATCCAGTTCTAACATTAAGAAACACATGAAGTGAATTACAATGGATATGAAGAATCTCAACAAGATGTGGAAGCAGCTGAAGACCTAGTGCTAATATTATTATTGATTCATGCATTCAATTTTGCACGGGTCATAAAATTACAAACATTAAGGACTATCCAGTTTCCACAGTGAAAATCATATCCATGCAAAGTATCCTGAGTGTTCTGTTTGCAGTGAAAGCACATTGTACTTTTAAGTGGTTCTCTTACTGCTTTCTCTTCCTTCTTAATGTATTGTCTTTGGCTGGCAGCTAATAACAGTTGTTGGCCAGGTTTGCACAAAATGGTAAGTCAAACTATGGCACATTGGGATCTCATGAATGTGCAGGTTCTTGGAGATGAGCTTGCGGCCACTTTGCTCCTACCTGTTCATTTTTGCTGCCAAGTAAACAAACCTAAGCTAGAGATTGAGGAGGGAGGTTAACAGCGAGTCCCAGTTCAGATGACACACTAACCAAAACCTTGGCTTAGCTCTGTACACCTTGGCAGTATGCCTCTGAATGCCACTTTCTAGGAATCATTAGAGTAGAATGTGTTACACTTAGGTCCTTTGTATAGGCATCTGGTTGCCCACTAAACAGACAGGATGTTGGACTAGATGGGCCAATGGCCTGGTCCACTAGGCTCTTTTGTTTTAAGCAAAAAGGACCAGGGAGCGGCAAAGCAGCTGTAAGCTTATCTCCAGCAGCTGGTGCCTAGTTAAAGACGTCTTGGTTTAAAGTGTTGTTAGGAACTCAGATATATAAGCTAGGTGCCAAATGGCTCCTTAAACCAAGGTTACTGTCGCCTAAAGGGAATGTCTAGTTGCTATTTTTGGGCAAGATGGCTCTAGTCCTATTTTTCAAATGATGGATTGTCTGTGATGGCTTATCAGTTAAACATCTGGCTAGTTCATATGGCGACCTTCAGCTAGGTTAAGAATTTTGAGAACTTAAAAGTCTCTTGATCCAGGGACAGTCCACATATATATTGGCCTATTACTACCTCTTTTTCTCAATGGTGACATGGACCATTCATAACATAAGGATATTCTTCACAACCGTGAGCAGGGTGGTGGGGTAAGTGAAGACAAGCTTTAACAGTTAACTACAACGTTGATCACTGCTCTTGCTCAGGCTGCACAGAAAAAGCATTTTGGTTCCTGAAATTAATTCTGATTGTGCAGATAAAATCTAACTGATTCAATGATTCCCAGACATGCATCTCCAAATGGTGAAGATGTCAGGTGGCATCCTGGCACCCAGGCATCTTCACTTGGTTGCAAACTGCTGATAGTCAGGTACAATAGGCACCTGGAAAATTTCGAACACTGGTTAGAAGATATTACCATCCGCATTTGAGCAACATATGCCTCAAAGACCACTTTCAAGGTGGACTCCCCAAACCAGAGAAGTCAACTGATGGGTTTACCTTAACTTACATTAGTATTGTAAGCTGCTCACATTTGTTCTGAGAGTCCAATACAAACAATGAATGTTCCATAGAGGCTCAACTAGTGTGCTCTCCAGGCAGGTTTGACTCAGTTTTGTCAGGCTATCATATGTGGCTATGATAGTGACCCTTCACTTTAACTTGCAAATCCCACCCAGTGACTTGTGATGCAATCACATCATCACATAGTAGGCAGATGTTCTGTAGAAGGTAGGCGAGACCAAACAATAGCAGATGAAAACCAATGTACCACTTGCTTTTGTCAGCAATTCCCCCTACCCCAGCTGTATGATCTTTCTGTTTTTATGTGGCAGTTCCAGTTGCAATTTAAAAATGTAAGATTTGCCCTTCTGGGTCAGATCAAAAGTCCATCTAATTTAGGAATGGGAGTATGTAGCCTTTGAGGTGTTGTTGGACCAAGGCTCATCAGCCCTAGTCAACCTAGCCATGGTCAGCAACAACAGATGTTCAGTTCTGCAACAACTGGAAGGCCCCAGGTTACCTATCCCTGAGCTAATGAAAATTCTCTCTGCTGGTGAACAACCAAATGTCTCAAGAAGTACAGTACAAGGTATTCACCTCTCTTTTAGACCTCACAGTATATGCAGGGTTAGTAATCTATACCGTGTCCAGTTAGAGTACTCCGCCCCTTCACCTTAGATCCAACATGTATACAATCCGTACAACTGCATACATAAACAGTTCAGGTGTACACTTGTAGTTATTAAAATATAACATTCAACTCACACCAACTGGATACCTTTATGTGCAACAGTGGAACACTTTCAGTGTTCAGTGGAACACCTTTATGCGCAACAGGGCACACTTTCAGACAGAAACGTGTACGCACACAGCTTGGAACGTTCAGCTTAACGTGTGAACAAGGTTCCAGTGCGGAGAAATCACGTGGTGCACACTCGGCGCAGTCCCAAAACTGCTAAGCAGCAGGCTGCCCTCTCTTGAGAGCCCTTGCCGTGGAGGACGTGGGATAATAATAATTGCTGAAGCCAGGCAAGAGGCTCCACCAGCGGCATCTGAGAGCGGGAGGCATCGGCAAATCCTCCAGCGGCCATTACCCGCCCTTACAGCCGTTGGTGCGGAATTAAAATGGCTCCGCCCCCTCCCTCCAATAAGCACGCGGCGGAGGACGTTGCGAAGCCCATCGAAAGGAACCGGCCGCCAGATCCCTCAACACCGGGAGCGAGGCCAATCAGCCCACGCTCTTAGGGACGAAGCGTGTGATTGGCTCGTTCCTTCAGAGGCAAAGGGAGCGCAGCGTCTCGCGGCGGGGACCCTCCGAACCAACGTACCTCTTGGGAGGCCCGCGCGTGCGAACTACCACGCCCCCCCTCTCGCGCGCATGTTAACACCTGAGCAGCCCCAGGAGGCCAAGGCCTGGCGACCTTCCTGGGCATGCGCGTCGCTAAAGGAGGGCTTGGGCTTCGCGCGCGCGAAGGGAGCCTCAGTGGCAGGCGCAGCGGAGGGAGGTTGGAATTCAAATTCTGTAAGAACCGTGTAGCCTGCGGTTAAGATACGTTACTGTTTCATTTTATTTTTTCACCCTGAGCTCACTGGGAAGCCGGGCCTGTTCGTTTTAAAAGCCAGGCTTGCCGCTTTCCTAGAGGGGACGAGTAGGCCCACCCCGAGCACAGCCTTACTTCTGAGGAAGCCCGCTAAAGGACTGGCCAAGGCTGCCCCGACCGAAGCTCGCGGGCGGGTGGGCCTGGCAGGGCGGCAGCAGGCGGTCGCTCTCTCTCTCTCTCTCTCTCCTGCCAAAGGCCCACCTGCCGGCTGGAAACCGCGGGAGGGGAGAGGGCCCTTGGGCTCCAATCCTGCTTGCGCGCTTCCCACAGGCCTAATCCAGCGGGCTGCTCTCGCTGTCCTTATGGCGCCGCGCGCAACCCGCTTTCTAGCCCTGCGCGGTGCAGTTGCGCGTCTGCCAAGGCGGATCCAGCCAAGCCCGGGAGAAGAGATTCTTGCCACGCTCAGCTGAGGAGAGAGGAAGCCCCGCTTGAATGCCACGAGTCCAAGGAGCCCGAGTTACGCGCCGAGGCTGCGCGGGTGGAAGCGGCTCCACCCCGCTCAGCGCTCGCTTCGCTCGGCCCAATGGGAGGCGGAGACGCCCGAAGCCCCGCCCCTGCGGCTGCCGGCGAATGCGATAGGCGCAGCCGGCGAGCGAGGCTGCTTCGGAGCTTCCCGGAAGGGCGAGTTGGATGCTTCCGAGGAACAGCCACGTCCGCTCGCAGAACTCCTCCAGGGCGTTGCAGGTCGGTAAGTGGGGTGGCTTCGTTTGTTTGGGCTTGTTCAAGGCGGTAAAAAGAAAGGTGTGTCCCCAAACTGGGTGAGTGGGCGTTAAAACGGTAGATGCCGTTTAGCCTAAGCAAGAGTTAAGTAATGCACTTTGGGATAATTATATTTGCTAGGTTTTCTGAGCTGGCAGTGACCGACCAGGAAGGAGTTGTTGGGCTTGCAAGTGTGAAGCCCCCCGCAGCGTGCAGGAGGTATGAAAAAAAGAGAATTCCATATTAGAGATCATTATAAAAGTCTATAGTGTGACAGTACTTGGAATACTGTGTACCACATCTCAAAAAAAATAAATGATACCATAGTCCTGGAAAGGGTTAAGGAAAGGGCTTTCAAAATTATCAAGGGGCAGGAACAACAACTCTCTGAGGAAAGGTTGCAGTTTTTGAGGTTTCTTGTTTAGTTGGGGGGGGGGGGACTTGTGGTGTAGGATTGAAGTTCAAAGCCACCCTCTGGTGTCACTGCTGCTTACTTGGACATAGGTGGGTGGGGCACAATGGAAGCAAGGTTGGTTTTGTCGGGATGTACCAGCTAGATGGTCATCATGACTACTAGAGTCATAGGCTTTTAAAAGCTAGCTTGTTTAATTCCTCCAGGTGGGCCAACTACCCTTTCTACACACACTTCCATTGCTTAAGGTAGATGCATATTGCATTCCATGCAAATACATCCCTTGGTGGTTCGTGATAAGAAATTGCAATACTGTAAAATACAAAGTAAACCTACAGTTATAGCAAAGGTACCTCCAATATCACCACAACTACAACTAATCACTCTGAAATAATCAGTGTTGGAATACAGATGCTGTTGATGTTGCATTTAGGAGTGTGAAAACAGAGAGTTAACTCTGTCTTGTAACCAATTTCTTCCAACCCCTGATACTTTGGACTGGTTAGTCTGAGATAGTGGGATAGTTAATTCAGTGTGCTAGTCTATGTGCAAGCCAGGAGGTGCTGTTGTTTAGTCGTGTCCAACTCTTTGTGACCCCATGGACCAGAGCACGCCAGGCACTCCTGTCTTCCACTGCCTCCCGCAGTTTGGTCAAACTTATGCTGGTAGCTTCAAGAACACTGTCCAACCATCTCTTCCTCTGTCGTCCCCTTCTCCTTGTGCCCTCCATCTTTCCCAACAACCTGATGCTGTTGTGCTATCACTTCCATCATCCCTGACCATTAGCCATGTTGACTGGGACTGATGGGAGTTGGATTTCATTATCATCACCATCATAGTAATAATAATTTTATTATTTATACTTTGCCCATCTGGCTGGGTTTCTGTAGACACTCTGGGCGGTTTCCAGCAAAATATAAAAACATAATCAAATGTCAAACATTAAAACTTCCTGATACAGGGCTGCCTTCATCTGGAAGACATCACTGGTATAAGCAAGTAATTGTACTTCTGTGCACACACGCCCTCTCTCTGTTTTTAAACTTCCTCATCTCACATAACTTATTCTGGTGTAAGTTAAATCCTATTATCTCCCCATCCTCCTGGTTTTGGTATTGCTGTCACAATATGGTTACCTGTAATGTTAATCATAGCTGTATCAATTTATTCTGCCTCTTACAGAGATGGATTTTGAAGCAGTTGCAAAGTACTCAAAGCTCCATGCCAAACCTCCAGGACTTACCCTTCAGTATGGAACAGCTGGTTTCCGTACCAAGGCAGAGGACCTTGATCACACAATGTTTTGCATGGGCTTGCTGGCCGTATTGAGATCCAAGCAGAAAAAATCCACCATTGGTGTTATGGTTACAGCCTCTCACAACCCTGAAGTAAGTGAATGAGTATTTCAGATAGGAAAAAAGAAATTGAGCTACAGATTAAGGGGGGGGGTGCTATACGGGTGCTGTGACTTAACCATTATCAATATAGTGGAATCTCTACTTACAACCATAATCCGTTCCGGAGGTCTGGTCATAACTAGAAACGTACATAAATAGAGGTGCACTTTTCCATAGAAAGTAATGGAAAAGTGAATTGATCCGTTCTAGATGATGAAAAACACCCCCTAAACAGCAATTTAACACGGATCTTACTGTCTAACGAGACCATAGATCCATAAAATGAAGGCAATAATCAATGTACTGTACTATAAAATAAATAAGACAGTATTGTAGATGAAAAAATTTAACTTTTTTCCCCTCTTACATGCACTGAGGGTGGGCGGGCTTACCTGACTACAAGCTGGGGGTGGGGCAAGGGTCAGTAAAGAGCTGATTCACTTCGGCCAGGGTCACTTTTTTTTCTTGCCAGGTCAGGTTCTTCTCTGGACTTCCTCAGGTTAGTTCCTTGGCAGGATTTGGGGCTGCAGTGCGCCCTGCTGTGCCTCTTGCAGGCTGCACCTCTTCCACAGCCTCATGGGTGGGATGGGGGCCCTCTCCCCGGCAGCAGAGGCCTCAGCACTGCTCCGCAGCCAGTGGGGTGAGCTCCGGCAAACTGGAGGTCTCTCCCTGGCGGTGGATGCCCCAGTGCTGTTCCGGGCTGCCGGCAAGGCCTCTGTTCGTAGCTAGAGGAAAGTTCATAAGTCAAAGCACCTACTGAAGGTCGTAACTGGAATTGTATGTAAGTATAGCCGTACGTAAGTCGAGATTCCACTGTATGCTTTTAGAACTGTAGAACTAAAAGGATCATTTAGGCTGATTGCTCTTTTCCTAAGTCAAGATTGCCTATGTTTAAAGAAGCTTTTACATTGATGTCTTGTCTTTTTCCAAGGAAGACAATGGTGTGAAGTTGATTGACCCATTGGGTGAAATGTTGGCACCTATCTGGGAAGAGCACGCCACACACTTGGCCAATGCAGAAGAACATGAATTGCAGGGAGTGCTGACTGACATCTGCCAGAAGGAAGCTGTAGACCTTCAGCAGGAGGCCTTCATTGTTATTGGCAGAGACACCAGGTAAAAATAAACCTGATAGACATCTTGGGAGTGACTAGGTAATATACACATTAACTCTTCCTGTATATTTTTTCAAAAATGTAGGTATCAGGGCAAAACTTTTTCAAGGCCAATATATGAATTAAACCACAATATAAAGCTAAGATATTAAAATAAATATATAATTAAAATATATAAGATATAAAAATATACTGCACTAAAACATCAGCTGTTAAATAACAGTTGGAAAGAAAAATGTTTTCAGGGTTTGTTTAAAGGCCAATAAAGTAGAGGTCACTAAGGGAGGGAATTCCACAAACGTAGAGCAGTTGTAGAAAAGTCCCTGTCTTGTGCACCTCCAATCTAATGATGCCTGTCGGTCTTTCCATGGATGTTCCCCCATACAACATTTTAAACATTTCTATTGGATAATGCAGCCACCTTGCTGAAGCCAAGCAGATTTGGGCCGGTCATGGTTTGGATAGGAGACCTGTGTAGGAGTTCTGTGGTGGAAGGAAAGTGCAATATAAATGTCCTAAAGAAATATAATTAACAAATATAGCATAAGGCAAATATTTTTAAGTTGCTAGGAAAGTTCCGAGTATGTCCTATCACATCCCTATCTCTTTGGCTGTTGTGATTTATTCCCTCTAGAGACGTAGATCTCACTTGTGTCCTGCATGTTGATATTGTTTGTCTGTATTCATGTGTCAAAAATGAATTGGGGTAAACTGGTGTGCTTGGATAGCATTTCAACAAAAGTAACCTTATTCCTGTGTCTTGCATCCAGATCTAGCAGTAAGAAGCTTTCACAATCAGTGATTGATGGCGTGTCTGCTCTTGGAGGTCAATACCAAGGTATGCCCTGTGCTTGCTTATTTAAGGATTGATGATGTTCCCCTTAGATCCATAGTGGTTGATAGGAAACAAATCAGTGATGATGTATTTCATTTAAAGCATTTTTTTAAAATCTCTCTTTTCTGCACCTTTACTTGAGCAAATGTAATAAGGTACTGTGAAATATGTCCCTGAAGCTTAATAGTGTCAATCCTTGACCAGTGTGTATGCTTTAAACTAGATTATGGCTTGGTAACAACACCACAACTACACTACATGGTCTGCTGTCGAAACACTCATGGGAGTTATGGGACTGCAACCGTGGAAGGTTACTACCAGAAACTCTCCAAGGCTTTTGTGGAGCTTACAATGCAGGTGAAAGAGCTGTTTTTCAAGTCTTGGCTTGCATTCTTGAATATACTTGATGTAATAGTCCTAAGACCCCCTCTCTGCCCATATGAACTTCCTATGAAGAATGGCAACAGGCTCTTCATTTGAGTGTCAACTCTATGCTGTTACGTTGCTGTGGACAAAGAGCAGGGCCTTTATAGTGTTGGCTTAAGTTCTTTAAATGCTTGCCCTAGAGCAGTTTGCTGTTGCTGGACCTTTCTTTCTTTTAGGATAATATTTTGATTTAAGCAAGCTTTTAATGCCATAGAAGTTAAAGGTGATCAACTGTGATTTTGTATATAAATTATTCAAAATGGTATTGGCTTTATGAGGAAAATTGGGATGTAAACCCTATGGAAAACAGTGGGACTTTTTTTAACAGTAACCATGATTAAGGTTGAGCTTTTAGCATTTCATTCATGTAGACAACTGAACAGGTTTATAACTTTAAAGTATATGATAGTTTGCTTTAGCAGAAAGAAATGAGCAGTAGCAACAAAAGTTTTAAGAAAACAAGAGGCAGCCTAAAACTAGCAGTAGGAAAATAGATATTACATATTGCTGCCATCATTGTAATAGGTTAGAGCAAAATGTGTTTTGCTCCTGATAAAGATGAAACATTGAAATCATTGGAGGCTGGTCCAGTAGAACAAATGGGGGGGGGGGCGGCACTGCTGCACCACCTTCTATGTACCCTCAGCCTCTGCCTACAGTCAATCCAGCAGATGGTACTACCTGTGAGTTTCCTCCTCCTTAATCTCACTGTCGCCTGTGTAGAACAGAGCAGGGAGGAGGATAGGGACAAAACAAATTAGCTAACTCTATTTGCCACCTACTGCTGGATCACTCTCCCTTCAGCCCTACCAGTCCCAATGGGCTCTAGTAGTCACTGGTTGAAATAGAGAGGAAGTTGTTCCAGAATCTACACATTCAAACACCAATTTGAGTCCTGATTTTCTTTTCATTTGTGTTTACTTTGTTTTGGCTGTCTGCTCCAGAGCACAGTCAGTGTTGCATATGAGCAGGTGGTAGGAGTTCAGAGACAACTGTTAAAGGACCCTTTCTTTGCTTTCTTGCCTGCAGGCTACTAGCCAAAGGGATGGCCACATTTGCCTGAAGGTAGATTGTGCAAATGGCATAGGTGCTCTCAAACTCAAAGAAATGGAACGCTATCTTCCAAGCTGCTTCGTAATACACTTCAGCAATGATGGGACTAAAGGAGAACTCAATCACCAATGTGGTGCCGATTTTGTAAAAGTTCATCAGAAGCCTCCTGTGGGTATGTAATGACAAATGTATATTCCCTAATAACACTCTCGTGTTTTTTTAAAAGTCTGTCTCCATATTAACTTAGAACAGAGAACCCTAAAGTTCTATGATGACATCACCTCATCATATCATTCTTTTCTTTTCTACTAATACATTCAATCTTACACCAGCTCTGGGCTAATCCCCGGACTAATTGTCTCTGGAAGTTTGGAGAGGTAGGAGGGTTTCTCATTCATTTATTTTTTTGCCTTCCACACACTTGTCTTGGGTCGTTGTATGATATACATTTAAAAGAGTTTAAACAATCCAGAAAATTAGATATTTTACAACAGTACAGAGTAGACACCCATGCCAGAGATTGATTAATGAAGCTGGGAAAGCTTGTCAGCTTTATTGACACGATCAAACTGCTTCCCTGTTTTCTCAGGCAGACACCTATCCAAAACTCAGCTTGTCTCACTTTGAGTGATGGAGATGTTAATATATGCTTAGATAGTTGGATACCAAGGCATATGAGTTCTTTAATAATAATGGAACACACTTCCTAATTCTGTCTGTCTAGCTAAGACTAGATGAGACTATTTTGCAGATACACTTTCTGCATTTGTAATGTATAATGTAATGTATATTTTGAAGTTTCACTTTCTTGTGCTGAGCCCTTCTCTATCTATTTTTTATATACTGTATTTTTCGTCCTATAGGGCGCACCAGCCCATAGGGCGCACCTAGTTGGGAGGGGGGGAATAAAGAAAAAAAAAACTATCCCCCCCCCGGCGCGGGGCTGGGGAAGCCCCAGCTCCCCCCGACCCCAGCCCCCAGAACAGGCTGCGAATATCTGCCCGAAGCCCGGGGCGCGCTGCTCAGCGCGCCCCAGGCTTCAGGATGCAGGCTACTATCCGCAAGCCTAGGGAGTCCAATCCTTTCCACTATTAGTCTTCTTCCCTTCCTGTTTTATTTCTAGCTATCCTCTGTTCCCTCTCGTCACCCTTGGGGGTGGGGAGCCTTAATGTCTGTGCCTGTAACCATACTCAGCTTAGGGACACTGCTCACAGACTCAGTCCGTATCATTAGCACTTTGGCTCTTTTATAAATAAAAGATTTTAAAGAACAAGTGGGAAACTAGATTGGCACATGGTACTGTGAGGAAATCCTAACAAAATGGGTAGTTCATTTCTGTCTGTTTCTGCTATCCTATTTAATCTGTAGGTTGCTCTGAAACATATTAAGAACACTGAATGCCTTGTCTTTTTAAGTGCCAGTATTCCTGAGGCCGAACAATTATTTTTTGTATTTACTTTGTTTACTCTGCTTGTTAGGACTGGAAATGAAGCCTGGTGAGAGATGCTGCTCATTCGATGGTGATGCTGACCGAATTGTTTACTACTATAATGACCCTGCTGGCCATTTTCATCTTCTTGATGGAGATAAAATAGCAACTGTAATCAGCACTTTTCTTAAGGAACTTCTGGTCAAGGTAATGGAATTCTTTCACTTGCTGCATGGTTAAATTGAGGAAATTAACAGTTGAAAACATAATTAGCTGGAACTTTTAACAGTGTATGATAGTTTCAATAATGCAAATAATTCACCGAGCAGTTCTTTGGCTCATTCCCCCCCCCTTTTTTTGGGAACAGTTTGGGTTTTTTAAATGAAATTAGATCAGGAAAAAATAAAAGTAATTGCAGCTATTTAACATAGTGGTTTTTAAAGGCAATTGTCTTTAAGTAGAAGGTATTTTTGGAATACTTGCCATCATCAGTTTTGGGCTGGGATATCAAGTGTACTCTTGACTTTCACCAATAGCATGCTTGCCCTGTTTTTAAGTGTGTGAGTTCTGAAAGTTTGTGAAGAACACTTCCTATGCCAATGTGAAATGTTAACATGTCTTTGCCAACTGGAATTTATGAACATCCAAGGCAGAGATTTTTAAATAATAATAATAATGGTTTCATACGGTGTTTTCATGAAGATCTGATTATGCAAATAGCATGCTTCTCTTCCTTCAGGCTGGGCAGACCTTATCATTTGCAGTCATACAAACAGCCTATGCCAATGGGAGCTCTACACGTTATTTGGAAGAAACCATGAAGGTACTAATTCAACGCTTGCATGCCCTGCCATCTAACATCTGTGCTTAAAAATAATGTAAAAACCGTCCAGGCCTAATTACACATGGTTCCGTGGGAAAAAACAACAGCTCAAGATAATCTTTTAGTAACCAAGACTTGTGTGCAATTGCCTTTACCTAGAGGAGGAGATGTTACAGAGTTCAACCTTTTTCTCCAAAACAGTAATTAAAATAATAATTTATTCTGGCCCTCATATTAAGAATCCATGGAGATTAGTTTTTTTGAAATAGCTGGCCCTCTGCATAGCCAGTGGTGCCATCAGGGTTGGAGTTCAGGGCAGAGGTCCAGGGCCCCTAAATGCAGCAGGGCTGGCTTACCCTATTTTGAAATAAATGACATAGTACACATTACAAATTATGAAGCCATTAGACCAGTAAGTCTGAAGTTTAAAATTACCTGGTTACTGTTGTGTATAACATTTTTCAAAGTAGCATTCCCACCAATTTTTTGGTCAGGCGTGTGGGTTTTAGTTTTGATACAAGCAGGAAAAGCTTGGTTTTAAGGTGCAGCCCTACAGCTCCATCTCACCACAGATGGTTTGCTTGGTCTTCCCCTCCTAGGTGCCTGTCCACTGTGCAAAAACAGGGGTGAAACACTTGCATCACAAGGCCCAGGAATTTGACATTGGAGTTTATTTTGAAGCAAATGGTCATGGCACGGTAAGCATTTTGTACTTGTAATCTCTCCCTCTGCTCTTTTTTGTTTGTTTGTAATAAACTTCATCCTCAACCTCAAGAAGAGTAAATAAAATTCATTGTGTCCCCTATCTAAACTGATAATTTTTCCAGCTGCTCCTTTCCACACTGCTGTAATATTCTCTGATCCTTTCTCCTCTTGTCTCATGTCCCATCCCAGTTATTCTGGGATAAAGAACCCAGAATGAATTTCAGCCCTAAATTTGTTTACTAATTCCAAAAGTCAGTCAGAGGCTGGAGTAAGTGCAAGAGCTTGGCTTTTGCCTAGCTTTTGCTGCACTTAGCATGGGGATAAGAGAGTTTGTAGTCTTAGGATGGGTCACCTTTTTCTGTCAGGAGCCACATGCTGATTGTGGGTGGGGCTATTCACTGTTCTCTCTTTTTGCAACCTCTTGCTTTAAAAGGATTAGCCTTATCATCCACAAATTTGTCAATGGATGCTAGCTATGATGTCTATATTCTTCCTCTACTTTCGGAGGCATTATGCTACTGAATGCCAGTTGCTGGGAGACACAAGTGAGGAGAGTGCTGTTGGGTTCAGGTCCTAGTTGCAGGCTTCCAATAGACACCTGGTTGGCCTGTGGGAGAACAGGATGCTGGGCCAGATGGGGTTTGACCTGATCTAGCAGATCTCTTCATATGTTCTTATATCCCCTCGGCCATCCCTTCTCTGCCTGTCTGTCTCTCTCTTTTCCTCCCAGCCTAGCAGGCTACTACTGGGGAAGAGCCAGATCACTTTTGTCCAAGGTCTGAACTGATCACTTACAGACTGCTGTTGAAATGAGCTTGAGGGCTGCATAAAACTAGGCAGAGGCAAGTAACTAATAGCCAGGTTGTTGCTTACAATTTTGGCATTTAAAATTCCTAGAAAAATACTGTATTGGTTCCAGAACCTGAGCACCACATTCCAGAGAGACACTATAGGATGCTGGGAGGGAACTTTTGCCCTGTTCATGAGCTTCTCAGAAATAAGATTTGGCCGACTGCTATTGGAAATGGAAGCTGGACTGCACGGAGCTTTGCAGACCTTACTTTTAGGGATAGGAGCCTTTATTTCTCATAGGGTATGAATAAAATCTAGTGTACTCCCTTGTGTCCCAATGATATGCACATCATTTTGGGGGAGTACCAGTCTTTCTTGCAAAGCATCAGTGATACACCACTATCACCTGTGGTAATTGGGAGATGGTGGTGACAGTGGCCATGCTGCATCCCTCAGACTGTCGAATATGTTCCTCCTTCCAGGTACTGTTTAGTAAAGCAGCAGAGCAGAAAATAAGATACCAGGCGAAGGAGGAAAAAAACAACCAAAAAAGAGAAGCTGCAAAGATGCTTGAAAATACTATTGACTTGATAAATCAGGTAGGAATGTTGACAAAGAGCTAAAGTTTGTCTTTAAATTTCTTAATACTAATAGTTCAAAGATGTTACATGATGACTCTGTGTTGAAAAAGAGAGCAAATTACCATTGGGAAACTAATAATGTGGGATACATCTGCATCATGTAATTCGTAGGACCATTATTTCCTGATGGGAAAAAGTCACCACAGGGTGAGATGTCTCCCTGGACCCTCCGGTCTTCATGTTTGTGCTGGTGGGGTTGTCAACTGGGGATGGAAGAATGAGTTGACAAGGCATGCAAGTGGATTCAAGGTTTTCTGCTTTGATTGTTACTTGTTATAATTTAGAGCAGAAGTGCTCACAGAGTCAGGTACCTCCTGTTTGAATTCTTGCTCCATCCCTAGTGACAAATTGAATCTGATGATAATGGGTTAGTTATCTGACCTGTAAAATGACTGTGGGGGATGGAGACTTATTTTATAGTTCCCAAGAGCCTGATAATACAATTGTATTTCCAAATCCCTTTGCTTTACACTGTGAGATTGTGGCGGGTGCTTCCTTACCCTGCTTTGAACATTGATATATTCTGGGGCAGAAGGTAGCTTAGTGGAAAGTACTGGGACAAGTCAAGGGCTTTTGTCTAATTACATTGGTGGTGGTAGCTGCTTCCTGGTACCAACACAAACACCCTTCAGGTAAACTTACGGCCTCTTCTTAAGCAGCTTCTTTACCTACTATTGGCTTGTCTTTGTTTTTGTTTTATTATGTATTTTGTGTTCTCATTTTGTACTTTTATATAGTGAACCACCCAGTGATCTTCAGATGAAGAGCAGTATACAAATTTAATAAATAATATTTTTTTTAAGGATGTAGGCCATGTGGCAGTTTTTAGGCTCATTGAGCGTGAGAATCCAGATTATTAACTGGAATCAAGGCTGCCTCTGCCATACTGGTTTTGTTTACTGGTTTTCTCTCCTTTCCTTTCTTATTTTATTTTTTGCTGTCTATGCCAGACGATTGGTGATGCTGTCTCAGACATGCTGGTGATTGAAGCCATCTTAGTGTTGAAGAATCTCACAGTACAACAGTGGGACTCCATGTACACAGATCTTCCCAGCCGGCAACTCAAAGTGAAGGTTAGTGGGAAGTCAGTGGTGGACAGAAATGCTACTGGTTGCAGCAGTGGTTCATTTCAGTGACCTACAAACTTGCTTGCTTTCCCAACTGCCTGCAAACACAAATTACTGTGTTGGGTCAGAGACAAGGAGGGCCTTTTTCATCCCCGTGGGTCTTCCTTGTTTGTTGGGCAGTCATTGAGATGCTGTAGCATGCTGTCAGCTCTCTGTTGCCAGGAGATGGGCAGGATCCATGCTGGCCTGAGGAAGCCCAGATCCAGTGCTTTCTGGCTGCCTCAGGCTTTTTTAGTCCTCCCTGGCTGGCTTATTAGTATTTCATGGCATGGCATGTGAGCTTAGGCCAGAGACGACACTATCGATAACTGCACCTTTTTGAAAATGGGTGTCTGCTACTTTACTGCACAGAATCTCCCTAATTGGTGGAAGTTTTATTTATAAAAGACTCAGGATAACCTTTTTTAAAAAAACAAAACAAAATACCCCAACTACTGTGCACTGTAACAATAACCCATTAACTTTCTGGCCCTGGGTTGGCTTTGGACAACACATTGCTGGTTCAAGGGCATTTCTGACAATGTACAGTGCTACCTCAGGTTACATATGCTTCAGGTTACAGACTCCACTAACCCAGAAATAGTGCTTCAGGTTAAGAACTTTGCTTCAGGATGAGAACAGAAATCGTGCGGCAGCAGGAAGCCCCATTAACTAAAGTGATGCTTCAGGTTAAGAACAGTTTCAGGTTAAGAACGGACCTCCGGAACGAATTAAGTACTTAACCCGAGGTACCACTGTAGTCGTTTTATATGTTGCAGTGGGAATTGGCTTTTGGAAGCCTTCCTGTAAGCATGCACGTCTGGAAATAGTTGCACTGGGTGACCAAAGGCTAAATTAACTAGAGTTTTTTCAATGAACCAAAACTTGCACAATGTGTCATTAACCTTGAAATTGGGGGTGTAATGTTGGTCCTCACTGCCTCCACACACCCTTTCTTAGTTATGTATTCACACAGAATTGAGTTTCATCACAGCACAGACCAGAGCTATAAAACATTCCTGGTGCCTGGGATATTCCAATGTGTGCATGTTAATACAACTCTCACAAGAGGTCAAGATCTGGGAGAGTGAGATAGAAACCTTGGCATAACCCAGCAGTTTCAGTGATTGACAAACACAAAATGTGATTTAGGTCTAGTTATGTATAAGTGGGAAGAGACAATCATTGACAACCAAAAATTGAAAAATGTAGGTGGAGAATTGTGCAGGAGTGACAATATCTTGTGGGCTTTGCAGAGCACTCAATACAAATCCGTATCAAAACTAGGTCTGTGTTCTCTCTCTCCTCTTACTGTTGCAAAATCTGCAGGTAAAATTAGAGCTTTTAACAAGTCAGATTGTATCACTTCCTTTACGTGGACTTGTAGGTTGCTGACAGACGTGTAATTGACACTACGGATGCGGAAAGGCGAGCAGTTACACCCCCAGGGCTGCAGGAGAGAATTGATGAGCTCACCCAGAGGTTTAAATTGGCTCGAGCTTTCGTTCGCCCATCTGGAACAGAAGACATCGTCAGAGTCTATGCTGAAGCAGACACACAGGTCAGAACCAAAGTGATTAATATCCTCAATGCAATGTGGTAGAGATGAATTTTGAGTCCAGACAGTAGGTTCCCACCCACCACTATTCAAACTTTGTTTGCAAACACTAATTATTACATTTATATACAGCCAAAGGTTAAGCAATTAGCAGCTTGGGCACAATATGACTTCAAGAGCATCTTCCCCTTTTGCACCTCCAAATTATCAACTAAGTGTCCTCCCTAGTCTTTTTGCTTAGGGGAGGCATGGATATTCTTCTTGTACACTCTCGTCTTAGGATGGGGGGGGAATAAAATAGTACGTAGCATGGGTCTTTTGTGTGTTCCTCTGTTCCTCATTCCATCCTCTGCTTATAAACAGTTGGAAGAAGCAAGAGGGAAGAGAGACAGAAAAGGACAGAAAGCTTTTGTCTCCTATGGTCTTCGAAGATGGGGGGGAACTCAAAGGAGGACCATAGTAGTTTGCTTGGAAGAAATCTCTGCTTGCACTTCCTCTACCTCTCCTTTTTCTTACTTTTGAAGTTTCTGTGGCCCCAAATTAAATACGATGTTGAATGCATTTAATATGCAGTTAACTTGCACATTCTTTAAAAAAGTGAGTCCCTCTTTGGTGTAATTGTTGCCTTCTAGCAGCTGAAAGAAATAGCTTAATCTTAGCTGCACTCAGTGTTTTAGATAGGTATCTTATAGGACCACTATAGCAGCCTTGGTTTCTGGGTACAGCTGTCCAAAGCATCCACACTATGAAGATATGACTGAGTGTTCACTTGAATTGCAATCTCTTCATGCTGCAATTATTCTTCTTTCCAGGAAAATGCAGATAAACTTGCACATGAAGTTAGCCTGGCTGTCTACCATATAGCTGGAGGTGTTGGAGAACAGCCCAAGGCTGTAGTATAATGAAGTACCATCCTTCAAGGTAAGTCATAAACCATACCTTCCTGCTTTTGCTTTACTAAATGAAATGCAAAATTAATTTATAATTAAAAGCAGTTCCTTTAGAAGTGAGTTAACTCCTCATTGTCATTTCTGTTAACTTTATTAGGTCACTGTAGTTCTTAAGTAATTTTTAAATCAAAGGTACTAAATTGAATTTTGACAACTATATTGTTGGACAAGCAAAGCTTTTCATTTTTCCATAGTTAGGCAGCATTCATCTGCCCCTTGCAAGAAAGCATGTGTGAATAAGTGTCCTCTTTGCTCCTACTAGTAGCAAGGGAAGGATTTTTTTTTAATTTAACATGCAAAAACTTTGAACCATATATTTAAAAGTAATGTAGTTGTAACTCCATATGAAAGGGTCACTTAATTGAAAATGTGGAACAGTAAGTTGCCATGGCAGAAACAATGTTAATTGAGAGGAGTGAATGTTGGGAGCAGTGCTGAGTAACAGAACTGCTCTGATAGATAGCACTTTTCCATGCTTTCGATTAGAAAAGTGGCTCCCTGTAAGATGCTGCATAGATATCTAGACAGAAAATAAGACACAGCTAGAAAAAATGTGCAACTTGTATTGGTAATTTTCTTAAAGACATACCTCAAGATGACAAAACAAATGTACATTTAATAGTAGGCACCATAATCGATATGAGCCAGCGATATTTCAACTTGATTCAGGCCACATCCAGAACTTATTTACAGGTATTTAAATTAAATACACCCTGAAGTATACATTACATACAAAGTATGAAAAAGGAAACTATACAAACTGGAAGGATGGAGTGGTTTCATTTGAAGTTACATTACTTAAGATAAACATTTTACCATGTACACTTCATGTTTTTATGACACCTTCCAGAAAGTCCTTCTCAACCATTTCTTCAATTTTTTGTCTTGCTTTGCTGGAGAATGTCTTTTGAGTTTCCATTTTTATATCCTTGGTAGGGAAAGAATTTGGGTAAAGCATGGGGCTCCCTGAATGACCAATGCTTCTGCTGGTGATTTTGCTGTTAAATACTTGGCTCAGGACGTTGAAGAAAGGCAGAAGCTGTTCAATGCTGCGAACAGCACAGATGGTCAGGAGTAAGCTGCCAGGTTCCCAGTTTAGTGTTTTCCCTGAACTGTCCTCCTCTGGGTTTTTCTGTTAATATGTGGTGGACGGGGGAAGAGAGGAGAGGAGAATTTCAAGACAAAGCAATGCTGCAGGAGACTTCAAAAATTAGCACACTTACACTGGTCACTACTAGGCCTGGGTGATGTATCAATACATCGCCCAGAGTGCAATGTCAGTCACTGCACCCCATGGACAGGCAGTTTCTTTAAACTTCTCTGCTGAGGGTGTGTAGCTGCCCACACCCCTCAGCAGAGAAGTTTAAAGAAACTGCTGCCTTTGCACAGGGGGGGCAAGCTACCTCTTTCTCCTGGGAGGAGGAGACAGCCCTCCGCCCCATGCCAAGGGGGCAGCTGCTGGAGGTGGTAGCTTCACCCTGTGCCTTGTGAGGCCAGGGCTCCGTGTACCAGGCACTGGAGGAGGTGGCAGCTTTGTCCACCGGCCTTGACAGAGGCAGAAGCTGCGCATGACCCTAATCCTCTGTGTGGCTGGCAGCTGTCTTCTTCCTCCCTGCCTCTGTTCTGACATGATATACCACCAGCTAAGCTTTGCAATATGGTGGTATATTGCAATGTTGCAAAGCAGATATCTCCCAGCCCTAGTCTACTAGGCCTGGGTGATGTATCAATACGTTGCCCAGGACCAGAGCATGATGGGGGTATATTGCAAGTAAAACCACCACCACTGTCGAGTGCCTCTGGCCTGGAAATCACAGAAGGAGGAACAAGCTTCATTGGCAAGTCACTGGAGCCGATGCAGCTTGTTCGTCCCTCAGCCACCTGGTACAGGCAGGCAGCTTCTTTAAACTGCTCCACTGAGGGGCATGACTGCCCGAGTCCTCAACATGCTGAACACAAGTATGTGGCATTCTCCAGGACTTTTAAGTTTTGATCAAGAGGCTAAAGACACTGTGTGCACAGCTGATACAAGTTGGCTTGAAGGCTGAACCACACCCCTGATAGGTGCTGTTGCCAATTTAACCTACCTAATGCCACACATGGTTTTCAGCTCCTGTTGGATCAGAGCTTAAATGTGTGATTGATGCATTGATATAAAATATGCATTAATTCTGTAGTAATAATTTATGAAAAGAGAAATGAAATACCTTTGCTCTCTTTCGCAGCAGTTTTGCTAATCGTACTACGTATGGTTTGAATTCCCTTTGGTGTGTGCCTTGTCTTCGCACCTCCAACCCTGAATCATCAGAAGCTTCTGGAATAAAGGCCCAGCGATACCTGTTAAAGAAAAAGAGGACAAAGTCATCACATTCAGCAAGTTATCTTTGGCAAGAACACACCAGCCCTCCCTAGTTGAGTCAGTTTATATCCAGGCAGGTCTTTATGTAGACAAAATCTGCTAAGAAAAACCAAGATCCATGGGAGTAAAATTAGATGCATAAAAAGCAATCTGTTTCACAGAAGCCACTTCTAAGAAGAAATACTTTGAAAGCATTGTTTGCTCTGTTCTGCTCTGCCCAGCCCTTTCTGATTTCCTTTTGTATATATTTGCCAAATGGTAATAAAACACACCCCTGCCATACATATTGGGACACAGTCTTGGGCATCCTGACAGAAACATTCTGTGAAACAAGATAGCACATGGGCTGATGTTGGTTACTGGGGAGAGGGAGTAGGCCCCTAACCAAGTTACTTCTCCCGTATTTCTGCCAACACTATATGGAGGGCATTCCTCTGATGGGGAGCTGTGCCACCTAAGACACATTTTCACTTCCATAACACAAGGTGAGGTGGCAGAAGGCTGTAAAAGCACCTGCCTTGACAGTCCATAAAGAAATACTTGCCGCTCAAAGAGAAGCATCACCCTAAATATGAAGGTTTTCTCACAATGAAGTGTTTCTACGGCACACTTGGATTTGAATGAGATAAAGTGTACTTACATCTGAAACTGAGGAAGATTTTCAGAGGGCAATGCCAAGGCTAAATCCAGAAATTTACAAGCTGACAAATAAAGATTTAACCATCTCTGACTGTTGTAGGATGTCGAGAATCCATTGCCTCCAGTGTATGTAGTTTCCAGGCCAGCAACAGATGGTCCTGAAGTTCTACAATTCAAATGAATTTACTACAGGTTATTCTTAATCACTTATGTCCACACTTCACAAATCAATGCTTTTCTCTTAGCGTATACTTTAAATGAACTGGAACAATTAATTCTCTATGAGGATAACTTTTATATTACCCTTCTGAAAACACCAAACAATTTTAACAAGATAGCTGCAGCTAGTGGTTCTAAATTACACTTCTGCTTTGTTCGTATAATTTAGCGTAAATAGTACTGATAAAGAAGCAAGACCAAAAGTCTGATTTACTTTTACAATATAGGGTCCTGTCTGACTAATTTGATCTTTGTGAACTGATTGCCGTATTAAACATGAACTGGAATGGGGGGAAAAAGTGTACTGCTGCTTATTGGCACCGATTATGTTCCTGTTTTCATAGCAAGACTGGGGGAAAAACCTTCCAAATGAGTAATATAAAATAATTGGACTATCAGACAGTATATTTCAACTATTATGCAAATAAGATGAGAGAAGAGAAATTGACATTACCTTGAGATATCTTCATCAGCTGTGAGTTCCTGTTCCATCAATAAAAATACTTGGACCTGAAGTTTGTTTTGTTTTTTAAAACAACAACAACACACCAAATTTTAAAAACAGAATTAACAAATGGACATTCCAATCATATCCCCCTTACATCACTGTCAGTGATGTGGTGGTGGTAGTATGCATGTGAACAAACACCTGATTTTTTCCACTCAATTATTGTCCTCCTTCCAGGCTAATGATCAGGTGGGAAAGATCCATGCAGGTTGCTCAAAACAAGTGACTTCAGTATCCTTATGCATGACATAGCATGTAAGCTTGTACCCCAGCAATGATATACTCCCATCATCACTAATGGCTGGAAATTGTATCCTAGCAACATCTGAAGGGCACTGTGTTGGCTAACCTTGGGCTATAGAGATATTGAATTATTGGTGTGGCGTTTGCCTCCTAGGATGGGTCATAAGGAAAGGGTTAAAATAGGTCTGTTGTGATTGGCCAGGGAGAATGCAAGGGGGGAATAAAAGTTAGAGTGGGAGGTTTTGAAAGTCAGTTGAGGTTTGGGAGTTGAAGAGGGAGGAATAGGCAGTGGGTTGGTAGAGTTGTATTGTGAGAGAATGAGAGGAATTGTTAGGTGGAGCCAGATAGATAGTTGGGAATAATCAGTTTGGAGTTGTTAGGAACTAAGAATAAGAAACTGTCAAGAGAAAAATTAACTGAAACCATAAGCTTGTTCCCGCATTTAAAAATAAACTTGATTATTTGTTTATGTTAACAACTGACTGGACTCTGTGTGTCCCCGTGAGATACGGGGTGGTGGCAGCGGAAAAAGCAATCGCAGTGGTGGCACAGGGTCAATAGACCGTCAAACGTCCGGGGGCCCTGTGTGTGATCGCCACAATTGGCTTTTTTTTTTAATATAGAGAAAAGCTTCCCCATGTTCCAAAGTCAGTTGCAACTCACCAATTCTGTGATCATGGTAGGCCAAAGCGAGGTAAGATGCTGTGGAGACATTCTCAAGAGCAGAACTCGGAAAAAGAGGAACACTTGGGAGTGAAGAGTGGGCACTTGCGGCAGGCGGAGACTTTCTACCAGCCTTTCTGAAACAGAAAAATCAACACAGATTTGGTAGCTCAAAAATCTGCAGCCCAGTTAATGAAAAAACAACAACCGATTAATAGTATGAGCTTTAGTTGATTTGTATTTAGGAAAGCTACGCTAAACTCATGCCACACAAACCTCCCCTCAATGTAGAATATTAGAGGTGCTGGGGGAAGGAGGGAGAGATGTACCAGTTTTCAAGTAAACAGTTCACTGTGTTTCTAAGAGACCATGATAACAAGCCAATGGTATGATCCAGAGGTTAGCAGGACTTTTTTTTTTGTATGCTTTGTTCTGCTGGCCCCAAATTATGTGCCAATACACAGAGCAGAAGATTTAACTACTGTTTAAATCGGGGGTGGGGAGTCCTTGGGAGTCCACATACTAATAAACTCCAACTCCCATGTGGCCCAGCTAGCATGACTGGTTGGCATGCTTCCGCCTTGAGAGACAATGGGAGTGTGCCTCCAGAGGTGAAGACAAACCACCACATTTGCAGCACTGAAGTGACCTCCCCAGGGTGCAAGCTAATGGAAAGGAAACTCCGGGAGGTCATGTCATCCATAAAGCACTAATAATAGTTAAGCAAAGGACACTTGTACTTTACCCCTCCAAGAGAAATGATAAAATTCTTACTCACCTTGTATATCTGGAAGGTATTTCTGGTATTGGTCCACTTCACTGCTAAAAATGGCAAAGGCCAGCCTCTTCAGAAGCATAGCACGCTGTTCCAGTTCTACATCCCGATTGGCAAACAGATTGAGCGAACTGCTCTGAGCTACAGCCACACGTGCTAAAGAAGGAATCATGCAGCAGAGAAGGTGCTTTTAGTGAAGACAAGAGTTCTTGGCTCAGAGACAGGAGTAGTTCAAAACAGGCACAGGACTCCAGGTTGGAAAAGGCTGATTTAAAGTATGTTATTAAAATCACTAGTTGAGTGCCGTAAGTCAGTGCCCAGATTGTATTCTGCACTTTAAACATATATGCCAGGTACCATATACACTACATGGATCTTATTTATGAGTTAAATGCACTGTTTGTGTGCATTTCTCTTAAGAAGGCCCATCTAGTCAAGCATCCTGCTTCTCACAGTGGCCAATGAGATGTCCAAGGCAGGACATGAGGGCCACAGCACTCTCCCACTGTTCCCTATATTCATGAGAGCAAGGGAACTATTCGTAGGATAGACCTGGCACCATTCACACTTCAGCAGTCACTTCAATCAATAAGTCTTGGTGTTCAATACTCTAGAATTTTCTCTGAATATACTTTTTAAAAAGTGATTTTACATTCTTTTTTTAAAAAAGGGATGCAACGCATTCTGAGTTAAGACACACTCTTGTGGGCTACTTGGCAGGTGGATCTTGCATACAAACAACAAAGCCCTAGTTGAAGGCAGAGAGAGCAAGGAAAAATTCAAGATATTAACGAAACAAACATTAAATTCACAAAACCAGAAACAATATAAATTTACCAAAATTACTTCCAACGGCAAAGTCAATGAAAAAGTATCTATCATGCCTATGCTGTTTTTGCCAAAAAAACCCCAAGCTTTCTTGGCTTAGATGAGTTGTGATTTGGACCATTATGCCAGGCATCACCAACCTGCGGCCCTCCGGATGTTTTGGACTACAATTCCCATCATCCCCGACCACTGGTCCTGTTAGCTAGGGATCATGGGAGTTGTAGGCCAAAACATCTGGAGGGCCACAGGTTGGGGATGCCTGCATTATGCAGACATCAGAAGAATCAATCTTTACAACATGATAGCTAATATTATTAGAATGGATTCCAAACATGCAAGTGTCTGTGGATCTTGTACACAGAGTTAAAAGCCAGAACTCACTCATCAGATCTCTGAACGTGGTTTTGTCATGTGTCATCAAATTATCCATGATTGCTCTCCAACTAAAAAAGAATTTAAAATGATATTGTCATTGCAAATAAAAGCATGGGATTTTATTTTGGTTTAAATGAAAAGGGAAAGTGTCAGTTTGACGCATGCCCCTTTCACAATTCTGCTCTGTACGTCAGAATAACATCCCGCAGTATATGAATGGTACAGATCTGTAAGAACCAAGCAGCTGCCTCTGTTGACAGTCTTGGGGTTAGGGGGTGGGGAGAGTATAAAGAAAAGATACAAGAACTTGAGAAGAATGCTGCAGGATCAGGCAAAATGAAATCTAGTGCAACATCCTGTTTTCACAGTGGCCAACCAGATGCCTAGGAAGTCCACAAGAAGGAACTGAGTGCAACAGCACACTCCCCAGCAACTGAACTGGTATTCTGAGGCATACTGTCTCCAACAATGGTTGCAGAATATAGTCATTGGTAGCCCTTATCAAGCTTGAACCAAGGCTATTTGAGAAGCTCTTTCTGGAATCAGCAACCACACTATCCAAGCTATGGGTAGATGTGCATGGAATCAAGTAGAGGCAGTGAATGTGCAGAACTAGCAAATTGTGGGAACTTGGAGAAACAAGCTCTGTAAGAACTGGAGAGAAAATAGCAGAGGAACGAAGTTCAGCCGCACCTTATGCAAAAGGCATCAGGTTTCACCACTAGAATCTGCAGGTGGGGTTGGTGAAAGAGCTGCCTGAAACCCTGTTGTGACGTTGCTATATAGTGTAGACCTAACAGCCAACAGAAGATTATACAAGCAAATGAGAGTATCTAGTCATCTGGAAAGTGCAGACTGCTAGAATTTTGTCAGTATGCTGTCTTAAGGCTGGGGAGCTGATGTGGTGCCTTCTAGACATTGCTGGCCTCAGCTCCCATCATCCCTGAACATCAGCCATGCTGGCTGGAGCCAATAGGAGTTGGAGTCCCAAAACATCTGGAAGGCCCCATGTTGACAAGAACTGTCTTGGGGAAACAATTCTATTCCAGAGCCAGTGTGGTGTAGTGGTTAAGAGCGGTAGTCTCGTAATCTGGGGAACCGGGTTCGTGTCTCCGCTCCTCCACATGCAGCTGCTGGGTGACCTTGGGCCAGTCACACTTCTCTGAAGTCTCTCAGCCCCACTCACCTCACAGAGTGTTTGTTGTGGGGGAGGAAGGGAAAGGAGAATGTTAGAGACTCCTGAAGGGGAGTGAAAGGCGGGATATCAAATCCAAACTCTTCTTCTTCTTCTTCTTCCCTCCGCCCCCCGGTACTAAAATCAAACAGGAGCAACAAAAAGCCTTACTGATTAACACAGGAAGCATCCATTTGAAAGAAACTGGAATCCATAAAGAGGTCAAAAGCTTCCTTTTTCCACGCTCTCCTCGTGTACTGATAGCCGCTCAGGCTGCTTAATAGCTGAACACACGCTCGGTAGCTGGGCGCGTTATGGGCACTGGAACAAGGAAATAAATCCAATTCAAAATGATTTCAAGTAAGAAAAACCCTGCACAAAAACAGTCAGAACACAGCACCTTTAAATCAATTTGAAATTATTCTTGCTTGGATCCCAACACCAGATCCTGGCCTACAACTGCCCACTGAATGCCCCATCCTCTTCAAATGCTCCTCCTGGATGTTAGTAAACCCTCCAGAGCAGACTTTAGCACCGTGCAAGGGGGTGCACCTAAAAAGAAAATTCATTATTAGAAAATCACTACCCTCCACTGTGCACATGCATAATCACAACCATGATGGTACTATTGATGTGGCTAGTCAACTACTCCCATTATCAATGTTGGCTGCTGGCCTTGTTGGTTGGGACTGTTGGGAACTGGAAGTCGAACGACATCTGAAGGGCTACACTTTCTCTGCTTCTGCACTGAGTGAAGCATTTAGAGCTTAATTTGTCGGAAACATGCCTTATTCATTCAAGCAGCTCTGTGTCATCTGTAGCCTAAGAGGTCCTTTTTCTTCAACAACTAGCCTGAAGCAAAGAGCTGGAAAAACCAAGGCATCTTACACCAGAAAGTTACGCCACATAAAGAGCAAGCCTGGTAATGCAAATCTAAGTGGCTGAAGTGAGTTACACCTCTGGCGGCGAGGTCAGCAGAATCTGTCCGCCACACAGATAAAATTCCTGCCATTGGTAATACACAGCACAGAATGTTTACATTGTGATAGGCTCAGTGATGAAGCTTTTGTTTGGTGAAGCTTTTGACAGCAACTGACTTGATATTATAGTATCAAGGGCTATTCCTGAACACTATCTGCAAAATACAGAGTTACTGTGCAAAATCAGAATTTAGGCTGCTGAAATGCAAAATGTCTCACAAATGCCAACAAGCAGGAAAGGTTGGAGACTACAGACTGCTACTTTTGGTGCCGAACTCTTTCAATAGTCAACATGAGTTCATACAAGTGCACTCAGAAGAGCAGTTGGGGAAGTGGCAAAAAAAACTACTAGGGGAGCAAGGATGTAATCATTGCCAGATAGGACCTTAATCTACTATGAAGGGAAGTGGGGCAGATGAATGGGATAGCAGGAAATATCTGGCGTGGGGGAGCACTAGCCTTGGAGTCCTTCCTGCAGAGTAGAGCCATATGTCACTGCAAGTATTAGTGCTCCTTACATATAACTGCTCATTTCAAGACTGCACAGAAGGACCACATTCAAACAACAGAATCTCATCTTAATAGGGAGAGATATAGATGAGCCTTTGGCCACATACACAGCCTTTTCACAAGAGCCAGCAAACAAACCAGAATGTATCTAGTTAACTAATATGAATTATAGTTCCCTGCTTTGTTCAAGCCTGGAAACTATGGCAGACAGCTTTCGAACACTTCAGGATATTAAGCTGGCTAAGTATCTTGGCTTGTTCTGAAGCAGTTAATCACCATTTCCTTGTTTGGAAAACTCGTCCAGAGAGTACTTTATGTAAACTGTAATGGTAAGTTCACTGAAAGTGTACATCATAGTTAAAATAAGTTGTACATGTAATTGTAGAGGTACCTGTGATTGCGAAGATAAGGCACAACATAGTGCATTATATTTACAAGAAGTGGAATAACTCGCTCTTTTTCATCACTGTAGAAAACCATATCCAAAAGATGAGCCAAGACCTACAAGAGAAGAGAAATATTGAAAATGTCAATTTTCTGCCCTTACAAACCATATAAAATATATAAATACTGTACTATATATCCTTTCAATGGATGACTGCCCAGTTTCCAGCTATATTCATTATTTTCAAAACGTCACAAAGAAAACATTATTTAACAGGTTCTCTTTGAAATATCACCTTATCAAAACTAAATGGTTGTTTAAAAAAATCCACAAATTCCTTAAGTATAGCACCAAAAATATAGATGATTTTTCTTCATTCTCTCAAAAGCAGGTAAGAATTGCATACTGACAAATGTGCTGCATTAGCACTGATGCAAATCGGTCCCTAGCAGAGAAATCCTGTCCAAGACTGAGCACGTGAACCTGACAGTTTTAAGACCAAATCAACTTCTGAGCGTAATGTGTGCTTTTTTGTGGGGGGTGGGGAGCCAACAGCTATATTATCTTTCAGCACAATTTTGTTTCTGCTAAAAGGGAAAAAATATACCCCAAAGCACATGCATGGACAATTCCCTTCCCTACTATTTCCAGAGACATGGGCTTGGATGAAGATTTGCAAGGCAATCCTAACATGTCTTCTCAAAAGTAAGTTCTATTGAATTCAGTGGTGCTTACTCCCAGGTAAGTGAGGTTAGGATTGCAATCTTAAATCATGCTTATAGTAGGCCCATTAAGACCAACGGGGCTTAAATTAGCCACAACAAAATTCAGTCCCACTGATTTGAATGGTAGCTTTGTGCTAGCAAAGGCCCTTCTGTTAGCTTAAGGCGGCACACCACTTTCACTAATCCCTCCTACCAACTGCAGCCACTTATGCTATATCCCATACTACTCCAAAAGATCCCCTGAACCTAAGGAGAAGCTTTTGGGAAGCACCAGAGCCTGCCCTGGATAGGAGAGATCATTGAAAATCAGGTTCCTTGCCTTTCACTAGTGCAGGTGTGAGGAACCTCAGGTCCCGGGGCCAGGTGTGGCCCACCAGGCTTCTCGCTGCTCAAAAATATGTGCTTTCTTGCACATCTGAATATTCACCTACCAAAATTCCAGAAGTGCAAGTGTGGTGAAATAATGCTCTGTTCTTTTCTGTGTTAACTCTTATATTTATATACAAACAAATATCTTAAAGTCTATTAAAAAGGGGGGGAACTTACTTCTGACAGCAGCGTTAAGGCATGGACACTATAAACGGATGGAGTTATGCTTGAGGTTTCCAAAGCTGGAGACAACATATCTGAACATTATTTTTTTTTGAGGGGGTGGGGAACAAAAAACGAAGACATGAATCCATGTGTCAATATCTGTAAAGTCATTTTAAAAGAAGCCACAGGTCTTTAAATATGCAGTACATCAAACAAGTTAGCACTGGGATGTATGCTGTGAGATAAAATTCCACCAGTTTCCCTTTTCCCACCTGAAATTTGACTAAATATATCTGCATTCAACCATTGATATTTTTAATCCTGCAAAATCTTGTGATTTTTAGCGGAGCTAAAATCTCAACAAGTTGTCTTAATTATTTTCCATAGAATGGATGCTTGTGGTTCAATTAAAATAAAGAATCATTATAAAACCAAAAAGAAATACTGTTTACATAGGCTGTGTTCATATGCAACACAGACAGAGCAATCCAAACTCTGTCAGGCTGGGGTGGGTTTGGAATGAGCAGAGGTTTTCCTCTACCCAACTCTCCTACACCAACGAGCTGACTGCCAAACATGCAAGTGAGATCCCAAGATGGTCTCAATGCCATCATGCAAAGGCATTGGGGGAATTCATCCTGCTCTCACCCTACCTTCTAATGTGGCCACAAGCAGCAGGGCTGCAGATGCGGCAGTGGCCCCAACCGGAGGGCAGAATGGGAGTTAAGGTATAATCCTAAACCATAAACAAGGGGCAAGGAACCTTAGCTCAGCAGGCGAAGATCCTTATCTGCACATGCCCTGCAGACCACATTGCGCAGGTAGGTGGGTTCAGTCACCTGTCAGTCAGCTGGCATCATAAATCTTTAAAATGGACCCCCCAAAAAATGGTTTCAATAAAAACTGCCTAGAAATGCCATTCAAAGGGATTTTTTTAAAGGTCTGTGTGACCATTAGCCTGGTTGCTGGATTGGACAAACAGATATAGGACACGGTTTCTTAACTAGCTAGGGATACACAGGTAGAGAGGTTTGCAGCCCTCAGATGTAAAATGAATTTAAATAGCAGGAGCCTTGCTCTACTGCAGCAGTGGGGCATGGACAAGACACATGCCTCATTAGGCCCATCAGGCTGTTTTGGAGAAGCCAGGCTCACCTGTCCCTCAGATAATGGACAGGTGGCTGTGGCTTGCACAAAACAGCCCTGTTACGGTTATGTTAGAATAAGGCCCTCAGGCCAAAAGTGTTTCCCCATCTCTGCTGTACTGTCATCATCAACAGAAGCAATTTTGGATACTGATTAAATACGTTGGGCGGGGGAAGGGAGGGGGCGGGAAATCACCTTCAACGTCAGACTCCAAATTGTTTCCATCAACCATGATCTTGGGGGATGGTTTAACCTCCAAATTGCGCCTTAGCCACGTAGTCTGTTCCAGGGACGAGCCAGCGATGGCTCCAATGGCATCCACTATTTTGTGGGTTACATCCTGAAAGAGGCAAGGGGAAGAAATGCAAGATGATGAAGAGAGTCATGGGTATCAAGAGAAGTAGTAATTGCTTTTTCTTGCATGATCGATTTCTGCATAAGGATGATGGAGAGCATGCGTAAGGCAGTGCCGCGGTGCAACGGGTCGCCTGATCAGTGGTATTCAGAGCGCTCAGAGTTTATACAAATGTCAATGGCGCAAGAATTAAAAGTTTCGGACCCGCCCCCTCGAGGAAACCTGTGCAATGGGAACATGCAAAAGGATCCTGGTGCATTGATGTGTCAGGATTGCAAAGCAGATTGGGAGAATGAAAAGAGTGACAATGGGAGGGCCTATCAGATGAGGATAAACAGCCAGCGTGACAACAGACAAGCGGGTGTCAGATCAGCTCCCCATAAGTAGTGACTGGCCAAAGGTAATCCAGAAACAGCTGAGGTGGCCTCATTTGCTGGTTCACTTCACATAGCAAAGCATGGCACATCTAAGCAACAACACCATCAGATTCAAGTTTCACTTGTTAAACATGGAACTCACAGTACACATTTCCTAGAAATTAAGTGTACAAAAATCTGACTGAAATCAGAGCATTTTTTTTTACTAGTTCAATAATTAAAGTTATCTCTTCTAAAGAATGTATCCCTTCTAAAGAATTGGGAAGCAACCCAGGTAAAACCCAGCTTCGGTGTACTACAAAACAAAATATTACACTTACAAAGGTGCTTTTTTATTTTAAAAAAGCACATATGTACTCAGAAGTAACTAAGGACATAAATTTCTTACCTGAAGATCTCGCTGGTCTTTCTTATTATCCAGATTTGGGTTTTTCATTATAAACTCATTTAAAACGCTTTAAAAAAAAAGAAGAAATAAACTTTCATATGAAGGCTTGAATAGAACAGATGGACCAAATATTTAAACCAAGGGGACAACAACTGCAGAAATGCAAAGATGCTCAAGACTATCTATATGCAAAGAAGGAGGAGCCTAATTTCCCATGTTGACTGCATCTCTCGTTACACTGGAGGCAACTCCAAAAGGTCACCCAATTTTGGGAAGAGGCTTCTCGGGGGCAAGTGGCGGGCCAGGTGAAGGGAGATTGTTTGAAGAGGAACGGGAAGCCCTCTGGGAGATCCAGTTACTAAGCAGAAGATCCTTATGTAGCAGTTCGGATTTCACTCCGTGTATTTATCCAAATGATAAAACAAGTGACTGTTGATACTTTCTACAGCAATGTATACCAACACTGTGGTTATCAATGCACTGAAACAAAATATGTGGAGATATCACCTATTATACCAAATGCATCAAAACAACACGGGGGTTGCATGAGGTTATGGTGATATTATGGACGAGGCAAGCTGACACAAGGGTTTAGGTCTGGGATAACCAAGTTTTGGATTACAACAAAGTGATATTTTAGCAGATTCATGCAGATTTTTAGGTCATCTCTACATGACACACACCAAAATGGGCAGTGGTGGTCCAAAATGGTGCAAGCTTGGTGTTTTTGAGCCATGTTTCATATTAATAAGAATAATTTTAATCAAAAGACAAGATTAGGCTTGTTAATTCTGATCAGAGCATTCTCTTGCCCACATGCTGTTTGATAAAGGTTGTCATCTTCTGATAAAAAATGCTCCTCTATAAAAGAGCTCTGGTTCATAACACATTGTGCATTGGGCTTGCACCATTTTGGATTTCTTTCCCCGTTCTGATGTTGAGAGCACTTTAAATACATGTTTAACTCTCACATTCAAATTCATGGGCTCTGAACTGAACGAGGCCTCAATAAATTACTGTGGTGCAGTACTGTGGTTACTGTCGCCTACGTAAAGCTGTGCTGATGGTTCTTTGTTAGAGCCAGTTACAGGGGTTGGGTTACACATGACATTTGCTGGATTTCAGCCTTGCTTGCGAAGGCCAAGCCACCTCTCCAAATGTGAGGTAGCAACATGTCCCCCAAATGCAAGAGATCAACTTCTCTCTTAAAATCATCATGGGTACTCCCTATCACTCATCAAGAATGTTTTAAGGTCTCTGAAAAATGATCTTGGCATTTCTCAGTAGGAAAAACTGATGGTGCTCATGCAAACAAAATAGCTCACCCAAGTATGAGAAACTGCCCTGGAGCTGGAAGGCCAAGTTGTATGGAATCCTTCAGAAGAAGCAATAATGAGGCCCAGCTGTCGACTACATTGGACACTGGGATTCTGCAAGGGAAAAAAAAGAGGTGGTCATATGGGTTTCCAAAGGCCATTAGAGTACTTCTTCACACTGCAGCCTAATGTCAAACAAATGGGATAAACACTGAAAGCTAACACTGGTGTTTTCTCTCAGTGAACGACCCAACAGGTAAGATAAAAGAACTCTAGAGGAAATGGGACACCAGAAAATAATCCTGCAGATTTTCCAACTTGAGAAAGAGGCTAATTTCCCAAAAGATGGAATTAGGTTCCAGCTTCTCTTCTGACACTTTTAACCTGAAGTTCTCAAAACCTGCTTAAAAAAACTGAATGGAACCACTGCACAAAGCATGCCCTCACAGAGCAAACATCTCATCTGGTGACACAGGAGAAAAGAAACGTACCCATAACCACTCACTGTCTTACCTCTGAATGTACGCAAAGAAAAACTGCAGCATGCAGACTTCCAATGAAAGGTGCTTCTAGAAAGATTTAGAAGCAAAGTATTAAAAGAGAACGGTTATATTTTTTTTCAAGGCCACCAAAGTGCATCAAAAGCCAGGAAACAAAATAATAAAATAAGCCTTGCTCAATTTAACAAACAGTGATTCCTTGTCTGAGTGCTACATACAGTCTTTCTTAAGGTTTTCCCCTCAAGATATTTCCTTGGTTTCTAAGCTTAACTGGAGCTTGGAATGCCAGTTGCGGTAATCTATGATAAGGAGAGGTAGGTTTGGAACTCAGCCAATTTCAAGTTACCATCGTTCCTGGCATTTGAGAACTAGGAGGGGGGTGCAGAATGGGGAAATTTAGAGCCACCAACTTTTTTACTGGATGCTGGAAATAATGTTCCTATCAAAGGGTTGCACCCAACTATGTTATATTCTGAGTAAACCTGCTGCAATCAATGGGCTTAAGTAAGTCAACTCCATTTATCTTTTAGGTTCAGAACTGCCATCCATTTTCATTTCCAAAATTAAATGAGGTTGTGTCCACAACTATCTAGCATGAGCTATTACAGTAATCAAAGCAAATTGATTAATTTAGTTACCCATAAAGCAGCAGCAATCCAACACATTTCACCTGTTTTAATTGAATGCATTGGATATGTATGTTTGTTTTACAGTCACAAATGCCAGCTCCCTCGGCCTATAAAGCGAGATGAGCGCCGCAACCCCAGAGTAGTCTGTGGCTGGACTTACCGTATTTTTCACCCTATAGGACACACTTTTTCCCCTCCAAAAATGAAGGGGAAATATCTGTGCGTCCTATGGGGCGAATGCAGGCTTTCGCTGAAGCCTGCAGGCTTCAGGAAGCTCTGCGCAACCCGCAGGAGACCGGCGCCACTTCGCGCCCGCCTCCCGATGGCTGCGCAGAGCTGCCTGCATTCCGAAGCCTGGGGAGACCGGCGCGACTTACCGCTGGCCTCCCTAGGCTTGCGGATAGCAGGCTGTTCTCGGGGCTGGGATTGGGGGAAGCTCGGGCTTCCCCCGCGCCAGCCCCGTGCCTGGGGGGGGGGGGGAAATAGTTTTTTTTCTTTATTTCCCCCCCCCCCCAAAATCAGGTGCGTCCTATGGGGCGGTGCGCCTTATGGGGCGAAAAATACGGTAACTATCAGGAGTCCTTTACCTTTAATGTTTGTCAAACACAGCCTAGCCATCGTAACACCAACTTCTTTTGTTGAAAAATGCAAGCTTAAGTTATTTCCATACCTTGTCCTTGGCTATTGCTGGTGGTTGCTTCAAGACTTCTTTCACTGTTTGCATAACAGTCTCAGTTCTCATAACGCTGATAGAACGAACCAGCTCCACTAACAGAAGCTGTTCTTCACTAGCTGTAGGAATGACCTAAAAAGTATTATACATTGCTATTGAGTCCAGCACTGAAGTCCTGACAGTTTCAAAATTACATGGGTTGCATTGTGTGGCCCTGCACAATTTTTCATGGACTCCACCTCTATTTTGCATTGGCTCCACCCACCTCTGGCATGGAGTTCCCAGATAGTTATTATTATTATTACAAGAGAAAGTGGCCTTTAGGCTGAAAAAGATACCCCTCCCCTCCTCTAGGACATCTGATCAATGAAACTTACTGGGCTGACTGACAGGCTCCCCACTTGCCTTCCCAGGGATACAAAGCACCTGACCCCCAAGAACCTCAATCTGGACCTTAATATTTTAACCCATTTGAAAAGAAGATGGGAATTATTTTCAAATGGCTGCATTACTTAACATACCTTAGTCCTTGAAGCATTTTTGTGTTGCCTCCTTTCATTCCACACAAATGCAATAGCTGCCATAAAATGAACGCCGTGATTCATTGAGATAGGGCCCAGCAATTCAAGAATCTGCTGCCTCAGGTTCTGAAATTTAAAGATCATCCCCATTATTAAACTATGCACCCAGAGTATTTTGCTATTGTCCACTGACTGTAAAGATATGGAAATGTAACCTAATAATTTCTTAAACTCAGTGGGGTTTTTTTTCCAAGTTTGTTGGTGCTATTCAGAGAAATCGTTGTCACCTAAATCTATCTTCAAGCTATTGTCAAACATGCTGCTTAATTTAAGTAAGTTCTTATTTGTAACATTTTGACTTCTGTCATCAAATATGGATAATAATACCATCCTGAGATCTAAGTCTAGCATCGGACAAGTCTCATTTCATATATTCATTTATACAGAATTCCTATATCTTCTCACATGACCACCACATATGAAAGTAAGTACCTGAAAACTTAATATATGTTACAATCACCTAGAAACTGAATGAACTACAGCTGAATATCTGGTAGAGAAATGGCCTGCCTATGAATTCGTTCATCCCCCCCCCAAAAAAATATAGACCGGCCCCCCACAAGGTCTGAGGGACAGTGGACCGGCCCCCTGCTGACACCTGGGCTAGATCTTTCATGTTGAAATGCTGTTAAGAAATAAAGAATTTGTTTCTTCATTTGTAGCTTCTATCATAACAGAATTCCCCTCAGCTTATTCAATTCCCGAATAAATATTATCATTGGAGAATGTAAGTGCTGGTGATGATATAAAATGAAATGGGGCTTGCAAGGGATACATTCCCACTGCAAACAGAAATAGAATAAAATTTGTGGATGTTTGGTATCAGTGGCTAAGGCTGGATATGGGGAAATTTTAAGAGGAACTTGGAGTCAGAGTTTGCCCTCTGTTAACCTGCAGGGTTGCTGGTGGTTCTTCAGGTTCTGTGCTGGCGATTTACTAAACGCTTTGTAGGTTACATTCAAACAGACACAACTCAATCTAGTCTGACAAAGTCATACACACACAGTATGCAGACACACACAGGACCATTCATGTTCTTCTGACCTTTGTTGATCCAAGATTAATGGTGGTAATGGATGCAGCAGCTGCAGCAGCTGTTTTCTCTGAAGAGTCTGCCTGGTGCAGGATGCTCCACAGAAGAGTCACAGATGACATGATCATGTGAAGGATAGACAAGATCCCACTGCGTGCTTCTAGCATATGCTTTTGGTCTACAGTCACCAGAAGCTGGTACCAACAAAGAAGAGCAAAATATATCAATTACTCTCAGTGATACAGGAAAGTGCCTACCTCCTCCATGCAGGTACAATTCTGCCTTTTCTCACTTTGGGTCTCTCCTCTCCCTCTTAGTGTGCACTGAGTCGAAGGCTTAGAACTTTAAAATATAGGCATAACACTAATAGTTTCCTATGCTTCATGGCAGTAGGTATATTAGGGCCGACCCTATCATTAAGCATCTGCACATCAAAAAGGGGTAGCAAATTGTCATTCATTTCATTTATTATTAAAGTGTTTTTATTTCCAGGGATGGAGAGATGCTTGTGTCACTTTCAGCCTCAGGTGCCAAAATAACTTGACAACCATGGGTACTACATTCCTCGTCCTCAGGTCGGCGCCATGTCCTGCTCTACATCAAGAAGCAAGTGTCTTGGGCTGGCCCTAAGGTCTGTACCCAGAATTAGCACTGCTGTTAAACCAACCCAATGCACATGAGTTGTAAGGAAACCATGCAATGTACAGACTTACTGGGTGCCACTACAGAACACAGCAAATTATGGGCTCCTAAACTGTTCTCATAAGCAAAGGATCTATAGCAGGGTTTCCAGTTGGTTTTGGACTACAACTCCCATCATCCCTAGCTAGCAGTGGTCAGGAATGATAGGAACTGTAGTCCAAAAACAGCTGGAGACCCAGGTTTGGGAAACCCTGATTTAGAGGTATGGTCAATTCAATAATGGTTTCCTCCCTCTCAAATGACAAAAATAAATGTTACAGTTAAAACACATGCATAGACAAAGACACGGTCAAACCCTTGAACATGCTTACCTGGTGATACTGTGCAGTTGGATCCAACAAGCAATAGTGAATGACAGTTGTAATGCCCTCCAGCAGAGTGAGCATCATATCTGGTGGAGTAACTGATGCCATCCAAAGGGGCCTAAAACACAACATTGAATTTGTTGCAATTCTGAACGGAACAAATTAAACATTTAAAAAAAACTGCCAAGAGAAAGAGAGACACATGCCTGCTGCTGGATAATCCTGTTTCGTATCTGTACTGCTGAATCAGGTTGTCCAGGTTCCGGCAAAGCTGGAGGGTCACAGAAACCACCACTCTTTGGAGCACCTTCCCCATGTAAGGCAGGGAAGCAGTAATGAGTCCTATCCACTGGGGATGCATTTTACAGGCACAGTGCTGGTGCAACGCTCTTATCACGGCACAGAGAAACATGCCTTGGGAGGTGATTGGCTGAGAGTGCAAATACTGAAGGGAAGTCATTGGCTGCTGGGGGTTGATGTGCTCCAAGTCCGTCACGACAAACTCAAAGCCCGCCTCGTTCTCCTCGGGCACAGTCATCACTCTGTGCTCCAGGACAATGAGCCGCTGGAGGACTTTCAAGAGCTGCGACTGCAGGGTGCTGCCGTTGTCAAGCTCGTCCTCGGAGAAATTGATGAGGCTGTCTTCAGAGTAGCCTTCCTCAATGGCCACCATATTTTTCCCAGCGACCTTCTCGCTGTGCCACTTCTGGGCGCTGAAGATGGAGGAGAGCAAACAGTGCAGAACCACTTTCTGCACCTTGCATTTGGACAGCATGTCCGAGATGAAGCTGGGAAAGCCCTTTGTGGAACTCTCCACCACTTTGGCCAGCTCGGCGAAGAGAAGGGTCAAAATCTCAATGCTCATCATCTGCATGTTGCGGTTCCCTATCAGGTCTTGCGGGGAGACTTTCACGTGGGTTGGATAGTGGCTCCGCATGTAGTACAAGCACAGAGAAATGAGGATCTCTATGTACATGGAACTACGGAAATTATGGTTCGAGTCCACTGGGATATGGCTGTAGAAGTCTTTGCCCATAACCGATATGCGATGTCTGGCCAAAAGATTCTGAAGTAAGGACAGCTGTGGGGTATAGGCATTGTTGACGCTGGTGGTGGAGATGGCATTCACAAAAGCGGAAGGGTTTGTTTTCAAGATGGCTTTAATGGCAGAGAAAGCATAGAGAGTCCTTGAGGAGTCATACACCTGAAGGTACAACAGCACATGCTGGTATAAAGGATGGATATTAAAGTGGGGCGACTTTCGCATTCCTGGTGACCCTGCGTCACTCTCAATTTCCGAGATCTCTCCCTCTCCGCAGCTGTACCAATTTTCCAAGTCGAGGCCATCGGTGAAGAAAACGCTGGTTTGTTTAAGCTTCTCAGCTTGCGCCTTCTTCTTCTCGTCGTCTTTCCTCTTGGCTATTTTGACTTTGGGCTTTGCTCCCGGCTGCTTACCAGACTCTTTCACGATGGTTTCTTTCTCCGATGTTTTTTCAGGGAATTTCCCTTTAAAGCTGAACTGGATGCTGCTGTGACTTCTCTGCCTAGACTTGGTTTCCGCTGATGCAGAAATCGGGTCACAGAGACTCTGCTCGCTTACTGAGATGCAAGGAGAGGAATTGTTTCTGGAGATTTCATTGGAAATGCTGTCCAGTCCCGTCTCGGTCGAGGCAGATAGCAATTGAGAACTGTCATTGCTAAGCAAACTGCTCTGGCTGTCTTGAATGTTTGGGTCTTCAGTTTTAGCAGCCTCTTCGGAGGGATCCAAAGCATTTAGCTTAGTGGAGGCATCTTCTGAATACAGGTAATGCTTACCTGGTTCGGTATCTTCTCCAAGCCCACTGACAACCTTGCATATCAAGTCAGTGACCACCTGCTGGACAATTTCATCCGGCGAATCTCCCCTCAAATGCTGAGAACTGTCTGTTGCCATCAGGCTTTCAGCTTCTGCCTCGAAGCTTAGGTTATCCCCAGCAGATGACTGGGAACAGCCAGAGTCAGAACTCTGCATTATTTCTATCTGATGGTCGGGAAGATCAAAATCAGATGCAACCATAGGAAGAGTTTCACTGCTGGTACTCAGTAGGGAGATCCTGTCACTTAATGGGTTGACTGTAAGACTGAAGTTCTCCATTTCATCCATGGCAAGTTGCTTTTCATTGTTCTCTTTAGCAGTAATGTCTTGTTCCTGACTTACCGGCATGTGGGCAAATGCTTAAAAGAAAAAGGGAATTCAGATGTGATGTTTTTCTACAGGCACTGAACAATTAGTTCCCTAAATCATGTAACATTCCTTCCTTGCTAAAGCAGCTTTACAGACAGTCCACTCTGATCGTTTACAAGTTAATATACAAGAGTCCTATTCAGAGGCTGTATAAATTACATTTAGGTAGCTATCCCTCAGTTAACTCTAAATGCTCTGTAGATGGGTTTACAGACCCAACAGAGCTCTGGATCAGGGCCCATCTGTGTTGCAAATATGAGCAATTACTAACAGAAGTACAAAAGGCACTCAATGCGTATTTTTAAAAATGTTCTAAATCTGCAAAGCAAAGCATTTGACCTCTGATTAAATGTTGCTATTGGACTTTGACATCAGTAATTGATCAAAAAAGCAGAAGATAAAGTATTGGGGGGAATATAAAAACATTGTGCTTGGTTTACGGTTTAATTAGGTCCTCATCTGGCATGTCAAGAATTCCACATTAAGTTAGAGAATAAATTACATTGTGCAGTAGTGCATTGTGGATGAGTAATAAACAGAAAACAATCCATACCAGAATTAATTTTTAAAGGGTTGGTTTAGTAAAACACAGAAATTATAACCTGATGACCAGATCATCAATAATCTATCATAAATGTAAGTGAATAACTTCCCAGTTCATAACTTATATACTTGGACTAAATTCCTCTTGATAAACAAGCTTATCAATAACTCTAATAATAAGTTAAGACTCTTAGACTAGATGACAGTCCACAAAATAGGAAAGAAATAATGTTCAGCAAAGACAGTATCTGCTTCAGTTTGTGGCATTGTTACCATTATTGGCGAGTCCCTTCTAAACCAATACAGTGGTACCTCTGGTTAAGTACTTAATTCGTTCCGGAGGTCCGTTCTTAACCTGAAACTGTTCTTAACCTGAAGCACCACTTTAGCTAATGGGGCCTCCTGCTGCTGCCGCGCCGCTGGAGCACAATTTCTGTTCTCATTCTGAAGCAAAGTTCTTAACCTGAGGTACTATTTCTGGGTTAGCGGAGTCTGTAACCTGAAGCGTATGTAACCCGAGGTACCACTGTATGATGTCTAAATTGAGATGCTTCAAGAAAATGGTATCAGGACAGAATACTACCAGAGCACTCCATTTTCCTTTCATACCATTCTAGACTCCACGCCATCCTCTCCAGGATCAGTAATGGCATGCGCAGCATTGGCCCAGCTACTAATTCATGGATATATTCCATTTGTGATATGACATGGAAATGCAGGCAACCCCCGATTTGCTTGGGGGTTGCGTTCTGGGTCATCGCACGAGACGGGGGAGCGTATGTAAGCCCGCCTTGAACGTGCACAAAATGGTCATTGTCTGTATTACGGAGTATTGTAAAGGCATATTAGTAAGGCAGATATGTGAAATTAGGGTTTTTAAACACAGTACTTACAATCACCACAGTTAAATTTCTGCATAAAATTATTTTCATTTTCATCCTCAGGATAACAAGATGGTTTATTCCAGTAACATTCAGCCTGCACTCTCTGGACAGAAATGCGCTGAGTTTTTGGGTGGAGAAGCAACAGAAGCAAAGGTTCAAGGACTCTTGCAATGTCATGACGTTGGAGCACTTGATTTAACCAGGCCTGACCGACTGACCAGGTAGAACCATCCAAACTGTTAAGGCTGTCCAGCATGATAAACAAGGACCTGAGGATGGAAAAAAAAAATCCAAATAAAAACCACAATGGTTGTAACTATGGGCATCAGCCGCTAGTTTCTTCAGCTGGGGAAACCTGGTTGAACAACTTGACAGACACTTCATCTACTGCATAATGGGAGGACTCTGCAAAGGTCTAAGAGATGACAGAGGTCTCCCTGGGCTATCTTTCCATTTGGAATTGGGAGAGGAGCTGCCTTCCAGGTCAGAAAGCGACATGGCTCTTCCTGGGTAGAGACAATTAAACTCTGAATATTTTTGCACTATCTTTGAATCCAACCAACCTGTCAAATGAGCGACCATACGATGAGGACTTGTTAATATGGAGGTCTCTGGTGAGGTGCCATAGCACTGCAAACTTGGCATGAGCTTCTGTCCTGATTTTCTGCAGAATAAACAGACAGATAACATGGTTAAACAATTCACTGGAGGAAGTATGGAGGGAAGTGGCAATCTAAATCAGGCCAAGTCGGAACACATGGAAACCATATAATCAAGTGATTGCTGCGGTTAAATCATAAATGAAATCACAAGCTAGCTTCTGGTTCACAATTTTCCTTTTTATACCTTTCCCTCAATACAGTATCAGAATAGGAAAGCAGAAATAAGAGGGCAGAGCAGTATGAAGCTTGTTATTTATTTAGTGCCATCCAAGAAGCTGGACTAAAGATAGTACCTGAACAAAATTAGAGGAAGAGCAAGCCTGGTTGCAAAGAACCACACTGGAAAGAAGGAACTATTTTATTTATTTTATTATTATTTTTAATTAAGACACTACTGTTAGGAAGGAAGGTAGCCTGCATAAGAATTGCACTGTTCCTCACCAACACCACCGTGAGGCTCCCATGTCTTGCATTTTACCTGCATAATCTGCAATGATAATATAGGATTCTAAAATAGTTTCACTGCCTCAATTCCAAATTTAGCACACCTCAAAAGAGCGTAATACATGTGAGCCAATATTTACCTTGTCTCTGTGGGTCAACTGTTGACTGATAACATCCTCGCAAATGCTAGATGACGGAACTAGATTGTGCAACTGGAAAAAAAGCTCCACACTCTTCTGGTGATGTTGAGGAGTTCCATCACCCAGCTGGTCCCATAGTGTTAATGCCACATGCTTTGGAAAGGAACACAGGAGAAATACACACAGACACAGTTATAGCTGTCTTATCAGAGTGAACAGCTGGGGGGAGATGCCTAGGTGTAGCCCAGCTGATGTAGAAAAACACTGAGATCCAAATGTGATGTAGGTGCTCCTCTACAATGAGAAGGCACTTCTGCTTTTACCAGGTTTCCCCCGATTTCTGCCAAGTCTATCCCCTTGCTTCCACCCCAACACATCCTATATTCTTCCACAGGGTCCTCTGTCCCTCAAAAGTGGCTTTCAGGGGGTTGCGCAGGGAGGTTAGCATGAAAAAGCCTCACTGTTCAAGCAGAGGTCCACCCATGAGTTTTGAGGTCCAAGCCTTTATAAGGCCCAGAAAGAAATTTCTGTAAAATGCAATAACAACATCTGTTTTAGCAGCAGTTTCATTGCAAACCGCTTGGTGCCACAGCAGCAGCAAAGCCCCTTGTGCTGGGTTTCCCAAGCGCCCCATAACTAGCTGGCTGTCAGACACTGGGAAAGTGCTGTGCAGTGGACTTTGACAGGGGTGGGGGTGGAACAACAGGGTGCTGCTGCGCTCATGTCCTGCCGGCAGGCTTCCAAAGGGCCACTGTGAAAACAGGATGCTGGACGAAATGGACCATTGGCCTGATTCAGCAGGCTGTTCTTATGCTCTTATCAGGATTGTTGGTAAAATGCTTAACAAGTAGTGTAGTGAGTAATCAGCTTCAGAGCAATGTATTAAGTTTCATTTAACCCAAAGCAGTGATAACAGTCTCGTAAGGTGCAAAGTTTGGGTGCAGTACTTAGAAATTAAGTACCTCTGAAGTTCAGAAGTGGGTCACCAGGTGGACAGAACTGCTGTGCTAGTTTCCCAGTAGGCAGATCACTGCTGGAAGGTGGAAGGGGGAGGTATTAGGGAGGTCAGTGTGGTGCTAACAGATTGGCAGGAGCACCAGACTGGCTCGCTGGTGTGTTTGCACCATGCCACCCTCCCTGCTGCCTCACGAATATGCAACAACAACCCACCTGCTGGGATGCTAGCATAGTAGCTGTGCCCCACTTGACAAGCTTCTGCATAAGTCCTGCCAAAAATCAATAGAATTTAAGGACATAACCTTGTCTAAATACAATTAAAAAAAAATTCAAAGTTTCTGAACAAGCCAACTTCAAACCATAGGTTATGCAGCTGGCTTACTTTCCCAGTTAGAACTTGCTTTAAACCACCACCTAAGAACTAATCAGGCTTTGTAGAAAGTGAAAATAAATGTTGCAGAGGTTCTTCGGCCTGGCACATTTTTATCATTACGGAAGCTGTATGACTGTTTTACTGTACCTTGAAAAAATCTGTCTTTTCAGCCATGTATCGGAGGTTGCCTTGAGTGAGAGGAGGTCTGATCACAACAGCCACTCTTCCTTGGTTTGGACTCAGAGGTTGTGGCGCTTCCACACTATTCAGATTTTCTCCAGTGACAAAAGCAACGGACTGAGTCAATCCCACTAAGTCCATTATTAAAGAAATAGTGACACCTTGGATGCTGAAATCACTGGCTTGTCTGCAAGCACCCATAAGAGTCTGGAGCCACAAGGGGGGCTGCTCTTCTTCACAATCTGAAAGGAAATGGCTTCTATTCAAAAAAAGCAGTTCCTCTTATATTGGAAAATTATATTTATTCCCACCCACCACCCCTCCATCTTGCATATCTACTGTACCACCACCAGCTACTTCAAATAGGTTAAACTCTAATGGGAAAAGTAGAATGGGCGGGGGGGAAAGACTTTGCAGAAATGTACCACAGTTTACTCTGCATGTCAAGCTGGGCTTTTGATGGCCTACCTTCAAACAGCAGACCAGCCCTGTGCTACCCCAAACAGGTAGGCTGCTTTTGAAAATCAGGGTTCAAAAGCAGTTTCAGATGTAGTATGGAGAGGCTGCTTTTTGATATTTTAATTTTTAAAAATTCTGATGCGTATATGCAGTAGGCACTTGGGCATACTGAAATGGATCACGGCCCCCATCTAAATTTGTAATGGATCTCAAGGGATCATGACAAGCAACCATATCACACAGATAATGTTGAACAGGAGGAATGAGAGATTAATTGCCGTCTAAAAATGATAAAAGGAATGAAGGGAAGCAGTAATACAAATATGGTCCCCATCCTAGAACTAAGATGTACGCCTGATTTGCACACATGGGGTTGTATCCAACTAAGTAATACTCAAGTAGACTGACTGAATCAGAAGACATGACTTGTTTAAGTCCATTGATTTCAATGGGTTTATTGTGTGCAACGCATGGACTGTTCCATTTATTTCAATGGAGATATCAGATCTGAATGTGCCTGCTGATCTGCAGACTCCACTGAAAGCAGAGGTTGAAGGTTCATGGGCTAAGTACACGCATCAGAATTCCCAAGTCTAAATGAATTAATTGCCCTCCAACCATGAATTAGCTGCTTTCCACAATCATCCCTTCTATTCCTGCTTCTTTATCTATATGCAACATATATATAGGTCCTTAGGCATGACAACTATAATCTGTGCTAAAAAAAAACCAAAAACACCTGACATGAAACTGAACAACAAAAAGGTGGCAAGATATAGTAGGAATAGCCAATGTCACATCCTCCAGATTTTGCTGGGCTACAACTCCCATCAACCTCAGCCAGCAAGGTCAATGGTTGGGGGTGATGGGAGTTGTAGTCCAACAACATCTGGAGGGAGTAGAATAATAAACCAAAACTCTAATATGAAAGATGGAGTAGCAACTGCACACCATCCGTGTCACTGGAATGGAGCTACTTTAATGATATGGCTATTATTTCAACTACGTAAACCTCAGGTTGGCTGTGGGGGTGTGTCAGTAACCTCACACGGATTGTACAAAAGTGCTTCACAGTGGGCCCCTTGGGATGAGGTCTTGGGGAACAGAAACTCAGAACATGAAGAAGGTTCTCAGGCTCAACCCCCAACATCTCTAGCTAATAGGACCAGGAGGTGGGAAAGGCCCAGCTACACCTGAGACCCTGCAGAGCCAGTGCCAGTGTGAGCAGACAGCACAGGGATTGATTGACAAATAATCTGACCTGGGGTAAGGCAGTTTCAATGCTTCCATATGAGACTTTGGATTTCAGAAAACAAAGCTTCAGAAGCCCCAGAGGAAATGAATGCCTGTTCTTTGAGACTAACTGACACAGAATACTACTTCTGGCCCCCCAACCTTCTTTCGAAAGATGAGATACTTTGTATGCATCAACAAAGCTGTGAAGTTTTCATATGTATTAGGTACTCAATACAGGAGCTTATTAACTGCAAGCAACCATATCACACAGCAGATGTGAAGTGTAAGAATAACCTACACCAAAAATACACTGGAAGTGCATCAATTTACATCTGATGTATCCCAATGTCAAACATACATACTGATAGGAATTAAGCAGGATTGGTTTCAAAGTCTGAAGCAAATCCATTCCAACAATTACCCAAATCAAAACCCAGTATACCTCCCATCAAGCCCTTTTTTTACTAGGAAACATTTCTTTAAAAAATAATAATAATAAAGAATAGGAGAACTGGGTTTGTGCACAACGAGAGAAAGAGAAACAAAAGGTAGTCAAAACTGGTTTTACAAAAAGTGAAAGATCAAACCTGAAAGGAAGTTTTAATGGGGAGGAGATTAAAATGTAGGAAATTACTCACCAATATCTGTCTGCTCAGCATGTATTTCTGATGTGTGGTTTCCCTCTGCAATGTAAACTGGAAAACTTGAGCACTCAAGGAAGAGCTGACATGCAGCAATGAAGGCAGAGAGGTATTCTTTTGGCGATGTCTTCTTAGTGGTCCTTTTCCCTTTAGCTGCATCCCCTTGTGACTCTCTGGTACACTGTGCAGCCTCTCCTTTCCCCCTGACGAGGTCCTCCTGAAGCTCAGCTGCTAAAGGCCGAGACAAGGAGTTGCTTGGAATGATGTACAGGTTGATAAATCTGGTTAAAAACTGCTGGACATACTCCAAACAGCACTGCATTGCAGTCTTCTGAACTGTTGTTGTCTTCCCACTTCGAGATCCTGTCCCCTGGGCCATCTTGGAAGACGGCTGAACAACTGTTTCCTCAGAACCCAGAGTGGAAACTGTCTCAGTCTCTGAAGAAGTGCTGCCTATAATGGGGAGGCCAGTTGTTCCAGACCCCCCACTCAGCATCCTGTCAATGTCATCAGTCGTATCTGCCTGATACTGCACAAACTCGGTAAAGCCACTTTCGGAGGACCGGCTGCTTGGAGGATTTTCACCATCTTCAAACACATCGTTTGGGTTCTCTGCAGAAACTGGTGGCATCTAATTGAGACAAGAGTAAGGAAGGAGCAAGAGCTGAATAAAATCAGAGGGGGAAAGCAAACCGTGTCATTTTGTGTGTTAGCAAATGTTGTTCTCTCATTTTCACCAGCTGCACATCTCACTGCATTTGTCTTTTGTTTATAGTTTAAGAGCAGGTGAGTTCAGAAAACCAGTCTCCACAACCCACAGTGATTTTTTGCCACCACCACTTAAGGGATCCTCACCAAATTTGATGGGATTCCATACAGGTGGCAGGCAGGCCTCTCTGGGAGAGTTTCCTACAGCCAAAGTGCCACCACCGAGAAGGCCCCGTTCCTAGTAGCCACTTGTCTCACTTCACTTGGCAGGTGCACACAGAGCAGAGCCTCTGAACTTATGGATCAGGTCTTTTACACTTCCGGGGAAACAAACAAACAAAAATATGCATGCATATTCCTAACTTCTTAAGCCTTTCTGTGTTCCTGGTGCACATGGCACACGAAGCTATCTTTTTTCTAATATAAAGCCTGCAAGGTGCATATGTAGTTGCCAGTCCACTCTTGAAGTAGGCCACAGGTTTTAAAGCAACAGAATGGGAGCTAAGCTTATAGCAACCGTTTCAAAAGTTGGAGCTGTTTATTTTTAAAAACGAAACAAGAAGAATATTTTCTGTATTACCTTTCTTTCTTCCCATTCTTTGACGATGCTGTGCCTGCTCGGAAACTGCAAGGCACCGTCAGTACCAGCGGACAACAGTGGAGGCTGAACTTTGCTAAGAATCTTTGAGCAGAGTTTCAAGGAATCCGCTAGCTCAGACAAGTGCAAAGTCTGCAGGTGGCTCGTCAAGGCAGAGATCATCCTGAGTAGCAGCTGAGGCAGATGTTCCGTTTGTATTTCAATATAGGTCTCCTAGCAACAAAATACAATTAGAACTGGTATCAATGGCTTCTGTAATTTATCCTTTCTATGGACTTTAGCTACAAGTTTCAATAGTTCTATTTTTACGAAATTTGAAAAAAGAAAGGAAATGAAGACTTGGTTAAAAAGCAACAACTTTTAAACATGGGGTGATAGCTAATTCTGTTTGTCCACTAGCAGGGAGCACTGCCAGTGGTGCAACAGGGGCTTCCCCTCCCTCTCCCTACAGCCTCCCAATCTGCTTTTGAGGGGTGGGAGACATCTTGGATCAGATGGCAGGGGGAGCATGGAGGGCTGCAAAAGGGAGGAAAGGAAGGGGAAACCAGCTTGGCACAACACTGGGGATCACTCATGTTATATATATGAATTTATAATATTAAATCTTGCTCACTTAACAAATTCAGTCACAATATGCAGGGGATAGTCATGCTGTGGGAAAATGGGTTTTATGGGGATGTTTAGAGAACCTCTGCTGCTATTTGCTGAATAGAGACCTGTGTATATCTGTGTATCTATCTATCATGTGCATAGAAGCCAACTCTTAGGGGCCAGGGAGGCTTTGGCTCCCCCTAAAATATTTGAAGGGGCTGAGCCCCACCCAAGTTGATGGGCATTGCCATTCAAATGGTGTGCATGCACCATGTCATGTGATCAATTATGTGGGGCGGGGCATATCTGCCCCCCCCTTTTTTATTCAAGTTGACACCCCTAAGCATGCCTACTTATGTGTATTTATAAATGAACAGGTTGCATGTATGTACAAGCACAGAAGAGTAAGCAGCACAGTCTTTAAAATATTTCAGGAAGGATGGTTATTCTCCCTGCTGTTTAATCTACATTTGACACAGTTGTTATAACAGCAAAGAAAGCAATATCTGGGGAACTGCATTAAGCTGTAGTGATTTGCGGGCTTGGAAAATGTGATAAAACTCCCAAAAGAAGCGCAACTCGGTGTGTCTGATGAAAGTGAGAAACAAATGTGCATTTATTGTGTAAAAAAACGGTTGTTTGAAAACACTCTAAAACTACAAACTGATAACAAATCCACAGAGGGCAATCAAATATTCACGATTCTTTCACATTTAATATTACCAAAATATATACTGTCAGAAACATGTAAACGGATCACTTTTAATCAAAAGAGGAAAACAGTCTGAATGTCATACCTGACAAAGCACTCTCATACTTCTAGTAGGCTTTGAAATGAGAAAGCAAAGAGTTTGAAGACAAAGGAGAGATAACAGGAGGCAAAAAACCCAAAACATTTCTAAGAGCCTTCATTAAGATACACAATGTTGATAGAGAAATATGATTGCGGCATGCATAAAAAACAACTGCTATCTAACAAGTTTAACGAAATCACAGCGCCACATATCCTGCTGTCAATTAGCATAGTAATAGACAAAGGAGGAGGGATGCAAGAGAAAGAAGTGAGGCTGAGCCCACAATCAAATAATAAACAGAAGAATGATCTCTGTGTGATAAAATCTCATTCTTAAAATTAAGACCCTACTGCAAGGGGAATGTCTTCCCCTCAGGGGAGTCTTCCAGGGGCCACGTGACTGTGAGGGGGCCGAGGCCAGACAGAAAAGTGGGAAGAGCAATGTAGAAGAGTTTTAGCTCTGCAAGGTTAGCTAGTTTCTATACACTCCAAGACATCCCTGTCTATCGTCCATCTAGACCTTGGGCCTCCAGCTGTTTTTGGACTACAACTCCCATCATCCCTAGCTAGCAAGACCAGTGGTCAGGGATGATGGGAATTGTAGTTCAAAAACAGCTGGAGGCCCAAGGTTGGGAAACACTGATCTAGACAAGCAAGGGTCATCGGAGGTGAAGACACATTTCAACCATGCAAAAACAAGCAAGGAAGGGCCTTGGCCTGGGGAGAGTTGGACGAGCCAGACAGAAAGGACCAGAGGGCTGCATTTGGCCCCCAGGTTCCCCATCCAGCCCCTATCATATCACTTTTGAAGCAATGCCTGCCCACTTTGCTGGATTAAAGACCTCTTTCATGCCACATGGAGGGTTACCTAGCTTAGAAAACCACAGAGTAGTGGGAGGAGAACCAAGTTGCGAGCAGTAGAAATCTTACCAAAGATACTATATCCAACAAAAAATCAACTAGCAGGCAGAAATTGGTAAGGGGGAGTTCAGCAGGTTCACTACCACCTCCAGGCACAGTCTGTAGTCGGGCATGCAGTGTCCTCCTATGAATTCAAAGCATAATTTATTCATTGGTAGCAGTGTGGCTGTGTAACTAGTAATATTAGCAGGATATTTGGCCCTGCTGAAGTTGTCGAACTACAACTCCCATTAGCTTCAGCCAGCCTGGCCAATGGTCAGAGATTATGGGAGTTGTAGTCTAGCGAAATCTGGAGGGCCACAGGTTCTACATCCGTCAGATAGATTAATAACCACAGACAGATATGTAGCACCGCAAATATCCTCGAAGTAATGATTTGCAACGGAATCAGTTCACACATTCAGCTGCAAGTCACCAGGCACTGAAGCATAACACGACACACATGCACATGGAAACTGACACAAAGAGTAAAGTAACAATCTACGTATAGAGAGATTCCTCTTTCTAAAAGATCTATACAGCATACTTTGACAACTTAGAAGCACAGTATATAGGTTTTTTTAAAAAAAACGTAAGTGTATCAACTCAATTGTGCTCCTCTACCAGGACACAACAGTACACAAAACATCTTCAGTGAAATATAACTTACCTACAACATTCTTCAAACCAACGGGCAATGTAATCCCACATATAGTAAGGCTCAAAAGAATTGAACAGAAGATTGGCAGTTTTAATCAGCTCTGCTGTTTTCTTATTTTCCCTCAGTTTGCTGAAATAAAAATGTAACAACAGTATTCAGAACAAAGGTACTCCATTTGCAATCTTGCTCCAAACCTACTTCCTGATTTCCCTCACAGCAATCTCCCCCTTTGTCACTATACTTTCCCACCTTTATCCCCCTCCTGCAATCCTACTGCCCTTTTATTTTTTTGCTATCATTGCCATAGAGGCAAAACCTCTGAATCCGGAATCATTCAAAGCAGTAGACAAGGTAAGAATTTGTCGCTGCTGACACAGCCCACCACAAGCTTCCTCAGGGAGATGAATGGGTATAGCTTCTCAGCTGGAACTGCTCTGAATGAGCTGCAGAGATAAGAAAGAAGTCCATCCATTGCCAAGTCTGTGTTACTGGCTACCAAGCAAGCAGAACCTAAATCTGCAGTGCAGAAGCCTTTGAGCACACGTCTTTCTATGGCTAACTATAGGATAGGCTTTGTGAGCTGACATAACTACTGAGTTGTGACCAGTATCAGGCTAGGCATTCACATCTACAGTAGAAAGAGAAAAGGGTCTTCTTCCCCAACCTCCTCTGCTTTAACACTTTACTTGGGCTCCCTTTTCAATATTAAATCACCATCATAATCCGTTTCCACTGGCTTAGCATGTATTCTGAGAATTTCATGGATAGGAGGTGCTCACTGATTAATCACTAATGGGAAATATATATCTAAAACGGAAGGGGGGAATTATGTTTGGTTTTGTTCTTATTTTTACCATGTACTTCGTGTTTTTTATATTGTATTTTTATGTTGTGAACCGCCCTGAGATGAAGGACAGTATATAAATTTAATTAAAAATAAGAAACTAATTATATCCCAGTGGACTAGGACCTGGGAGGCTAGAGTTCAAATCTCCACTCAGCTGTAAAGTTTATGGGGAAGTAACCTTGGGTGTGTCACCATCTCTCAACCTAAATATCTCACAGGACAGGTGCACAAATAAATTGGAGAGAGGAAGAAGTATGTATCATCGATGAGCTCCTTGCAGGGAAGGTGGGATATAAATGTAACAACAAATAAATATGCTACTTTTAGCACACACACACTTTGTGAATGCTCTCCCTAAAAATACTGGCTCGGGTCGGGTATTTTAAAGGTAAAGGCAAAGGTACCCTTGACCGTTAGGTCCAGTTGCGGAGGACTCTGGGGTTGTGCGCTCATCTTGCTCTATAGGCTGAGGGAGCCGGCGTTTGTCCGCAGACAGCTTCTGGGTCATGTGGCCAGCATGACTATGCCACTTCTGGCGAAACCAGAGCAGTGCATGGAAACACCGTTTACCTTCCCGCCAGAGCAGTACCTATTTATCTACTTGCACTTTGACGTGCTTTCCAACTGCTAGGTGGGCAGGAGCTGGGACGGAACAACGGGAGCTCACCCCATTGCGGGCATTCGAACCGCCGACCTTCTGATCGGCAAGCCCTAGACTTTCAGTATCTGATCCAATCCCTGACCCACATGACATATCCAATTAATATTGCAACTTCCCTCATTCTCAAAATAATTTTGCATGAAAGGCTGCTGTTCAAGAAACTGGGCTTTAGGAAGGGATTTCTCTTTTTTCCTCTCGATATAGCCACCTGCTTAGCTGAGCATGGTCCTTGCTGAAGGAGGAGTCCACCTGCAGATCCAGCTCCGCTTTGCATTGAGTATATAATGTCCTAAATACTTCAATCAGTACATCCTCTAATATTACAGGTCCTACAAGGAACAAGAGAAAAAAATTATATTAAGAATTCCACTGGCTAGTATCTGAATTCATTTTATCTGCAGTTATACCAATTGTACAATTCAATAATGCACAACAAAAGACACACAACTTTATCCATGCTTTCTATTTGGCTGAAACACGTTAAAAGCACACTGAAAACTGTTGGAAAGGATGGCGCTGCTACCACTAATTTAAGAAGGAATGTGATCTCCTGGCACTGCCAGTACAATGTAGTAACGCGTTTTCTATGGCTGTGTTGATTTCATTAAAACTTAATATGTGCATGCTGTCATTAAAGATTTAGGCTATGATCTTAACATGAAAGGCATCGTAGCAAGCTTGTTTTAAGACTGTGTCTGACCTTTCAACTGCAAGTGAAAAAGGCGAAGCGCATTTATTTCAAAAACCTGTTGCTCAATTCATTCCCAGTGCCTGTTTTCTTTACATTGTCAGAATTGAGAAATTCTGGGCTTGCAATCTGACTTCAAACATGCCTGATGACATATGTAGCAGTTACACTACAGTAACTCTTGTGTTATCCTCTGCAATTCTGTACCAAGTGCAATTCTAACCACTTCTGAGGAGCATTTCTATCCCATCAAAGCAGCACCCTCTCTTCCTCCTGTGCTAATGCAACACTGCATTACCAAAACTCTGTGATAATCAGATAGTGGGTGATTTTTAGAACAGAGTAAAGGAGGTACAGCTGCATGGATCACAGACTGCTGTTTTAACTGTTACTAAGTTTTATTATACCTGTTCAGATAGGCATATGAGAGAAGTTCAAGGTTACTCTTTTACTTATGGTGCATGCCTCATTTCATCATATGCAGTACCTTAGAATGTCTGGATGTTTGTTTGTTCTTTTGCCCTCTGTTACTACTATGTGAACTGTTACTTATTTAACAACAGACACACCCCCCCATTGGCATGCAAGGAGATTCATATAGCTACCTAGCTCAGGTTTGTCCAGTAAACTGATAAGAATCCGAAAAGGCTTCAGATCCTGTGTCAATGTGCTCTCCTCTCCACACACGTTGATCTGCAAAATTCCCACCATTGCCTGTAAGAAACAACGCATTAGAATCAAGAAGTGAGACAAGAGTTTAGACTACAGTGACCAAAGCACCAGTAAGAAACCATTCATGGTGCTACTACCTGAAACGCTAACCTAGTTCTACAAAACATTGCCCTCCTCCCCACTCTTCAGTGGGAGCAGCCCCTGGATCTAACTCCCTTTCATTCCATGAAGAGGCTTTCAGTTTGTGAAAGGGACATTCTGGATCCAGTCAACGGTCTTCTCTCAAGGGTATTCCTGGGGTATGCCATTAAGATTAAGACAAGGTTAGGCCACAACTATGGATCAGAAATTACTGGAAGTGTGAATGTACATTTGTCTGCCTGTCTGCCACATCTGGGTTCCCCATGCCATCATTTGAGCATCCTCTATCTAACCATTCTCCTCATCCTTCACAAAATCAAGTTAATTTTTGAAACAAATATGAATTACCAATGCATGTCGGAGCCAAAATTGCTGTAAGGAAAAGAAATACCAGAAGACCAGGGGTGGGGGCGAAATACACTGAATGTACTTAAAATTACTTCTTCCTTTAATAACATTGCTTTGAATGATAATTGCTTGCATTTAAAAGTTATAACGCTACTGCTTTTAGAAGAAGAGTTGAAGAGAACTTTCTGGTTCCTTGCACAGTCAAGCAAACTGCTTGCTTCCCAAAAATGGTACTAGCTTTGAACAAAATGCTCTCCTAGTATTTGCAAATGTGTAGTCTACTCCCAGTCTCACATTTTGCACAACACAATAAATCCTTTCAATATGGGTCAAAAGGTGCGCCACAAAACAGGTTTGGCTTAGAGTCAGCTAATCAGGTGGCACGTTTGCCATTAGCAAGAGGAACCCCTATAGAAAGACTGGACAGCTTGTGATCTACCAAGCTGAACAGAGCCCACCAGCCATTTTGGAGAACCTACAAGGGACACACGAACAACATATCGAAAGCATGACTACCTGAACTAGCATTTCCTTAGAGAAAGTATTGAAGTAGTACGTAGCATGTTCTTCAGGATTGCTATGCCTTGTGCTTCTAGGTCCTATAATGGCACCGTTGTTATCAAAACCTTCAAGCAAAAGGAAAAGGAAAAAGCATATGGCAAATTAACACAGTGTTTAAATAAGTTGGTAAAGAAGAACAAACAGTGAGAACAATGGCTTAGTTCTGATAACTTACCATTTTGCCGTCCAAATATTGTTCGCAAGAGGAAAGACCATTTTAAATTTAATTTAATAAAAGGCAACTGGTGACACAAAGAGCAAAACATCAAGCTACTTTCACTTCTACAGGAATTCCTGGCATTCTGGATGATGAATGCCGCACTTAATTTTCCAGTGATGGGAGGAAATATAAATTTAGACTTTACAAGAATTCTACTATAGTCATGGCACTTTTGAATGTTTACATTGGTTCACATACATCATTTCATTCTAATAATTACAACCATCCTCTAAGGTAGGTCACTCTGCATTGCTGAGACTGAGAATGGCGGCATGCCTAAAGGCTACTTGGCAAGCTCAAAGCTGGGCTGAGATTTCCACTAGGGAGATCCTGATTCATAGTTCTCTCAGGCTGCAATCCTAAACATACTAACTTCTGAGTAAACAAGCATAAGACTGCACTGTTAAGCATTACATCACATCAGTCTGTGGCCAGTCTGCATCAAAGAAGTGGAAATCTTGTTATTAATAAAAAGACAATCTGGCTTCTGTATGCATATTTGAAGCTGAGTTTTATTATTATGAAGCTAAGAAAACATTACCTACTAGTGCAAGGTTGGGTTATGAAATAACGTGCATTTTATAGCTGATTTATATAGGCTATCCCAATTTGCGCTGGATGGTATAGGTGGCAAATTTATTTATTTCTTATATCTCAATGCATGGCTCAACGCTCTTCAATTGTAGTCTCAGACAAAGTACATTACAACAGTCTAGCTTGGAGGTTACAAAGGCTGGTAGTAGCCAGACTATCCTTTGCTAGATACAGCTGTCAACTGGCCATAAAAGATGCTCTGGAAAATCCAGGAGCAATGTTGAGTCCAGTAGCATGCCCAAACTCCACACCCAAATTCTCCTTTAGGGGAAGCAGGACCCCAACTGGAACAGGAAAACCACGACTCTGGTGTCAAGCAGGTCCCCTTCTATTAACATCACCATCTTGTCTGCATTAAGTCTGACAAGGAGGAACAGAGCCAAGCACACTAATGAAGCCTCCTCATTCTCACAATTTTTGAACAGCCTCTCCAAGCAGTTACATGGGATACCCTCCAGAGGTTGTTGAACTACAACTCCCATCACCCCTGACCAATGAGCATGCCAGCTAGGGCAGGTGGAACAACTGGTCCAGGAACATGTGAAGCGTAGCATGTGAGCCATCTCTGATGTAGGTGATGAAAATGATGCCAAGACAATGCAGACCCTGCAGAACCGCATAAGGCAAATTCCAAGAGCTGGAGCAGCAGTTCCCCAGTACCAAGTTTTATTCTCTAACATGGCGACGCAGGTGGCTCTGTGGGTTAAACCACAGAGCCTAGAGCTTGCCGATCGGAAGGTTGGTGGTTCGAATCCCCATGATGGGGTGAGCTCCCATTGTTCAGTCCCAGCTCCTGCCAACCAGTTCGAAAGCACGTCAAAGTGCAAGTAGATAAATAGGTACCAGTCCGGCGGGAAGGTAAACGGCGTTTCCGTGCACTGCTCTGGTTTGCCAGAAGTGGTTTAGTCATGCTGGCCATATGACCCGGAAGCTGTACGCCAGCTCCCTCAGCCAGTAAAGCGAGATGAGCGCCGCAACCCCATGGTCGTCTGCAACTGGACCTAATGGTCAGGGGTCCCTTTACATTTATGGTAGAAATTTATATGGCATGTATGTATGTATGCATGTACGTACGTACGTATGCATTCATTTAGCTAGGTGTGCTGGCAGAGATAAGCTGCTTGTTCAGTTACTGTTACTACTGATGTTTTACACTGCATTTTTAGGTGTGCACTTAAAACAAAAAGTTCCCTGCTTCAAAACTTCTTGTGATTTAAAAGGCAGATTATAAACTACAAATAAATTATAAATTTATTGTATCTTTAGTCAGCCATAACACAACAGCAATAGCTACAGGAACATTCAAAATGTTCCGCAACAAACTTTAGTCCAAAATAAAACCGCACATACTAAAATGAAGGGGAGTTTACAGTGTTACTGTTACAATGAGGTACCAGTTGATTTTATAAAAATATAAATCCCGCACCTACCTAGAAGCCAGGCATAAAGCCTTCTATTGAGTGACATGTCTCTGCGCAGGACTACATGAAGAGAAGCTGACAGAATTCTGATCATGTCTGGGCGCGTCGCCTAAAATTGGGAATGTTACATTTAAACAAAAAACTGCAGCAGGTGTTACACTCAAGAGTTTTGTTGTATAGGAGAAAAAAATATTTTTATTCACATCCCAGTACCTGTGGATTCATGCAGGCTGAGATCTAGAATCTGACAAAAAAAATCTAGGCTGCCTGTTTTTAATCAACCCCTTCTAAGTGGCTTGCGCCTTTGCCGGCACCAGCAGACAACAACCACATCTCTCCTTGAAGCCTATACCTAGTTTCAGGCGATTTAATCTAATGAAGTACACAAAAAGCAAAGCCTAACATTTACATTGCAATGATAATAAAATAATCACCGGGGAGAAAGAAATCATGTTTCCCCCTGAACACACAACTTTAATGCAGAGTTAAATGCTGATCACTACATTGATCTAATATAAGCAAGAAAATGATCAAAGATATCAGAGGCAGTCTGGGTTGGCCAATCTATTTTTAAGAAAAATAAATAGCTTATATTCACTTGCTTACCTTCACAACTTTGCTGACACAGAATACAAGCCAGCTAATTACCAAGTTTCAGTCAATGCCAAGTAACGCTACACGTTTGCAAAAGCTGTATATTGCTATTTCAATAACGTGTTCCTGAGAGTTGCTGATATAATGGATGAACTCAAATGGTCTGCTCTGGTCATCACGTCTCAAATTCAGAGCTCTGATATACATTTCCATCTGTGTGTGCAACTACCACACACATTACGTTACACACAGTAACAATGGTCTTAAACAATGCAGTTGTTTGAACTAAGACATGAATTTCCAAATACAACATTTCTTGCGCTTTCAAAGGCGACAAAAAAAACTTGATCAAAGAACAAAACTTTTCCTAGGTTGTCATTTTAATACCAGGAAACATGATTAAATACCACAAGGGCCAAAATCATTAGCAAAGGTGGCAGCAAAAAAAGCACTACCAGCACCACAACCCACAGTCTTTTTAGCCTCTCCTATGCAGCGGCCTCCTATGATGGCTGAAAAACCACTACCAAAATCCAGGGGTACTTTCAGGACTCCTTGCAGCATGAGGGATTGCCACCAGAAAGAAAAATTGGCATTGTATGCATGAAGGGAACCCTCTGGAGTAAGTATTTAAGAGATCTTTTAGCTGGAGAGTTAATCTCTTACACCAGAACATGTTATTATTCAAATCTTGGGGAGTCTTTTAAGAAACGTTGAAGACTGCACCCATGGGTAATACGTATATGCAACAGAGTGATTCGCGGAATACTCATTCAGCAGTGTTTTACCTGACTCATGTGGAATGGAAAACAGAAAAGTATCAGGTCCAGTGTGCTTCTCTGTACTAGTACACTGGAATCCTGCACTGAGGTGCTTACTGCTTCCACCTGAAATAAAATTACCATTAGTATAGGCATAATTAGCAATGCTGATTTTGTTTATACACATGCACACAAACATCACAGACTTCTTTAACTAGAGGTCCAGTTAGGATGATTCTCTCCCTAAGCACAGCAGGATAAGCATGACTGTGTCCTCCTTCCCTCCACGGAATCTGGACATTGGCTTTTACACATATTCATCCTATGTCTGAATGCCCAGTGGTCTTGGAGGGAAGGAAGAGGCACACCAAGCAAGCAAGCAATCAAGCAAAGGAGACATAAGGCTCAGAGATTGTGAACTTATCTCTGAGGAATCTGACCTGATCTGAGTCAATATCAAGCAACATGGAAAGAACGTAAGTAATGTAGGGCTTGTAGGAATAAAATTACGAAAACACTTGGAAAATAATAGATAATATCAGATACTCAGTCCTATAATACCATGGCATCTCACAGAGTAAATACCAGAAAATGTAACTATTTCTCCACACAAACCCTGTGCTCCAAATTTAAACACATTTTAGATATACTTGGCCATAGCTACGCTGTGAAAAAAATACTGAATGCTATTTTAGGAAACAAAACACAGACCTTCAGAAACAAGATTTTAAAAATGTTGATCTCATAAGCGCTAAGTGACTTAAAAAGTATCAAGGATTACTTGGCTTTTCAAGCAAAGTTCTCCGGCCAATGTTAAGCTCTTTTAAGTCCTACCAATTTCAATGGGAAATGCTTAATCCTCTCTCTGTGCCTTTAAAATGTGCTTAACTTTAAAGCATGCTCGTTGGTTTGGTCTGATGGGCAAAGAAATGCCATACTTTGAAAGTATTCTCATCATTTATATCAGCATTTTAAAAATACTTCTAACATGCAGATTTTTTGCAAGTTCATCTGCTGCTAGAAAGTAAACAGGATGTATTCCTTACGCAATAGTTATTTCAAAAGGTGATGAAGATAATGAACTGGGGCTGGGCTATTCCTTAAACAAAACTTTACCGACTCTTACCATCAGTTCAATGTCACTGCCTATTATATAAAGCTGGTCTTCCATGGAAAGCTTCCTGTTTAGATGGGAGAGGACATAAGTAATGCCAGGCAACCGAACAGCAGGACTAGTGAGAAGACTACCCCAGAGTGCACTGTAGAAAGCTGATTGGTCCACTGCGGCAGCTACCTTCTCCAGCAGAGTGTTGGTTCTGTGGCATGAGCAACAAGAGCGTGTGGAAGTAAAACGGTAAATAAATAAATCTGGAAGGCTCAGAAATCTGGGTTGATATACCTGACTTACCTCAATTAAAACAGAAGGCCATTAAAAGAAAACAAAAAACCAACTTGGTCGTAGTTATACCTGCTACATTATATTTAAATTTCTTTCTTGGTGGTTTTAAATTGTTTTCACTGCTGTGCTTATACCGGTTTCAGTTTCAGTTTTGTACTGGAAAGTTTTGACTCTCTCGACTTACCCTTTCAACTTCCTTTTTACCAATACCCTCAATTTTATAAAGGCTCTTTCTTTTGAAGTCAAATGTGACTTCAGATGTGTTTGATTCTCTTGGCAACTGTCCACTCACATATATGTTGAAGGTGATAACACTATGGTCACTTTACCTAGCAGTTCAACAACGGTTACATCTCAAACTGGGTCCCAGGAACAACTGATGATAAAGTACAGGGTTGCCATTCCTTTCACCTGTTCTATAACAAACTGTTCCAAGGCAGTTCCTTAGCGTATCTAGAAATTTTACCTCTTTATTGTGACTGGAACATGCACGTGAAGGTAACTGAAGTCACCAATTACCCTACTATAGAACTTCCTCCTTTGGCTACTTCCTTGATTTCATTCTCCACCTCAAGATCACTCAGGGGATGACAAAACATCCCCAGTACTAACTTATTCTTGGGGGTCCGATACAGCAATTCTGTGGCAGAATCTGGAGAGTCTGTGCTTTGAGAATGCCTAGTTTCTTGGACTATATACTATTTTGTGCACAGAGTGCCACCACCTCCACCTCTTCCCTGCCCTACCTATTAAGTTTGCATCGAGGGACAACCAGTTAAGATTAGCATCTTAGAAATTTTCACAGTGCACAAGATTTTATAACAGTGGTATTACATTAGCCCATAGCCTTACCTCTCATAATACTCTGAACCTTCCTCCAAGCCAGGAAGTATCCCAGTTAACAATCCTTGCAAGCCCGGTTTCAACGTTTTGCCCAAAGGAAGGTAATAAACTTCATACAGACTGAGTAATGCTGGTTTGACAGACATAGCAGCATTCGCAAGCAGAGGGAAAAGCCCAGAACTGTTTTGGAAAAAAACAGAGAGATACAAAAGGGTACTGAGAGGCTGGACTGGTTTATATAGATAATTTTCAGCATATGAGGATAACCAACTAACAAAGAGAAAGGCTGCTTAATCTATACATTCTCCGGATCCATTTCACAGACTAGTAAGTTTTCCTGAAGAACATCACCATTTCCCACGAGATCCTACCCAACAGAGAGGCTTGTTTTGAATGAGACACTATACACAGTAATGGAATTGTGGAGATTATCCAGTGAAACATGAAAATGCAAAGCTACCATTTAAAAACATAGCTAAAAAGCTGAAAACCATTCATGCCTTTATTAATAAGCATGCTATTGCCACTCCATTCAAATTGAGCATCTTAACTCCTGAATTCAATCCTTGCCTTCCACATTCTGGTTATACTGGGATTCAGTGCTTCTGCCCTCTAAGTGCAATACAAACAAGAGATGTAAGAGAAACATATGCTCAGAGTAGATATGTATCTCCTTTCATGCCCATCTTATTTGGTAACCAGATCCTCATAATTAATAAATAAGAGGTTTCAAAGACTTCCGGTTATGTCCATTTTCATTTTATTATCACCTATGTGTGTATGTGTTTCTGTGTGTTCAGCAAAGCCTTTATTATTCTACTCCCCTAAAATGATTCCAATTTGGATAATACTGGTATATTTATAGCCTATGAATTTGTCTACAACTATGTCACACACCTCAACAAATAGTTTTGCTTCTTATCATTTATACTACCAAATATAATGTAGCTTTCTCTGTTTTCCCCCCATATCTCCTGAATAGGCAAAACCTAAATCCTAAATGAACCTGGATAGCAGAGAGGTGGAGCCACTGTCACATCCAAAGCCCTGCCACTTGTACTAGCCAGGATGGAAGGTGGTGGTGGTTTTTTCCCTTCATATTTGCTGCACCAACTCCAAGTTATCACAGCAGAGGCGCCCACAGCTGGCTATGTCCTGTCCCTAATCAGGGAATTAGGAATACGCTGCAAGTTAATATGCCTTTAATTTTCTACTGTAACATTAGCAGCAGCTCACACTGTCAAATTTATCTACATTCTGACCCAAGTGAAATGTACTACAGGATTTATACTGTTGACTTATTCAAATAAAAACAATTCTTTTTTATTCTTTTTTTTAAATGATATTTATTGAAAATTTTAGAATTACAAAAGAAAACGAAAAAGAAAAAGAGAGAGAAAAAACAAGGAAAAAACAAACCACAATCAAACAATACAAATTAATCAAAATCAAAATCAAAAAATAGCACAACACGATCAAAAGACAAAAATATACCACAAACATTTAAAAACAAATCCAACGTTCTTAAATCCTTAACTGTCATTACCTTCTTTCTTTGACCTCCTCCTCCTCCCTTTTTTTGTATCCTAGTTGTTAATTGTCGCAGCAAATCCTTTCCATATTTCATAATATTCTGTCATTACATTACCTTAATCTATTTTAATCTTATCTTACTATAAAAAACCTTAAATCTTAAGACTTAGATCTTATTTTTACCAATTTCTCATAACCATAATATTCTTACATAATTCTTTAAACATTTTTGCTATAGCCAAATAATTTCGTTCCAACATTTTTCTAACATTCATCAATTTTATAAAACAGTCCTAATAAAAAAATAAAAAACAATCCAATCTTCATCCAGCGTCTCTTCCTCCTGGTCCCGGGTTTTGTCAGTCCTTTCTATCCCATCAATCTAGCGCATTAACCTGGTAATCTTATGTCCGAGGCCCTTAAGTCCCTTCCATGTCCCTTCTGCGGCTCTTCTTCATATTTATAGCTGTATTTTCCTTTGTCTCCTGCTCCTTTCACTCGTGGGAACTCCAGCTTGACAATGTTTTTGACCCTTCTCGACAAATCAGCCCCTTTTCCATAGTCCACACTAAACTCCATGTGGTATTTAAGAACATGTTTCAAAGTCCCTCCAAAATTAAGAGCCCCCACAACCCCAAACATCTCACGGCCCATTGCCAGACTTGAAAAGTCCAAACATTCCTGCATAGGGGGGTCTATCCAACCCCCCATTTCCAAACAAAACCAAACTTTATCTTTCCAAATCTGGCTTTTTCCAAGTTCACTTGTCAAATCCAAGAGCTCATGTTCCTGCTGGGCCACAGCTCCCTTCATCTCTGGCGCCCAAGATTCAGCAACATCCTCTTCCCTCACAAATAAAAACAATTCTTGATTACAGCAAGCTAATGCTCAGAATACAATATAAAGGTCATTCTTTTTACCTGTATAGGAAGAGATCTTTGGCCAGACGCTTGGGCCCAATGATTTTGAAGATGATCTCATACGTCTCAAGGGCCTTCCGGTGCACCCCACCTGGCAAGGCAGGGTGAAGGCATTGTGCAAGGCGCTTTCCTATGGTCAGCTTTTTTGGGACTACTTGGTACTTTGCATTGTTTTGAAGAACCTGACAGAAAACATTGCAAGACATTCAAAACCCAATTTCTCTCCGACAGCAGTTTACAGAACTGATCGATTTGAAGGTTTCTGAATCCGTTCCCCTTGGCAGAATGTGATGCATTAGGAAAACCACCTCTCATGGAGATTCCCAAACTTCTGATGTAACAAACTGACCTGCTTTATTAACTTGCTGCCTTATCTACATTACAAAATTCACTCACAGGAAGCCACAGCAGGTTAAAACGGGGGTTGGATCCGTGTGGCCCATTCAACACTGCTAAGCTCCAATTCCCATCATCCCCAACTGCTGTCCAGGCTGGATGGGGAAGATGGGAGCTGAAGTCCAACAACATGAGACGGCCACAAGTTCCCCGTTCAAAAGTTAAAGGCTCCTTTATTTTTCAGGCAATTATTGTGTGTTTTATCGGTCAAAGCAAGCACACACCTCGTATGGAATAAACTAACACTTCAGTTATTTAAATCAGTAGGCATGCAACACTTCTAGGGAGTGATGAAGAATCTTGATTTACATACATTCAATTTTATTATTGTTTATTAATATATGTACCAAAATGCTTCCTCTAGTAAGAGAAAACGCTCCGTTTTAAAAGGGACATTTCCCCCCCCTACAGAATAAGGTTCTTAGAATGTGCACTCCTGGTGCCAGTCGCCAGACAGATGTAACAACAGTGACTTTTTAAAAACTGTGGCAAGTGTCAATCTCCTGACATCATTATGACAGGGTGTTCCACCTTCCTTCCCTTCAATAATAACTCATTCAAAAACCTTTATCTGGTGTGTAGCCTAAGAGAAAGTATCCGCCAAGCAGAATAATTCTGACACCCACTACAGTAAGTAATAACCTGATGATTAAAATGATCTGCCAGTCCACTCCTTTTTTAAATAGTTCGGCAGGGGGAATCTAGATTATGAATGCTTTATACTTAATTATTTCAATTCCCCCCTCAAAACTTTGCATGCATTTCACCCAATCCTTCTAAGTCTTCTCATACCTTGTTAAGCTTTCCAAGGGATGAGATTAAATCAGCCCATTCACTGGAGTACTCGAAGCTTTTTAGAGCCTTGTCGACAGCTGCTACATAGTTCCTGTACTTGGAATCACCCAGTAGCTCCAGCTCCTCCGCATTCATCCTCCCGCAGAGTCCCACTAGAGACCAGATTGTAATTCATGTAAAGTTGTGAGCTGAAAAAGATGGAGCAACATGATTTCCCTAATCCACAACTTTTAACTACTGTTGCATTCAGACAGTTAAGCAAATATATATGGCCATGATATGGTAACATGAAGTCTGTAAAAAATACTATCAAATTTCTGTTTTTGAGAAAGAAACTAGTGAAGCTCATTTTGTTTTTAAAGAAATCTGGTGAGCTCATAAATAGTGATCCAATACGCCAAGTGGATAAACAGTCTGCATTTTATGTGAAGAGAATCTTATTAATTTTATACAATTTTAAGGCACAATTTGTGATTCCTCTTTTGGGGCTTGCCGTATTTGACAAATCCCTTCCTTCAGCAGTTCCAGGCAGATAACCTGAAAAGGAAGGAAGTTTCTGAAGCCTCTAATAGGCAACTGAAAGTGGCTTGGGCACTGCTTTTAGCTTGATGGGTCGCAAGTTGTGGAAACGTGCACTAAATCAAATGCCCAAGGGCAATGTATGCTCACGTGGCTAACCCAACCAATCAAATCTTTTTCTTTCTCCAGTTCCTGGCATAAAACCACTTTCAAATTTATAAAACAAGTTAGATGCTGCAAATGTTTTCCTTTGCTTTTCCACCAAAGCTGCAACCAACTAAAGAGGGGGAAAAAGAACACTTCCAAAACAGATGTTGCAAAAACTAATTTTACACCTTGGTAATAATACTCAGATTTAGCATTTGGAAAGCGTGAAACAGATTTAATTATGTAGCTATGAAGAACAAAAAGGTCGCATACGTATCCTAAAACACATGAGACCCCAAATCTTCATTTGGCAATGCTAAAGATGAGTTCATGAGGTCAAGGAAACTCTAAGATGCAATAAAACATCCTGAATCACACTTAGCTGATAAAAGCTTTTTAGTTTTGAACTATGCTCCCTCAGAGGCCTCTCAGGTGCGTGAAGGGCCTCCCTCCCCCCCTGAAATTCAGCTCAATAAAGCACTCGACTGCAGCCAACAGAGTATGTTTCAGTAGAATGCTTGGTGGCAAGTGTGTGTGTGGCTTCACTGGTTTGCAACTGTGCCCCCAGCCCCACAAAGGTCAAAGACTCCTGGCTTACATTATTTCCATCCGAGGGCATTCAGAATTTGGGCACTGCAGCAACTAGCTCAATCAACACTGTGGAATCTTTCTCAATACTTGGTATTCCCTTCCACCCTGAACTGTAATTATATAGTTATTGGGGGCAGGGAAGCGGGCATAAACATATTGCTCCTACCCACAATTGTCTCTTTCTCACACATACAGTGACGGATTGGCCACCTAATATCACAAGCAATGGGCATTTTTTTAGCTATAACAGAAAACGGTCCCTAAGCGAGGTACTCTACTCCCACTCTCCAGGAACGAATGCAGGTATTTACTTATATGGGAGAAAATTCTGAGACTTTGTTAGCCTGGGCAGTGAACCTGATCTTTAGAAACTGGGAACACCCCAGGGGCAGAATGTAAAGCAGGTTTTGCCATCTCTACTGCACCTTGAAAATGGCGGGCAGTTGTAGATTATGTCAGGGAAGACAAAAGGAAGTATTCCCCCCCCCCCCCACACACACACACTGTGCGTAATTAATTTATGGAATTTGCTGCCACGAGGTGATGCAATGATCATTGGCTTAGATGGCTTTAAAATGGGATTAGACAAATTCATGGACCGATATGGACTTCCTGTGCTTAGAGATAGCATGTCACTCCTTAGTACTTCAGAACATCATCTTTAATAATCTTCAAAAAATGAAATCATAAACAGAAGTATCTAGAGCAGAAACTGGTCTTCCAACTTTCCTTTCAGTAGCTACAAAAAAAAAACATTCAGCAAATGAAAGGTGTTATGTGGAGAAAGTTACTTTATCACACCTATGAGAATACAAAATAGAGAGGATTAAAAATAACAATGGTTCTTGCACTTTTTAAAATTTTATATACGGAAGATTAACTACATGGTATTATCCTCTTCATGGGTTGCCAGCTGGGGGAAAATGATTTCACTGTTACTTTACCAAAGACCTTGGAAAATTAATTTTTCTGCTTGTCATTTCAAAGCCTACACTGGAAAATTCAGTTTTCTTTCTGTAAAGAACATTCCACTGACCTTAAGGCCTATGTCTGATCAAGCAGCAGGAAACAAAGTTTGGTACCCTTGATGCAGAACTAAAGAAATAAGCTTCACAATACAAAACTTTGTTGTTTCAGTAAATGCAACATTGGGCAGAGAGAAAACTAAGGAGAACACAGATGCATTGCATTTCCCCCCTAGCAAGGTAATGGTACCGGTAATAGCTTTGAGGCTGCATAAATGGGCTCCAAGGCAGTAGCATAACCCAATAAGCAAATGCTGAACTCTTGCCCTTGCCATGTCTGTCCCATAATCCATACATAGGAGCTAATCACTGGCCCATCTTAAGCTGCAGCATGACTGATGCTGTGAACATTAGGGCTCATATAGCACATTCATTCCATGGAAGTCATTAAACAAAACGTTTCTGCTTTTGTCCTTTGGGGCATCTTTCCCATTACTCACATTTCCTTAAAGCTTAGCAATCTAGGCCTGCATCCAGTCTTGGTCATACTTAGAGAAGACCCACTGAAATCAACGGGGCTTCAATCAATGACAAACTTAAGTTCAGTGATTTCAGTGTGCCGACTCTAAGCACAACTATCATTGCAAACCTAAGCCTACTACCTGGAAGTAAGCCCTACTGAATTCAACAGAATCTACAACTAATCTGGTACGGTCAGGTTGTGCTTCAAGTCTGGATTCAAACCCATGTTTCTTAAAAATTAATGCTCCTTACTAAGGTTCTATATTGGTTCTGTATCTTCTGTTAGACTCATGATCCAACGAAAGACTGGCTATTCACACCATGAAGGAAATGAGCTTTATGTGGACTTCGTGTATGGACGATTGCATTTATATGGACTGCTGCACATAATGTGGGAATGCATATTTTTGGGGTCTGTCCATTTGGGACTTACAGGATTAATCTGTGATCCTTGCCCTGACCTGGGATTCAGTTAGGAAGAGGGAACTCCACTGTGTATATGAGAGCTGGCATGTCCCTTGTTTCAAAGGGCTCTATGACTTCCTGTAGCCTGCAGGTTATGACTGGCAGGGCAGGTAGACAAAGTATTTATCTAGCCTGGAGGCAGGCAGTTCAAGGAGGAAATCAGGAAACATCGAAAGGCTTTTGTATGCCTGTGAGACAAAAGGTGGTAAAGAAATGTATAATGGGATTGCACTGGGGGCAACAGAGAAGAGTTGAGAGTTGGCTCTAGGATATGTAATTAGAGGGAGAAAGGATCATGTTTAACCCTTGTTTGTTTGTTTATTTGCTCTACTGGGGAAAATATTGGTTTTCTCTAACTTTTACATATGCCATTTCTTAAAACTATCCCCTCCTCCATCTTAGTAAACTTTTTACCTTGCTCATAAACCTGTTGTCTTTTATTTTAACACCCCCACACCTAGAAGCTATACATTAAGAAGTTTCAGGCGGACCCAAGGAAAGTTTGTAGGCTCATTAATAAAAGGCAGTCATGTAGAACTAATTCCCCTTTATCTAGTGGCAGCAAGTTTTTTCAAGGGGAAGCGCGGGCTGAGCAGAAGGATACACTGTGTTAGCGGCCAGGTCTCTTCCTTCAGACAACACGGGGCCCAGGGTAGTTAGGAAGTGGCCCATCACACACCCATTTATCCAGTTGTGCAAGAAACTGTCAACGGTCTACATTTCAGGCAAAATGTTGTCAATTCTAGTTACAGTGTTTATGTACAAATTCTCATTGCCTACTACTATGATTATCATTTTTTATAATTCTACTTCTATTGTGTTGTTGAATATTTCACAGTCATGGTTTTATTCCTGTTGTAAATCATATTGAAGCAGATAAATAAATGTGTATCCATACACTGGCTAGTATTTTGTAAAGCTACAAACTTTCCTGGAAGTCTTATGCCCTGGAAATGAGACAGCCAAAAATATATGTTAAAAAGTAGACACCACAGTGTACTTCCTAAGAACTTATTCCATCAACCATCTTTATGATTCTTGAGTATGGAATAAAACAATGTTTTCAGTATTTATACTTATAAGTAAATCCTAATGAGTTCAGTGAGGCTTACCTATGATTATGTGAATATATGATTGAAGCCTCATGTACACTATTTAATCCTCTCAGCATGTAAATTGGGTTAGTACTTTTATTCCCATACTGTATTGAAGATAGTAGGTATCTACTGAGAGGGAGTAGCTTGCCTAAAGCCACATTAGAGTCAAACTTGGGGAGTCCTGTACAGTAACAGCCCATGGATAACGCACTATCAAAGCATCTAATGCCCAATATTTCTGTTTAGTTACTGTACTTTCCTCAGTACAGTTTGCTAAAGGCAAACAATGCTACATTCTTCAAATGAATACAGCAGGAACATGAAGACAACAGGGTTTTTCAGAAAACTGGAATGCCAGATCAAACAATGGACTTTCTGTACCCAGTATTTTCTAACTGAATATGAGTGGGTAGAACTTTAGTATGCCTTTGATTTTTTAAACATAGCAGCTTAAAGCCTGCCTTCTTTGCTATTAACAAAGCTGCAGATTTTATAAAACATTTGCTTGTGACAATTACTCTTAATTACATAATAATCAGCTAGTGCATATTATCAATACAAAGAATATAATTATTTTTGCAAATTAGGATCACACCAAATTTGAAAATATTGTGAGGGTATACAAAACATAAACAAACAAACAAATAACAAAATACAAAGTTAAAGCACTAAGACTGCATTAAATCCACCTGTAAAGTCAGCAGGAACAATATCCTACAAAGCTACCCTGAAAAGGGTAGGGGGGGAGAGTATAAAAAACAAATGGTTGCCACCATCCTAATTTCTGGGTGGAGTGCATTCCAAAGTGTGAGGGATGCCATCCCAAAAGCTCTGTCTCAGGTGCTTCTTAAATGAATACGACACACAGTCCACATTTGTTGCACTTACAGCTTAACTACTCTTATGCCAGATCCCTCAAGTAGTACTACAATTAGACACAACCCTATTTATAACACAAGTTAGGAGGATAATGCCCCACAGCTTTATCTCACCCATATCAATTTATATATTCAAAGGCAAATTCCATCATTAACTCCAAAGTGAGGATAAGGGTCCATCAAGAGCAATCAGAAACTTAACAACACACATTTAATACTGGAAAGCCTCCAATATACTCCACCATGGGAGTAATTGTTATTGTTACTTTCTGCATAACTGCCAGCATCGCAAGGGAAGAATGCTGCCACTCTTTCAAAATGGCACCAGGCTGGGTAGTATTAGTTGCAAAGCCTCCTCAATAGGCGGAGGATACAAAATACGCAATTGTGGTGCGGCCAACCACCTCAGTCATGTATTTTCCCCTGTCCTTTGACAAAGGCAAGAGTCTCTTTGCCTCCCTTCTCCTTTCATGCACCCCAGTTGCTAATATTCCCTGCCTGATTCAAGATGCAGGCAAATAACAGTACGGAGCTGAGGTGCCTATGTGGAGGACTGTGCCAAAGAACCTGGGGCTTTGCTTGCTGGGGAAAACCCTTTGTATTCCTTCTTGCTCAGTTCAAAACACAGTCCCACTGATAACTCTAGAAGCTCTACAAGATATCAGAGTTGAAACATTAACTAAAGTGAAAGGAGCAATTGCTATTCTAGGAATTGCTGTGAAGAACCTCAACGGGTGAAATTTCCTTGTTTATTTTTCCCTTTCTCTAGGCATCCTGTCAGATTAAGAAGCCTTCAGTACTTGACTCAGATTGTTTGGCTTCTTCAGCAATTGTACTCTGGAATGTCCTGTGTTGATGATCTTTAGAAAATGACAAACAGCATTTGAAAATTACTCATATAAGATGCGGCTAGGGTGGGGGGTAGGCTTTGGTGACAAAGAACAACTTTGATAGTGTGAAATGTCTGGTGCAAGGGACCCCAATTTATTTCATTCTGTGCTTTATTCTCTATAAAAACAAGTCTTCCTTTTTCCCTATTATTTTATAATTAGCAAATTCAACCAGCATCCTGTAACAGATGCTCTATCACTGAATTACAGCATTTGAAGGATTTTAAAGCAATTATTTCTAAATCCAAGAAAAGGGTCTTAATTGTTACTGTTCACAACCTATAGCCCAAGCATCATTTAACTTTTCTGAAAAATTAGGAAAAAGATACCCACATTTAAAACTACAGAAGCTTAATAATAGTATAATGTGCTGCTGATAAAGCACTTATACAATATGTTATTTATTTAGCATCCATTATGCTATTTCCATTGTATGTATATAAGACTGAAGCTGCACTCCTGTGTGCACTTACCAAGGAAAAAGCCCCATCAAACATGAAAGTGCTTATTTCCACAAATGGCATTGTGGGAGACAGTAATCTGCTCAGTGATATCCAAATTGACAAACCACTGGCTCAATGCATGAGCTTCTAGTGCCTCTCCTTGGGACAGAAGATAGAAGATGTGTAGATACCATGTCAGCCACTGCACTTTACAAGAGGCAAAGAAAACTGCTTACTAATGCAGTTTAGAATTACTAATCTACATAAACATAGCACAGAGAGAACAGAAAAAAAGCCAATTTATTAGTTACTCAGATTTGCAAGTGGACTTTGAAGGCAATGTAGAAAGGGGTTACTAATCTGTGTTGCCTTATGAGCAAAAAACCACACTTAACTGAAGCAGATTGAATTTGAAGAAGGGACACGAAGAAAAGGGTGACTACAATCCTATGCTTGTTTACTCAGAAATAGGTCTGACTATATTTGAGCCTGCTCCTTTATAAGTGTGCAGCTTGAACGAGTGAATGAAAGTAGAGAATGCAAAATGCCAACTATTAGAAGGTCACTTGAGCAGCTAAATCAAATAACCATTAACTCCTGTTCATTATTCACAGTAACTCGGGTTGGAGATGCATGATTCTGAAGAGTGGATTAGTTTATCCTTTAACAGAAGTTTTTAACAGTATCAAGACTCTAAAGGGGCGGGGCAGAGAGCTACAGGTGGCTGTTATTTAAAATAAATGAGCTCAGAGTGCAAAGGTGTGGTGTGTGCGCAGCAGGCAGATGATGAATTCTCACTCCCCCCACCCCCTGCATAACAAAATATAAGAAGACTGAGAGGATGTCAGGGAAGAGAAATCCCCCCCCCCCGTCTTCACACAACCAGGGTGGCTAAGACATTGGCAATGGGGACGCCAAAGGTGAACTAGTCAACACCTTGTGACTGTATCTGATGAAGATCGGAGAGGAACAAGAGAGGCACAAGAGATGATGATGATGATGATGATGGCTCTTTCTGATGGGCCCTGCTCCATTTATTTTCAGCCCCCACCCCATAGAGGGGGGCTGTCATGAGGGAACGGGAGATAGAAGGAAACATTAGTGGCAGACAGGAGAAACTGACCCATAAGCATATTAGGAGACACAAAAGACCAGGCGGCATCTCCATGCACCCCTCCCCATCCACCCTATACTTCTGAATCTCGCCCCCAAGGAGGAGAGGGAGGAGACCCTCCAATAAGGGATGCTCCCACCCTGCCCCCCTACCTTAATGCTTATATACCCCCCACGTCACAACCAGGCACCGAAAAAGCGGGGAAGCAGAAAAGGGTTGGGGGAGGGCGCGTCGCAGGGGGAAAGGGTTACCTTGGCGTCCCAAGCCGGAAGAGCCCCCGCCGCCTAAATACACCGGAGAGGGCACTGACAGCTCCCAGCATGCAGCGCGGCCGCCTTCCTTCCGCCTCGCTTCTCCTTGCGCAACAGCGCCACCTGCCGGCTCTCCAGAACGTTCCACCGCTGGAATCCCCCCTCGCCTCGGCTTCCGCGCGCGCCGGAGAGTTCGCCCTTCGCGCTGCGCGTGCATCTTTCCGGGCCGCGGCCCGGTATCCGCATTTGCCAACCGGGCAGTAAAGCCCCTCGGCCACGCGTCTGTCTTCGAGGAAACCTGTCTTTATTAAATGTGTCGGCCGCTTTATCTTGCCCAGGGCAACCCCAAAGCGACTTACAACGACCCAAAAAACATGGGCATAGCCAGGAGGGTGCAGCTGCGCCCCCTCCCAATCAAGTAAATAAATATACTTTACTATTTCTGTCGCAGATAACTCTGTTCTCCCCCCCACACACATAAAGCCTGTCCCCACTAAAATCCTGGCTACACCCATGCCAAACAAACAGACAACAAACCCCGCAGAAAGCGATTAAAACCAAGGGAAAAAGAGAATTACAATGAAATTCTGCCACCAGCAGATATATGGGCCCTGTATACGCGCACAAGGCAATCCTTGCACTGTTCTGGAATCCAAGTGAGGGAATAGAAAGCGCCTCTCTGTGTTTACCTGCGCGCATTAGTTACACGACGAATGTCTCAGAGGGTGCAATTAAATGTATATCTGTCTCCAACAGAAGCTAGCCAGTTACCCCTGGGTCCCGACTTCCGAAGCTCGTAACCGAAGCATAAAAGCGTTTGTCCTTGAGTTCTGGTAGTCGAAGGCACGCTGCTTCCATACCCGGAGGCTCTGCATCAGGGTGTGCCTCCAACGCTGACGACTCCAACTCCCACCAGCCCGATGGTCAGGGACATGATGGGAGCTGCAGCTCTGCAATACTTGGAGGGCCGCGAGTCCCCCATCTCGCTTAACAGCCATCACTAATAATACGCAGTTTGTGAATTTAAGGCTCTGCTACCCACTAAGGACGCTTAGGCTGCAATCCTATACACATATACACCTGGGAGTAAGTCCCATAAAAGTTTTGCACCACTTTGTAGGAAATGTGTACTTTTTTGTGCGTTCTGCAATTTTCCAAAGGAGACGTACTAGTATACACGTACAGGATTTCATTGTAAGCCCGCAATGATATTTTGAAATTGGTATTATGGCCTTAAGGCAATAAACCTTTTTGATTGTAAGCCTGGAACCCTGTATGCGTCAACCTCTGAGTAGGCCCAATGGTATCCAATGGGACTTAATTCTAAGTAGATTGCAATCCCCTCCCCCAAGGCCACAGCGATTTTTTTCCTCTCCAGAGTACCATAGTCAAAAGACCGAGCCCTTTAAAAGCAACAAAAGGTCTCTTTAGATTGCAAGATGGGACACTTGCTTGCAACGAGAGCTGGACTAAGAAATCCACACACCATTTTAAGCGGCATCTTAGGCTTGCTTCGAGCTATCAGTCCCAAATGACGCCACGTGGCGCACAAACGATTCCAAAAACGCAACCTTCCTGAGCCCGTTCAATTCGAAATCGGAGAAAAACCTGAGAAATCCTTTCCTCGGAGCTGAGCAATTGGAGGGTGAGCAATCGCAGCTACAAGTTTGCACACAGGAAGAAGGGGCGCCGGCTCTTCTATTTCCTTCAAGCCAGCCACGGGTTGCCTGGCGATGGAGAGGGCGCTGTGGCGAAGACGGAGACTTTCTTTTTGCCGGTAGAGGCCGGTTTAGCTTAAGCGCTTCCTGGGCTGAGTTTGGCATTTCCCCTCCTCCTTCCCCACGTGGGTCCGCTCCCCGGGCAGGTCTGAATTTCGCCGCGGATACAATTTTGGATGTCCCCAGCCCAGGATCTCAGTGGCACGCGCTGGCTTAATGGACGAGGTCGCAGTGTTTTTGGAAATCAGGCAGAGGACGCAGAGTGGGCTGCTGATTATCCGGTATTTATTTTAACTCTTTCCAACGCCCCCATCCCGTTTTAAGAGAAGTGCACAAATACATGTGTACCGGGATCTATTTTGCGATAGCCTCCTTTTCTCCCAGGCAATTCAAGGCAGCCGCCGTAGGGTGTCTGTGCAATCTCCTATCCAGACACCGATTAGATCTAGGTTAGTTTCGGCCGCAGTGGCAATGGGTGGGGATCAAAGGTACCGGTACTTCACCTCCTTCTCTCCCAGCCCGCTTTCCCCCTTCCTTCAGCTGGGTAAACCTCCCCTCCTCTGCCTCTACGACGATGAGGTTGATTGGCCCCATACTGATGTTATGCTTTCCCCTTCAGAATTGTGGTAGGGAAAGTGTAACAATTTTCACTCCTTGCAGCCCGCTTTGTGCTGATCAGCTGACTGGGGAACAGCTGAGAGTGGTTAAAAAGGACGCTGGACTGCAGAAAGGGGCACTGCTCTGCAGAAAGGTTGGGATATGAATTTAATTAATAATAAATATTTATCAATGTGCCTCCCCTTTCTTCCTGCTGCTTGGCTGGCCAGTGGGAAGATAGTTGTGGGTCATGTCAGGTTAGGCAGTGGGCTTGAAGCTGCCCATGGAGTGCAGATTGCACATTTCTGAACAAGAAATAAGGGAGAAAGGCATGTTTTCTTAAGTATGTCTGTTGACCATAGACTGTGCCTATTTCCCAGATAATGTACATAATGCAGTCAAGATATGTACCTTTCCTAAGACCTGTTGGGGATTATGCATTTTGCCTGGGAAATGTGAATAATTCCCACTTCGTGAGAGGATTATGTGCACATTGTCCATGAGGCCTAGTGAATGCAGCATGGTCAGCTATTGTGCTCATTAATCACTCAATTTATATTCCCCTTAATATATACTGTGCTTCCCAATTCAGGACTGCCCTTCATATATCTGATGATATAGTCTCCAACCCATGCACATTTAAGACACAAAGCTCTGTAAATTTTAAGGTGCAAGTTGTACTACAACACAGTGGTACCTCGGGTTACAGACACTTTGGGTTACGCATTTTCAGGTTACGGACGCGCTGACCCGGAAGTACCAGAACATGTTACTTCTGGGTTTCAGCGCATGCGCAGAAGCACTAAATCACACTTTGCGCATGCGCAGAAGCGCCGAATCACATCATGCGCGTGCGCAAATGCAGCGCTGCGGGTTACAAACGTGCCTCCAGCACAGATCATGTTCGCAACCTGAGGTTCCACTGTAAACTAATCTGGCTACTCCTCTAGAATTTGCCATGTGGGTTTTAGAGACTTTATTGCAAGGTCAGGAAGTTCATGATATCAGAATACTAGGGAAACTACATTAAGACAAGTTTAGGTTTGTGGTGTAAACATCTTCTTTGGTGATGTCATATGCTGGGCTCATGTGGAACCCTGGTTCAGAAATTCTCCAAGAGTTTGGTAAACAGACCTTCATTGGCACAGTGGCCCTGATCAGATGGAGCACCCGTGTGGCTTCAACAGGAAGAGAACTTTTGAGGACAACAGCTCACTGGGCATCCAGCTTCCTTATGATCAGCTTCCCAGCCTGGACGTCAGTTAGGTGTGACCCCTGTCTGCACACCACCTCCTTTTGAAACCTGGATCCTCAAACTCCTTCCATTAGTTTTTCTCTCTCTCTGGCTCAACCAGGACTCAAGATAGTCCCTGTGTGGCTAGCCATCTCCCTTTGTAGGAAATTTTGATGGCCCATCAAGGTAGGCAGTTGTGTCTGTTTTCTTTCTGACTTGTCAGGGCACCCTGCAGGTAGGGGAAGCTGCAAGTCTTTTCTGCCCTCAGGCTCTCCTCCCAGCTACTTCTGCTAGCAAGCCTTGTGAAACTGATATGGCATCACAGAAGGTATGTGGCACATTATGTGGCCATAATGAGTTTTTAGTGGCACTCTGTCCACACATACACACAAATAGCGAGTGACTAAAGTGCTCTTACGTGCAGGCAATAGGAATCCGAGATAAGTGTTCTCAGTAGTGCGGTGTCTCACTGATATGTAATTGCTTCTTAATATTTATCGTTCAGACCTCTGGTTAAGACAATTGTTATTCTCCCAGGCATTTTAATGAGTTGCATTTAATGGAACCCAAGGGTATGTTAAACAATAGAAATTGAATTTTTCACTTTGCTGTTCAAATCAATTGTTATTTAATTGTGTGTGTGGCTGGTTTTTCATTGTTTGGTGATTTATTATATATTTGGGGATATTCAGTGGCGTTTGTCTGCCAGCAGGATGGGCATCATCTGCAGAACAGATTCCCCCTCCCCTCTGCTTGCCCCTCAAATGTCCTCTGGGAACACCCTGAAGCAGATTTGAGAGTGGCATGGCCTGGAGGTGGGGTTAGAAGAGGAAGGGGCAGTCTGCCCAGTTAATGTTAGACATTGTCTGTGGTTGCTTTCTTCTTTTTAATTTGCATTGTGTACATTTATGTAAGGCATATAAAAAAACCAGGCTTTCCCAGGCCTATCAGTTTGTCCTTGAAAATCTGCTTTGAGTGGAAAATAATCGGTCTCTCTTAATCATCTTCAGCCAACTAAAGCCAGAAAGCTGGCCCATGGATATTACCGTGATGCCGTCCTTGGTAGAGCTAAAAAATGATGAACACTGCAAGACCATCAACCTTCCACCAGAGGTCAGGATTGTTCCTTCTTCCTGTCGAGGACTGCAGTATGTGCTTGGGGATGGCTTACATATGAGACTGCTAGTTCAAGCAGGTGTCAATAATACAAGTAAGAGTGACTTATATATGTATTTTTATCACCAGCGTTTTGCCTAAAGTTGTAAAGCAAGTAGATCAAACTGTGAAGGATTAAGTATGTTTTCAAGAAAAACGGCAATTGAACCAAAAAAGAAATGTCAGATGTGGGGATGGTTTAACTTTTAGCTGTGAGATTTGCCTGAACTGACTTCACAATGTGGGCAGATTCCCTTTTTTTCTTTCGTTAACTCCAGCTTGGATTTAACTGGATTTATTCCCTTTGCTGTGTCCTAATGAAAACAAAAGTTAGTAACAAACCTCCCTTCACAGGCAGAATGAATGCATGGCAAAGTAGCATTGCAAGATTAAAATAAGAATTTTCTATTAGCTTGCCTAGTTTTTTGAGTCTTTTTGAGATGTAAGTCTGCACTCAGATTGTGTGTTTCGCTAAGTTGAACAGAATGCTGTTTCTGAAATTTTGTCAGTTCACAATGCCCCATGTCTTTGAATTATTTTTATTTTCCTTCAGTAATGTTGGCTACAGTACATTCCCATAGTTAAGTTTAGCTTAGTCCCACTGAAATCCATGGGATTTAGGCTGAAATTCTATACCCACCTATCTAGGAGTAAGTCTCCCTTAAATGAATAGGATGTACTGTAAGTAAGCGTATTCAGCTTTGGAATGTTACTTTCATGTAAGTGTGGATTTTGCATTGCTGATATAATTTTGTGGTGGTAGCCGTTGCATATTGAATATTATTGGGAACTATTTTAATTTTTACATTTTTTAATCCATGTACATTTAGAAGCCTTCCTGGTATGACTAAAAATATGTTATGTTGCTGTTTGACTGGAGTGGCGCTTATTTTTACAGCTTCCTGGGGTGGCAGATTACTTCTGACAGTGTGTGTATAAGACGCCCCCATGTATAAGATGCCCCCTATTTTTAGGGACTCCGATTTAAAAAATAGGGGATAGATTGCCCCGTGTATAAGACGACCCACAGTTTTTCACATAATTTTAAAGTAAAAAAAAACCCCTAGTCTTAGACACAGAAAAATACAGTATCTTGTTAGTTGGTTGTATATTAGTGGGATATGTTTTGAGTAGCTTCCATTTTAACAAGGCCCACAAAAATAATCCTGGTGACCCACATACGTGGGGTAGATAACAAAAGAACTGGCTGGGTGTCTGGATTCAAAACGCAGGGCTAAACTTGCTCTCCAGCAGGAGAGAGCCCCAGTAGCAAAGTTTACTTTTACAAAAGTCAAGCAGCTGCATGTTGCGGAATATAGGTTAGACCCTTTTATCCCATTTAGTCCACTTGTAAACAACACTCCTCTCTTTCTACTCCACTTTCAATGAACAGACTACACACTGTTAAGTAAGTTTAAAATGCTTTACTTACAAAATGTTCCAAATATCAGATTCATGTATTTATCTAAGCAGCAGTAAGGAACACAGACAGAATGCTCTTGGGTAGAAAATACAGAAAGGTATTTTACTGTAGCTGAATGCGTGGACAACAAGCCAGATCTGAACATAAGAAACCTGCTGGATCAGGACAAGGATCCATCTTGTTCCAGCACCCTGTTCTTATAGTAGCCTAGCAGATGCTCACAAGCAGAACCTGAGTGCCAGCATTCACCGCCCCCCCACACGCCCTGTGATTCTCAGCAACTGGCATTCAGAGGCATGCCACCTCCGACACTGAAGGTGGAAAGTAGCCACTGTGGCTAGTAGCCATCGGTGGCCTTATCCTCAATGAACTTATACAGTCCTCTTTTAAAACCATCCAAAGTGGTGGCCATCACTACCTCTTGTGGGAGCGAATTCCATGGTTCTGCTATGCGCCTTTCTTTTATGAGTGCTTTCTTTTGTCTGTCCTGAGTCTTCAAGCATGCAGCTACAGGAGCCCAGGTTCTAGGTTTATGAGAGAAGAAGAAAAACTTTTCTCTGTCCACTTTCTCTGCACCATGCATAATTTTATCGTGTCTTCTCTTACTCGCCTTTCCTCTAAACTACAAAGCTCCAGATGTCGTAATCTGGTTCATCCCTGCTACAAGCTTGCTGGGCTATTAACCTTGTCATTTTCAACCCACTATGTGTTATATGACAATAATAATATGTGCCCACCATACATTGTACCATGTATGATAGGTTTGAACTACAGTGGTACCTCGGGTTAAGTACTTAATTCATTCTGGAGGTCTGTTCTTAACCTGAAACTGTTCTTAACCTGAAGCACCACTTTAGCTAATGGGGCCTCCTGCTGCCACTGCGCCGCCGGAGCCCGATTTCTGTTCTTATCCTGAAGCAAAGTTCTTAACCTGAAGCACTATTTCTGGGTTAGAGGAGTGTGTAACCTGAAGCGTATGTAACCTGAAGAATATGTAACCCGAGGTATCACTGCACTTGAAATGTGGTATATTTTTCCTTCTGCATCCTGCAGTTTCTAAATGTCTTCTGGGGTGAATCCGGATGGTAATATTGCTTGCTTTTTAATGCTTATGTGGATTGCATTATTCAATATTCTTTCAGAACTGGTACCAGCTCTGGGTGACATCCTTAAAACCAAAAAGAGTTGTACCTTTTACTGCCAGTCTTGCCGCGAGAGCGTAATAAACAACCGGTAAGTGATGTACTCCCATTACACTTTGCCTCTGGATTAATGGGTTTGCATAGAGCTTAAACGAACAAGTGAAGACTTCTAGAGAACACTAGTTTGTACTGATCAGGACAGGAAAACATGTAGCTGTAGTGGTAAAATAAATTATTGGATTAGGTTGTTAGGCCAGGGGTGGGGAACTTCAGCCTCTCTTTCTCTGGCTCCTGGATCCCTCCCCACATCCCACTGGCCCCATTTTGCACTCCAAATCTTTGCCTGAGTAGAATGTGTCTTTGAATTCTGATAGTGCCTGTTACATGTCTGCATAGACCAGGGTTTCCAGTTTTTTGGGACTACAACTCCCATCATCCCTAACTAACAGGCCAGCGGTCAGGGATGATGGGAATTGTAGTCCAACAACAGCTGGAGACCCAAGTTTGGGAAACCCTGACATAGACGATAGAGAGGGTGGATGGACAATTGAGACTAGCCAAATTTACAAAGGTAAAATTTATATTCCTTACACTTTATGGTTCTGGCCGCCACTGGCATGTGGTCCCAAGAAGGTTGCTCAGGAATAAATGTGGCCCTCAGACTGAAAAAAGGTTACTCACCCCCCATGTTAGGACTCTGCTTCAGAGATTTGGAGATCTAGGAATTTATGACCTTTCCTTCTAATCTGTGTCAGTTATGAATAGCTCCTTGTTCTCCCTGTCTTCTCCTCCCCTTATTGTTTTATTTTAACACAATTTCTTTTTGTTTGTTACATTTTTAATTATCCTCTACCTTTCTGAGAACCTTCTGGCTGAAGAGCAGGCTATTAAGGTTTCAAAATAAGCAAATCGTGTTTTCACGCCTAAGGAACAGCTCTGGAAAGCTAGCTGGCTGTTTTGTGATTTTTAGTTGACCTCAACAACGGTGCTTATTGGAATACTTCTCCTCTTTGGTTTTTTAGTCATGGGCCATTGCAGTGCCATGTATTGCTTTGTTTACTACCCGTGTGTGCCCACATCTGCCCTATACATTTAAACGCAATTATACCACTTTAAATGGATGCAGGTGGCGCTGTGGGTTAAACCACAGAGCCTAGGGCTTGCCGATCAGAAGGTCGGCGGTTCGAATCCCCGCAACAGAGTGAGCTCCCGTTGCTCGGTCCCTGCTCCTGCCAACCTAGCAGTTTGAAAGCATGTCAAAGTGCAAGTAGATAGATAGGTACCGCTCCGGCGGGAAGGTAAAAGTGTTTCCGTGCACTGCTCTGGTTTGCCAGAAGCGGCTTAGTCATGCTGGCCACATGACCCGGACGCTGTCTGCAGACAAATGCCGGCTCCATCGGCCAATAAAGCGAGATGAGCGCCACAACCCCAGAGTCGGTCACGACTGGACCTAATGGTCAGGGGTCCCTTTACCTTTACACCACTTTAAACAACCATGGCTTCCCCCAAAGAACCCAGGGAACTGTAGTTTGTGAAGAGTCCTGTGAGTTGTTAGGATACGTCTATCCCCCTCACAGAACCACAGTTCTCAGGGTGGCCCAACAATCCTTCTTCCCAGGGAATTCTGGGAATTGTTGCTCTGCAAAGGGAATAGGGATCTCCTAACAACTCACAGCACCCTTAACAAATTACAGTTCTCAGGATTATTGGGGGAAGAATAACCATGCTTAAAATGTACGTTATGGATGTGACCTATGTTCCACGCTCTCTTGGTTATCACGGTAGTGAGAGAGAGATTTCTTTCTTTCTTCCTCCCATATAGCTTGCTGAGAGGCCACGGCTGGTTTTCCCTAATCGGGTACGACCAAGGCTGCTTTGGCACATGGCTGGCAGGGGAGAGAACAATGCTTTTCATGGTATTGCTACTGCCATTCAGTAGCTTTCTGAGATCTGAGCCAAGTGGCATTTAAACTGATTTTCCTCTGCTAACTTTTCTGACGCTGACCCTTCCTCATTAATCCCAAATATCACTGCACATTTGCAGTGTGGGTACGCTGAAAAATGAAATGCAGGTGTCATCTGTTTAAGCTTCAGCTTACTGCATTACATTTTGTGTTGAGTATTATTTTTCTAGCATACACAGAAGGCTTGGTTATTAAGCTAGGGAAATATATTGCTCCAGGTTCCAAGCACATCCACAGGATTGAGTGCCTTTTGCTTTATTTTACTGTCTGACAGAAATGGATTTGTAAATGCTTTTTTGCAAGAATAAAGAAGCTACACAAGACTGCAGAAGCAAGTACTGAAGGGATTAAACAAGACATTGAAATTAATGTTTTGTAACTATCACACTCTGCCTTTTATATTTGTGTGTGTGTGTGTGTTGGTATACCTATAAGGTACATTCTTAGGTCTGATATGAGTCTGGTTTGATATGTGTCATTAACATCTACCTAACTTATTATGTAGACGCTCATCAGGCAGAGGATGGCGGGGGCACGGGTAGTTCTGCTCCAGACACTGTCCCATTAACTCCTCCCTGAATATCAGCCAAATAATTGCATTCTTGGCAGGCTCAATCTGTGTTGCATGAAATCTAAGACTGTTCAGTGGCATGTAGTTTTAAGCCATGATTGTTTCAACCATGGCTTAGCGATGGGTGGGCATGGGGAGGCAATCTTTTCCCTTTAGCACAAGATCAGAGTGTCAGAAGTGGTATGAGAGAACTGCCATTTCTTGCAATGTTTACATTACATCACCACCCCCTGGTCACTGGTCAGACTGGATTTATGGGTCTTTGCAAGACTCTGAAGAAGAAGAAAAAACAAAACAAAACAAGCTCCTAATTGTGCAGTTGGCACTGCTGGAATTAATGGGTGGTATTCCACTATTTTTTGTGGTAGCGTAAGTCCCCCCTCTCCTTGCCCCGTGCCATTCCCAACTGCTCTGGAGGGTTGGGGGAAACCCCAGACAGATTTTGGAGGCATGTGAAGGGAGGCAGGGGAAGATATATTTGCTCTGATGTTCATTCACTTAAGTGTTATATTGAATACAACCCAGAATATGTAATATTTCAGAAGGCACCTATTGACTATGAAAGAGCTAATGAAGTTGAATTTATTTTTCTCTCCCACCCTATCCTCCCAACTTCCTCAGACTGTCAAGTTTTTTCTTTATTTTTAGTTTTTGTATACACTTACCTGCATGACCATATTAAGCAGCACTTTTGAAGGAAAAATAAAATAATGTTAAGTCTACTGAATTCCCCACAGCAATGCCTCCACCATTTCCAGAATGTTTTCTTAATCTCTAAGCTTTTGACCAGTGTGTTCTTCTGCCCATGTTCAAAAAGAGCTTTTTTTCTTCTATTAACATTTCCTTCAGGAGTGAAGGTGACTCCCATCCAGAATCTACTTACTAACCTATATAGGCAATCTCGCCTTTCTTGAACTGTGTTAGCCAAGGGCAGAGTTGGGGTACCTGTGACCTTCCAGATGTTGTTGGAGTCCAACTAACATCAGCCCAGGCCAGCTTGTAGACCAAGAACATCTGGATGGCATCATGATGACTCCTGCTTTATCAAAATGACTTGTCCATACACTAATTGGTCTGTGTCATAACAACTAACCCTTTCACTTTCATCCCTTTCAGGACATTTCTCAGAGTTCTTTCCCTTCCCGGTGAGAACTGGGGGGATTTGGTGGAGGAATGGTGTTGTCACCCCAACCCCTTCAACGACAGCATGCTTCGGCCACAAAATGGAGACTGTTTCCTTGGGCACAATTATTTCCTGATTAGTTCAGGAAGTGAGCCAACTGGGCCAAGTTCTGAAATCCCGCATTCAGAATCCCTGGGTGCTCCTTGTAGAAGCAGTGGCTCTGGCCTGGTGAGTACACTGGAGAAATAATAATGGACAAGCGCACACTTGACATTTGTTTTGATTGTTAGAGGATTGGTAGAATCATAGATCTGAGTTGGAAGGAACCCTGAGGATCATCTAGTCCAACCATCTGCAATGCAGGAATATGCAGCTGTCCCTTATGGGGATTGAACCTGCGACCTTGGTGTTATCAGCACCATCCTCTTAAGCAACTGAGCTATTAGAGAGCATGCATAAGAGCCCAGGTTTGTTTCCCTAGTATCAGCAATGAAAACAGGCACAGGCAACCAGCTTCTCTTTACGTATTTTTGCAATTAGCACTCTCTATTAAACGTACTTAAACTGTCCCTGTGATTGGAAACCCTGGCAGGCCAAGGTTTCACAGGGTTTACAGCACCTTCCGATCTTCCTGCTAATTCTGTCAAGATCTGAAAATCTCTGCCTCCATCCCTAGGCTTAGCCTTTCACATGTTCAGGTGAACATTGCCTTGGTAATTGTAATATTAAAAAGTAATATTAAAGTAATGTTTGAAGCAACCATCACACACACACACACACACACAGAGAGAGAGAGAGAGAGAGAGAGCGTGCACCATAGGACGGCTCTTCCACATCACCTGAAGCAGTACTTTTCAGTGGAGCAGTTCACTCATTCTTCTGACACTCGACATGCAATACATTTTGAAATAATGAGCTGTTGAAGTATGCACTTGTGTGTTAAAAAAGCCAAAATAGCCGATCCTTCTTTATTCTCCCCCCCCCCACCTTTCCTCTCTCTTCCTCTCTCTTTCTGTCTGGACCCAGCACATGGCATCTCTTCTGCAAATCATCGTTTAATACAATTTTTAAACACCCTGAGGTCACACAGCATTCTAGCAGCTGTCTCTAGGGGGAAGTATTTTCTTCCTGACTATGTCAAGGACCTTTTGGAGCAGAAGCACAAAAAAGATATTAAGAGAGTAGATTGCCAGGAGCTGAAAGTTGTCAACACAAGATACATTGATTTAATTTGTGTGGCAAAAAGTATTGCCACTTTTGTCCAAACCGGTGAAAACACTCTCAGCTCGTTCCTCTTCTGCTACCTTATGTACTTCTAAGCAAGAGAAAACATACATTGGGTGTGTAGCAATTGAACCTGGAATCTCCTGCAGTCCTACCCTTGTCTGCACAGAAGTAAGTCTCATTGAATTCACTGGGGCTTACTTCCACCTTTGTAGGGTTAGTATTGCTGCCTTTAAGTGCTTTGAATATTTAAGGAAGGGCTATATAAATATTAGGACGTGGGTGGTGCTGTGCGTTAAACCACAGAGCCTAGGTCTTGCAAATCAGAAGGTCGGCAGTTCGAATTCCTGTGACGGGGTGAGCTGCCATTGCTCGGTCCCTGCTCCTGCCAACCTAGCAGTTCGAAAGCACATCAAAGTGCAAGTAGATAAATAGGTACCGCTCCGGTGGGAAGGTAAACGGCATTTCCGTGTGCTGCTCTGGTTCGCCAGAAGCGGCTTAGTCATGCTGGCCACATGACCCGGAAGCTGTACACCAGCTCCCTCAGCCAATAAAGTGAGATGAGCGCCACATCCCCATAGTCGGTCACGACTGGACCTAATGGTCAGGGGTCCCTTTACCTTTATATAAATATTGCTTCTCCTCCTTTTCTCATGTGTAAAGCTTCCTATGTTCCTGATCATTTTAAGTTACAGCATCAGTACTCTTTTAAGTCATGATAGCAAACCCCATGCAGAAGTCTTCAGACTTAAACAATGTGGGTGGAATTCAGCATCGCACTCTTCCAAACGTTTCCGTTGCTTAGAACATGGTGCTGATAATGTGAAGGTTGCAAGTTCAGCCCTCGTATGAGACAGCTGCATATTTCTTCATTGCAGGGAATTGGACTAAATGATCTTTGGGGCCCCTTCCAACTCTACCATTCTTTGAAATTCTATGAAATCTGCACAAGAATTTCAGTGCCATATTGAACAATCCCCCCTTTCTCTCCCCGCCCCTGTGCATCGTTCTAGGGGTCCTCCTGACCTTCCTGTTCCAATTTGGGGGGGTTGTGTGGGGGAAGGAGAGGGAGGAAAGTCCCAATATGCAAGTGGAAGTCCTCCCTCTGATGGATGGCATTGGCTGAATCCCATCCTGAGAAATTATATCCCCATGTGCCATGCTTGCAATGTGTTTAACAGCTGATCCCTTGTGTTCTGTCTTTGGGGTGGTCTAGACCAGGCTTCCTCAACCTCGGCCCTCCAGATGTTTTGAGACTACAATTCCCATCATCCCGGACCGCTGGTCCTTCTAGCTAGGGATCATGGGAGTTGTAGGCCAAAAACATATGGAGCGCCGAGGTTGAGGAAGCCAGATCCTGACACAAATTTGTAACAGCTGGGACCAAGTGCAATAGTTTTTAAAAGGGTGACTGGAGTGATTAGTCTTTCTGGAGTGGCAATAGTCTCCCTTAATGTGAATACGATAACTGAGGTTTGAAATCAAAATGAAGCCATTTGTTCTGGGATGCAAAATGCAATCAAAAGTTTGAGTGAAGTTGTTTCAATAGACTTATCTTGGCCACTACAACAAGGTCCTGTGCCCAGAAGTCTTTGTATTTGTGGTCAACCTCAGGTGGAAGACATCACTCATTATCTCTTAGCCTGCCCCTTATATAGAGACCCAAGAGACAGCTTTCTGAAACCTTTGTTCACACAAGCAAGCAGGTGCACCAGGCAGAAATAGTTCCATTTCTTTTGAGTGACAATAATAGCTTCGCAAAACACAGAGTGACCCTCTGTTCGCTGACTGCAAAATAAATCAGGATAAAGGAGTTCGATAAAATCTCTATAAATTGTTGTGGTGATTCAGAGGTGAAATCAAGCTGGATTTGAGTTTGTTGGTGTGTCTGGTAACTTCTCTTTCTTACATAATGGATGATGGTTTATATTTATGGGTGTATGTTCTGTATTATTAATACTATTGCCATATGTTTGTCATGGCCATTGGCTAGAACAGTAAACCTATGAAGTTAATAAACTTAACCCTTTGCTTTGATTGTGGCATAACATTTTAAAAATTCAAGTGTGTGTGTTTGTGTGTCAGTCTCTCTCAGTCTGTAAATGTTGCTTCTTTGCCCTACAGAATTCAAAGGCAAATAGAAGAGTAATTTGCAGACGCTGCAAGACATTGTTGGGAGAGGTTCACTCCTCAGGTACGGAGTATGTGAACAAAGGATCCCTGGGCTGTTTCAATCACTTGCAGCTTGAGGATGTTTTTGTGTGCTGCACCAGTTATAAAAACATTGTGTGACATCCAGTGATGGCCACCCATTTGTACAATAGAAATCTTGGGCTGTGGCACGACACTACTAGTTTTCTCTTCTCCCTGCCCTGCCCAAATCTGCTCTGCAGGGTCCTCCAACACTCTGGAGCAGTTTTTTGGGGGTAAGCAGAGTTTTCAGGAGGATGAGCGAAGGGGAGAAGCCCAGTTGCGTGTGCAGATAAGTTCGGTTACATATCACCATTATTCATAGAGGTTTGCAGGCCAGTGTTTGGGAGAGGTTTTTTTAATAATATCAATCTGCTATTGGGCTCCAGTAATCCCATTTAATGTCCTGTGTGGAAATGAAATTAATTGTTTCAAAATGAACTCCAGTTTAATGTATTTTTTTTGGTAACTTATTTGTTCATTTGTGGCTTAGTTAAACATTTAAAATAAAATAAAATAAAAATAGAAAAGCAAGCAAAGGTAAAGCACTACAGGTCTACAGACCCTTTAATGGTTGAGAATCACATGGAGCATGAGGTGGTTCAGGACTTGTATAAAAATAATCTACAAAAATTCAAATGGCTGCTGGTGTCTGCAGCAGCTGCTGGCTTGGGAGGATATATGAAACTTAAGACGTTTTCAAATATATAACATGCTACTATTTTTAAATATGCTTTGATAACTGTTTTGATTTCTTCTCTTCTTTGTTTTTTGTTGTTGAAAGTGTTCTTGAAAAATTAGAGAGTTTGGATGTGAATATTTTAAATAACTTGAAATGCTCAGGGGTAACAGTGGTTTATCAGTCAGGCTTGTCATGTGTTGTTTTTAGTCAGCCCTACTCCAGCAGTCTGACATGAAATTTTAGTGGGCAAAGCTTGATCCAGATCTATGGACAGACTCAAAATGGCTGCAATTTTTTGAGCAAGAGGGCAGTTTACATCTGAAGGCCCCTTCCCATTTGAATACACTCCCTCTCCTTGTAGTATATGTGTGGTTTATGTATTAGTTATTTGTCCCACGCCTGTGACTCAGTAAGGCTTCAGCTCTGAGATTAATTCTGCATTTGGTAAATATAGTACAGATACTTATATTATTTTTACTTCTAGGTGCCACAAAATACTATTTCACTGAAGTGTTTGTTCAGCCATCTGAAGAAGGTTTTGACATGGTACCAAGGTGTGAAAGAATTCTGCATTTTTAAACTTTTCAACAGTTCTGCCTTTGTTTCATTTTTTTTCTGTACATTTCATGAAATATAACATACATTTAATGGTATTTGAAACCGTGTTAATTAAGTGCATTCCTTGCTTTTTCTGTTCTTTCTCCTGCTAAGAAGTGTTAATTAGACTGTGGCATTAGGAAATGGAATTCTTGAAGTCAAAAGTCATCTGGCTGATTAAGGGGTGCCAGTTTCTATGGCACTCTGTAGCCATCAAACATCACAAACTTTTTAAAAGGTGCTTATATTTCTTCCCAGTAGAAGGAAATGTGCATTCTTCTTCCTTGAACCGAAAGTCCATTCCAGAAGCCTGAACTGTATCTAATCATGTATGGATAATCTATTCAGGGGGCAAAGGAGAAGAGAATATTTTTTATCCTCCCCTCTGCTTGCCCAGACAGATGTGATATGTGGAATTAGACACATTAAGGCTTGGGTTGTTTGTGTGCTACTCAAGCTCTTAGATTGGACTTCAGCTGTTGAATGCCCTCTTTTGGCCCATGTGTTTCCTCTCCATGTATCTTCCTTATAGATGATGTTCAGGTCACACACTAATCTACTGTATTCTCTTGGCTTATCATCCTGCTACACCAGGTGTGGAGACCTTTAGCCTTCCAGATGTTGCTTAACTGCAATTCCCATTAGCAAGCATGGCCAATGGCCAACAATAGTTGGAGTTGGAGTTCAGCAACATCTGAAGGGCCAAAGGGGTTTTCCCACACCTGTTCTACACTATCATTATAAGGCATAGTGCAAAGCCAGATTCACAATGTTACCGAAACAGTTAATATTTGCATTTCCTCCCCAGACTGCTTTCCCTAGTATTCCTACTGGTTACCCTGCCCTTGAAAACCACTATTATCATCCTTGCAATGCCCTTGTAACATCCCAGTTTATGATGTGCTTACAACAGTATTAATAATCCCCAGCCTGAGCATTGGTTTGCTGTTGTAGCAAGTTTTAGGGTTAATCAGTGGCAAATTATGCAAACTTAAAAGTTGCTGTAATTAATTTCTGCCATGAAACATATAATTGCCAATTACAAGCTGATACTTGACCATCTTTTTCTAACCTGCACAGCAATCAGTTTCAATTAGAGCTTTCTTCCTTTTTTTAATTGGAGGGATGGCTTTTAAATAAAACATTTTTGAACAAATTTCATCAGCTGTACCTGTGCTGCAACTACCATAAAGTGCTGCAACTACCTTGCATTGTGATGACGATTATATGGATTGGTTTCTCTCTTTATGGAGGTGGAAGATTTTTCAGCACATGTTGTGTATGCACTATGCCAGGAGTCAGAAATTTAGAGATAGGAGAGAATAAGGATATGCTGAAGAGACAATAGAGATTTGTGTTTATATGTTAGTCCTGAAAAGGGCCATAAGCTCTTTTGGACAGGGTTGAGGTCTGGCATGTACATACAGTCAGGCTCACATTATAAGATGCTGGGGATTATTTTCATTAAGTGCAATCCCTTTGCCTTGAACCTTCTGGGATGCAGTACTGTATTAGATCAGGTGTGACATTTTATTGTATAGTGGGGGTGGGGAATCATTGCTAAGGAAGAAGGTACAGAAATCTGGTTGATTACTACATGTAAAGAACTCCAAACTGCTTTTGTTTCTGTATTGCAGAATAGTTAATGGGCCAGTTTTACCTCAACAAGGCATCTTGAACAGGACACGGTTTTATTCCTGCCCTTTGCATTCTTCATGCTTTGATGATAGTTCCATGTCCTTTTTTTTTACTACTCTTGCTGTTTCTGCTGTCCAAAGCCCTACTAAATATTTTTGTGTGATTGGGGCTGAAAGGTACCTCTTCCATAGGTAACAATGGCACTGGAAAATGCAAATGTCTCATTTTTCAACAAGCCTTGCCCTGATTTTTTTCTCTCTTTTTATGTACTCATTTGCTTTTCATGCAATGGCAGTCATGATTAAGCTATCTTTGCTTTTCAAAAAACAGGTCTCCCTTTATACAAAGTGTTGTTGCCCAGTGCCTTGAAGAGCTTTCTTTTGCTAGAAGCACATTTAGGTTCAGCATACAAGGAACTGATGGGACAACCTACATCTTGGTAAGTTGCAGACCTGTTAACTTTTTCATACTGTGATATCCTACGACTTGGCTCCAAATCTTTCCATGCTGTTTAGCTTGCTCACCCTTGCTAAGCAGACTTTGTTAATTCTTCTAACAGTTAACAGTGCAGTCTGATGCACAGTCTACTCAGAAGTAGATCTGAGGGACAGTTAATCCCATTTAACTGTCCATAGGATTGCACTCAAAGGCTGCAACCCTATGCCTGCTTACCTGAGAGTAAGTCCCATTGAACTGAATGGGATTTACTTCTGGGCAGACTGCATTCAGTGCCACTGTTCCTCTTTAAGGGGCGAGTAGATATGTAGGGTTGAATTGTAGTTGCAGTTACAGAAATTCCAAAATGCAATTGAAATTATTGGCACAATTGCATTGTGTAAGGGAAGTCAGGACTTCATTCACCATTTGCCATGGAATGTCCATTGTTACAGCACTTCCAGAATTTGTCTTCTCTGGTAAATGAACAGGATTTGCATGGGCAGTTTCCTAGATTTGGGATCTAGGGCTGCAGCCATAGGGCCCAACTACTTTGGTGATGAGAAGCTGTCTATAAACAAATAATAAACTATAAATACACATACCTGAAGTAAATTCTATTTAACTTTGTAGGACTTACTTCTAGGTACACATGAATCATAATCATGGGAATGCTGGATGTGAAGTTTCACTGCCCTTTAACTCCATGTTTATAAGTGTGCTTCTGTCTGTGTATGCAAAAAAGTTAACCAGTCAGTGAAATGAACATAGCAAGAGGGCAGCCCGATTGTTCAAGGAGTCCTGGAGCAACTTTCCTATGAGGAAAGCTTACAGTGTTTGGGACTTCTTAATTGAAGAAAGGTGAGTAGGTGAGGGCAGGGTGGGGCCAGGCACGAGAAAACTCTATAAGATTATACATGGTGTGGAGAAAGTAGTTAGAGAGAAGTTTTGCTCCCTCATAGTACTAGAAACTGGGGTTATCCAGTGAAGCTGAATGCTAGAAGATTCAGAACAGACATAAAGAAGCAGTTCTTCACACAGCGTGTTCTTGAAACTATGGAATTTGCTGCCACTAGATGTAGCAATGGCCATTAACTTGGACAGCTTTAAATTGGGATTAGACAAATTTGTGGAGGACAAGACTATGAATGGCTGCTGGTCATGATGCCACTGAATGCCAGTTGACAGGCAGCATGAGTGGGAAGAATGCTGTTGTGTTCATGCTCTTCTTGTGGGCTCCCTGTAGGCATCCGGCTGGCCACCATGAGAACAGGACCTGGCCTAACTGGGCTTTCGTCTGACCCAGCTTGGCTGCTCTTATGTTCTTAAACGGACTGGACCCCCACCCCACCCCTTTTTTTAAAAAAAACCAAAACCCACAACTTGTAGGTTTGTCTCTTCATTCACAGATGTGGCTACTAAATTCTGACACGCTGCTGGTGGAATCTTCAGGAACACTGGCCTGCAGTAATATTTTTACAGTGTTTGAACATGATATGTCGTCTGATTTGAGGCCGTTAAAGAGTCAGAAGGCTATCAAAGTCCTTTACCATCCCTGTGTGAAAAGCAGAAATAAGGAGTAAGTACCTGCTGTTTATGTCGCTTCTATTAAAACACCGTAGCAGGTTATTATTTTATTGCCATTGTTCAAATCACCAGTGTTTTTATTTAAGCCAGTGAATTCTAATACAGAAAGGTTTTATTTCACCTATTTGAAATGGGGTGAAGCAAAGTCATCATAGTGTTTGACTACAAAACAAGATACTGCACTATTTTATATAATACAGTGTGGGTATAATTGCGGTATGAGGATATCTGTCTATATTCTGCTGATGGCTTTAACTGATGATAGAGCAGAATTTAATTGTTTTAGTACTTGCCCTGTTAAGGAATATGGGCTTCTTTAGTGTGCTTACTTTTTCATCTGTTGGCTTCCTGATCCTGGCTTTTATTTTGCAATATATAAGCAGTATGAGGTTATAAAACATCTGTTCACATCCCCCCCCCCAATGCCTTAAGGTCATGTGAGGGCTAGCTTTACCCCTTGCCACCATTATTTTAATATTCTTTTGGGAGCCACTCAGAGTGGCTGGGGAGTCCCAGCCAGATGAGCGGGTTGTAAGTAGTAAATTATCATCATCAGCAGCATCATTATTCACACAGCCATGTTCTCTAAAGGTCCATGCATTTAGCTGGCACATAAACATTTTTTCTGATAAGGGCGATTCCTTCCATATATTCTCAATGTAAAAGAAACATAGTTTCTCTTTGAAGTTATAGTCATTCACCTTTTATTAACTCCACATCTTTTAATGATTCCAAATGTATTTTCTTCAGCAAGGAATTTTGTACAGGTGGGACAACTTCATTTTTCATGAATAATTCCCATAAATGGAAGCAGCGTTCTTAGACTTAAAAGTAGCCAGGGAGAATAAAGGTGGGAATGACTTTATGCACATATGTACTGATATTTATGTCTAAGGGTAAAGAAATCTTATTTGCTTAAACAGTGTTTTAGTGAGTAGTGTGTAATGTACAATGTACATTTGTAATGTGTTTGGTGAGGGAAGTCGTCTGCCTGGTCAGGTGAAAGTTGGTTTAACCGTCACTTAGGGACCTTAACTGACAGCTGAAGAGGGGTTGGAGATAGAACTCTCTGTGTGCAAATGAAGGATAGAAAGTATTTGAACCACAGTTCATGGCTCAGTTGGTAGAGCATGAGGCTCTTAATCTCAGGGTTATGGGTTTGAGCCCTACATTGGGCAGAAGGTTCCTGCATTGCCGGAGTTAGACTAGACGACCCTCGTGATCCCTTCCAACTCTACAACTCTATGATTCTATATTCTGATTGGTGGCTGCAGGTTTAGAATTCTTAGTTAGACAGTGTGATTGGCCGGGATTGAACTAGAGGGGCCAGAAGAAGTGTATATATGATCAGGTGCTGGTCAACAGTAGTTAGCTATTGGTTAGCCAGCCCTTGCTGGTCAGAGAACCTGCCTACAGCAGTAAGGGAGAACTGTGGGGAGCCAGTTTAGAAAGCAAAGCTTTGGTATCCTGTAGGAGAGCCAAAGGAACAGCACAAGGCAGCAAAAACAGACCTGCATTTCAATAGGTCAGTAGGGTTGAAGCAGAGCTAATGCTTTTTTGTGGTAAAGAACCAATTTACATGCTAATGCTTTTGTAGCTTTTGAAGCAGCAGGTGCAATGGGGTGCCTTTAAATTTGTAGGACTGTTGGTTGACAGGGTTTTCTTTTAAAAACACACCACCTGCACTCCATACCCTGGATGAAGTACTTTCTAGCTCATTTGTTCGCTCTTTTAAAACTTTAAGGGACATTTTGAAAGAAGCTTGTGTAGAATATGCGGTGCGGTGCTGAATGGCTTCCTTTCTTCATAATTTTAAACAGATGGGCAAGTCTCTTGATGCACAGACCGCATAATAGCAAGGGCATTTTTGTCTCCTCTGAGAGACTGAATGAGGACATAAGGCAGGAGGCTACTGTAGTGTAACTAGCATGCGGTTAGACTAGAGTGATGAGGTTCAATATGGGAAACTCGTATTCAAATCCTGACTTAGTCATTGAAGCTCAGCAAGTGGTTTTGGACATTCACACACTCTCAGGTTATCCTACAGTACAAGTCTAAAATAAACTCCATGTTCACAAGCTCTTTTTGGGAAAGACAGGATACAAACATCATCAATATTTTTTCCAGCTTGTTTGGATAGGGCCGAAGGCAAAAACTGTGATACAAAGAAACTGAGACAAACCACTTCTTTGTTTTTTGAGTGCCTTTACTCGAGATACATTTAATCACTTGCTTTGGGCTTCACTCCCTTCTAAAATAGAATCTTAAGTCCTCCGGTATAGAAACTGGTGAACTGAATCATCAGTTTGTTCTTGATTGGTTTTTGTGTGTGTGTGACCTTTAAGTTTTTTGCTGTTAAAACCAAGAAACCCAAATTGAAAACCTGATTGCTTAATCATTTTAAGGAAGGTTTAGCTTTAAAACCATTTAAAATTTTATTTTCAGTCATATAGAGTACACTTGAGCATGGTAGCATATAAAGCTATATTCTCGTTCCTCTTTCTTTGTCGGCTGTATTTTGGTAGAGCTCTGTTGCAGTATAATAGGTTAGCTATCTGTTGTACTCCCTATCCGTATCCAACTGAGGACATCTGAGCAACACCAGAATATTGCTCCGAGCTATGCAAAAATCAAAACAAAAAAGCAGTATGAGGTAAAGTTTGGTCCCACCACAACAATTTATTTTCTATCATGCAGCAGGCTCTTTGGATCTCGGCCCAGTACTTCTGGGTAATTTACATTTGCTCTCAGTTCTTAGCTTCTGCCTCATAGAAGTGTTTACTTGGCTGTTGAAGCTGCTTTTGGGTAGCTTGGGGACTTCTGTGGATTATCTTTATCCGTAATAGTCTTGGAGCACAATCTTTAGCACCTGCTCTCAGAAGTAAACTCCATTTGAAGTTAGTTGGACTTAACATCCAAATAGTGTGTTTAGAAGCATGGGCAGGTTGGGCCAAGTGACTCATGTTCACATGCAGATTGAGTTTGCTCTTGTGTTCCTTTCACTGATGCCCACAGATATAGATTGTAAACACACGTCATCAATGTTCAGCACACTCATCAATGTGTATTTGCTTTAGACTCAAGGCTGCTCATGGAACTGTATTAGGAGCAAAGCTGCCTCACTTCTTAAACTTGTATCAGTCCCTTATACCCTGTTCTTCCCCCAAAGAGCTCAGAATAGCTGACATATAGTTGCCAGGCAATTCTGCACTGAGGTCGTTCTTTGGTTCAGAGTTGATTGGCTTTAGAAGTAAAACTACAGCATGTGCCTTCAGATCATTCTCTGAGGGGGTCGTTGCTTTAATTAAGTTACACCATTTCCACTTTCTTAGTGCTTTTCTTTCCCTCATAATTATCTTGGCCAATGAAGAATCATGTAGTGAAGATAACAATGTTAAGACACTAGCTTGAGTTTCCTCAGCTTGGTGCCCTTTGGATTTTGTTGCACCACAACACGTTATCTCTGACCATCATCCATGTGGCTTGGGAGGTGGGAATTGGGAGTCCAAAATCTGGATAGTACAAGGTTCGGGGAAGGCTGTACTAGTTAATCAATTACACCTGGGATCACTTAAATGAATTAATCTGGTTTAGGTGATGTAGTGATATAGTCCTTTAAGATTAGCTTGCGGGTTACATGGGAATTTGTTTGAATCCCTGGAATAAGCCTAAACACAGATGCCTCTCATTAAGACCTCAAGGCCAGTGTTGAATGGTAATTAAAGACACATACTTATTTCGTTGGGCGGAAGGGGTGAACACACATAGTCAGTGTTCCCTTAAAACCTGGGCTGCAGTGAGCATAAGAAGCTCTCAGCATGGACGGTCAGCGACTGTTTGGACCTTAGAAGATACCATATTTTTCTGTGTATAACATGCCCCCTATTTGGGGGGACTCAAAATTAAGAAAATGGGGGGAGATTGCCCCCATGTATAAGACTCCCCCCTTTTTAACATTAATTTTTAGTAAAAAAAAGCCTTGTCTTATACACAGAAAAGTACAGTATTTTGCTTTGTTGCTCACCCTACTAAGATTTATGTGTAAGTGTTTCAGTCAATTAGCAAGCTAAGTTTTGTTATTTTCCTTTTTACAGAGTTTTATTTTAATAAAGTTTCTTGTATGTTTTTATGGAAATTGGTCTCACTTGAGTTTCTAAACCTTCGATCTTGAATACATATTCAAAGTGAGTCATTCATTACAGGTGAGTACAGGGGTTCCTGAATTATGTCAGCCAATCAGGGAGGTTGTTCGGGGCCATGCTTACTAGACAGGCAAACATTTGTTGTTCTTTTAGCAGTGATCCATTAAAAGATTTCTGAAAGTGGTGACATAATAAACCACTTCTTACTGGCTCGGCCCTAGCTTGGATAGCATTGGTTGCTTTGACTCATTTTGTACTTTAACTAGCAACCACTCTTTTGTGTCCAACTCATGGAGGTACACAAATGAAACCAGTTATGGGAAACATGTGACCTTTCAGATGTTGCTGGACTACAGTACCCATAATCCCTTGCCATCATTCTACCCATCATCCTTGCTGACTAGAGCTGATGGGTGTTGGAGTCTAATAACATCTGGAGGGCCACATGTTGTGCACCATTGGTTTATACACTGCAAGTATATGGGGGGAAAAAGATCTGTTTAATAATGGGTATTCTGTAGCTGCATAATGAAGGAAGTGGGGCCCTGGCCATCAAACTTGTCTCTTTCACTGCACAGCTATTTGCCCATAATGAAGCTGCTTCCAGAGACCCATTTTCTGCAGTACTGTGTACCATAAAACTCAATGACAAATCTTACATTTATTGCCCGTTATTATTGAGATACCTTATTAAAAAGGGAGTGTGGGCTTTTTGTTGTTCTTGGTGTTTGTATATCTCCCCGCAGTTAGTAATCACTTTCTGTAATTTGAAATATTATTGTGGATTTCATATATCAAGCTCTTAATCCATTGAAAGGCATAACTGATCTCCTGAAACATTATGTACTCAAAAGACAGAATTAGATGCTCTAATTAGAGTTCTGATACTTGTATCCCCCACCCCCAATCCCCTTTTTATATTGTCAAGAAGTTCGTTTGCACCATTAGTAGAAATTGCAAGACAAGACATCTCTTGGGTAATGGTGGGATAATAAATCCCTTAGTAATGTAGCTGTCAGAATATTTTTTTAAAAATCATTTTAATTTTCATTCCAAATGCTAAGCTAACAAGGAAAGACTTGGGAAATAATGATTGTCTTCTAGTGGACAAGAGTACTGTCAAAATACACAAGGACAAGGGAAAGTTAAGTTGGATTTCTGGAGTTTTGTACATGGCAGACAAGTTCCTTCACCACAGCTGAAAGCTAGTTTTTGATGCAGGTTTTGTGCCTGTTGGATTAATGTGGGATGGGAGGGGGCACTGCTTGGACAGGGCATTTTGGGCTATGGTTTTTTTGGATTATACCATGTCAGGCTATTGCAGAGGTGTGAGAAGTGTTTCCCTCCCCACCCCCCATTCTGAGAACCGTTTTTTCTTATATGGAACCTTTTGGCAACTATAAGTGGTGAGTGATACCAAAGGTGGAAAAACTGGGCAGAACGACAAAGGGGACTCTTGTTTTTGTACATTGGACTGTACTTTAGCTGCACAGAAGTTGCCCCACTCCAAATTAAAGGCCCTTCGAAGTCTAAAGTAATAGGACAGGCTTTGCCTGGTCCTTTTGAAGATGATAATGGAGAGAACTCCATTATCCTCCAGTATAGAGGACTATATTGTGGAAAGTGTTCCACAATTTTGATGTCATGCCTGGAAAGGCCCTCTGTCTCTCTTTTCTGAATCTCTAAAGATGGGGACATCTGGAGAAGGGTTCATGGTCAAGATCTTAATTGATAGCAGGTGAGAGAAGGCAGCATTTCTCCCTTCAGAAGCCCTAGTCTCAGACCATATAGCTTTGAAGCCCAAACCATCAACTTGAACTGAACGCCAGAATGAACTTGGTAGTTAGCAAAGATACCAGCATAATATGATTGGGGTGCTCAGTTGCCGTTAGCGACATGACTTCTGCATTTTGAACCAGCTGCAGCATCCAGATTCTGCTCAACAGCAGCCCCATGTACAACACATTGCAGTAATCTGCCTGGGCTGAAATCTCTTAAGGTGCTAGTTTTTTACATGCAAGGAGAGGAGTATGTGTGAGTGTGTGAATATTAAAGCACGTGCTCTCCCTTCCCACAACTCAAAGTACAGTGGTACCTCGGGTTACATATGCTTCAGGTTACATACGCTTCAGGTTCCAGACTCCACTAACCCAGAAATAGTGCTTCAGGTTAAGAACTTTGCTTCATGATAAGAACAGAAATTGTGCTCCGTCTGCACAGCAGCAGCAGGAGGCCCCATTAGCTAAAGTGGTGCTTCAGGTTAAGAACAGTTTCAGGTTAAGTACAGACCTCTGGAACGAATTAAGTACTTAACCCGAGGTGCCACTGTAGTTCCAGTCCATAAAAGCTAAACCACTGAAATATAAACTGGCCCTTTGGCATTTTGTTACCCAAGGGCAATGGGCTGAATGTTGCAGGATGGGAGAAGTTTATACCCTCCATATTAGAAAACTCTGTTGAGGTTTTATTTGCCTCAGAGATGAGGGAAATGTGATTGCGATTTACATAAGTGAAACGGCTAAGCTCCCTGATAGTCGGACATTGCCTTTGTAATTTTGTTTACTTAAAAATGAGATTATTATGTCTGAAAATAATGTGTCATTAGCCACAGCCTGCAATGGTTTATCATAATTGGCTGCTTTACATCCATTTGAAATAGCTAGGCACATGAATTTTCCCTAAGGCTACATTAGTCAGCGTGAGCTCAAACTGCTATGTTGACATTTTTTCCTCTCCAAACTCATATGTGAGTGTAAAAATTTTATGAGGCAACTTTAACAAGGCCCTTTGGGATTTGGGATTATTTGTCTTAAGTTCTTATTAAAGACAAAAAAAAGTTTCCTTCACTATGTTTATCCAGGTAGAGTAAAGCTCCTTTTTCAGAGGCTAGGCTGTTTAGGAATAAATAAGATTTGACAGAGAGAATCGGGAATCAAGGACAGCAAGTTTTCTTCTGTGCTAAATGTATTTTGCCAAGATAAATGTTAACAGTGACAACATATCCCAGGTTTCTAAGGCTATTTCTCTAGATTAGAAGGTTTGTAGAAGAGAAAACTGCTTTTTTTTCCCCTGCCAGGAAATAGTGAGTTCTGATAAGTGAAAAGTGATGCGCATTGAGGAAAAATTGTCCCCATTACATGCATACAACAATGGATTTGAACAAGCAACTACTACTCAAGAAAGCAATGCTGGAATCATGATAAGCTCTGAAAAGGCTATCTAACGAAGTTGCCAAAAAAGGGAAAAGCTACAAAGGAATATATTTTTCTTTCTCTCTAAAGAAAGGTTAAAAATAATACATCTGTTATCCTACTGCCCCTGTATAAAGGACTGTGTACCCACACCTTTTTGGGTTTCTATCCAGTCCTGGTCATTCTATGGTGCAGCTCTAACATTGTTCCAAACCATGGTTAAGGAAGCTTAAGTATTTTTTGGCATGAGTTTGAATTGGCAAACCATGGTTTTGGGTCATCCAGCAAACCCTGATTTGCAAGTGGGTTTGTAAACCATGACTTGGGCTAATTGATGAGACCTAGTTATAGCCTCTCTGAAGCCAGCTGGACCATAACGACAGAAGTCTTGAACAGATGGACAGTGAAAGAAGACATGGAGCGCTAAACCATTACTTGCCTTTACTTTTGGAACGTCAGGCCACTGTATGAGTTCTAAACAATGGGTACCACAAACTGGTATGGAGTTTTTATCAGAAGATATATAATCTTACCAAAGAAAAGCCTAAATGAATTAGGAATCTGTTTTAGAAACGAGATGGCTCAAAAGAGGCAGCAACTGAATTACAAAAAATAGAGACCATCTTTATGTATCTCACTTTTGTTAGTTTCATTTAAGAGAAAGCAGCTTGGGTAGGTGGGGATCAGAAGACTGAATTACTTGTTCTATGGCTTTTCCTATTTTCTTTGTAGCCTATTCATTGCCATAGGTTTATTATTTATACCCAAATTTTGAGTACAACATGGTGCGTATCTCCCAAAAGTAGTGTATTTAAATAACATTTATTATTTAAATAAAAGGGGAAGGGCTGTATTTCAGTGGCAGACAACATGCTTTGTGTACATAAGGCAAGGGTTCAGTTCCCATCACCTCCAGTTTTTAAAAAAGGATCCAGTAACAGGAGAGAACAATTTCTGCCAGAAACTATGCAGAGCAGTTCCTGATCAGAAAGGACAATATTGGGGTTGATGGATCTGGCATAGGTCAGTTTCCTATGATTTAAAAGAAATGACAGTTATATAAAATCCAAATAGACTGCCCTAGACTGTGTATTCACTATACAGATTTAACCTACCCAAATCTTAAAGCTATATAAGTATCTAGCATTACTTCATTAAAATCTACTGAGGTTTATAATGGGAATATTATTAGATGACTACATGGTTTAGTTGAATATATATTCTTTGGCTGGATTCTAGGTTCTCTTATCAATATCAAACTCTACTGGTGATGTGTTGGTATCGAGCAATCACAGTGTTCACTGTGGTTTTAAACTGCATTGTGTTATCATCTCTTTCTGTGGAAGATAATGTCCCTTTAGAATGTTTCCAAGCTAATATGAAGATATTCCTCACTGGGATGTATTAGCAGTCACAGTAGAGTAAGACTGCTTATGCTTTTTGTATGCTATATAGAAGCTACTGAAATAGCAAGGAATGTATTCTGGAATTTATTGAAAATAAGTACACCAGCCTTGATTAGCATAGAAAAGTGACAATTGGGTAATAACATTAGCTGGTCCTAATAAAGGTATCTGCTGAATGCATATAAAGAGCTGTAAACTCCTGGTTCTATTTAATGTTTCATGAATAGTATTCTTATTACTGTACAGTGGTACCTCAGGTTAAGTACTTAATTCCTTCCGGAGGCCCGTACTTAACCTGAAACTGTTCTTAACCTGAAGCACCACTTTAGCTAATGGGGCCTCCTGCTGCTGCCGCGCCGCCAGAGCACGATTTCTGTTCTCATCCTAAAGCAATGTTCTTAACCTGAAGCACTATTTCTGGGTTAGCGGAGTCTGTAACCTGACGCGTATGTAACCTGAGGTACCACTGTATTATGAAGCAACATGTGACCCTAATCAGATGAAGGATGGCCTATAAATTTTGGAATCAAATGAAAACAAAAATGTCACAAGCATGATCCCGTGTTCCCCAGAGTCTTATTCAGTCTGGATATGAACCAATCTATTAAAAAAAATAGCAAGAAAAAACTAATATTATGTAACTAAAATTAATTTGTTAATGTATCTAAGTACTTCCTGATGGGAGCAAACCCTTTATCTCAGTAACTCATTATGAAACTTGCATTATTATTTTTTACTTGGCAAGATGTAATCCAGGAATTCCCCAACCATTTTAGGGAGGCACATTTGGAAAATGAAAGCTGTTGTGGGCCCAACAAAATGCCCATTTCAATAAAAATAAAAATTAGTGATGTTCAGATGTACCTCTGAAATACAGCATATGAAACCTCCTGCCCTAATAACAGAGATAAAAACCAGGCAACCCCCATTGTCCTACTAAACCAACAATCCTCAGTTAAAAAGAGGTGTAGGCAGGGGGCCTTGGTGGGAGACCCTAGATCTAGCCTGTTATAGTTGCCACTGTATAGCACCTGGGAATAAGCTCTATTGAACTCAAACAGACTTCCTTCTGAGTAGACTTGTATAGGATTTCTTTGACAAGTCTTCATAGCTCCTGCTGCAGACTGTGTGAAACTTTCATCCTGCACACACACACACACACACCCGACCACCTTTTTGTTGGTTTGTTTTGTGTGCTTGCTTAACATCCAGCCAGAAAAACAGTTCTGGTGAACTTAAAACCTGCTACTATATTGTGAGAGTTGTTTCTTTGGGGTTTTCTTCTAATAAACCAGTATGGCTACCTTAACTTTTTGGTTACTAACTTGGGCAGATTTCATCTGAAAGACCATGCAACAATAAATAATTCTTCAAGTTGAAGGGTTCAGGTAGCAGGCAAAGAAGAAAAAGATCTATAATGCTGCACAGTTGTTATAAGTCCCTTTAGGCTACAAGCTTTTCCAGGAGAGGTGAATTTTATAAAGTCAGTATTCGCTTATTTTCAGCCATGGCTGTTGTGTCGTGCTTAAGCCTACCCTCCAAAAACAAACCCACAACACATCTCCTATAATGGTATCCTATTCATCAATGTTTTCATACTGCATCCTTTGAAAGGCAGTGCAGTGAGCTGCTATTGAAAGATGCTTTTTAAAAAATCCTATATCACTCTGTAGGGAATTGTATATTTAGGGCAGGCTGCCAGACTGTAAGAAACACAAAAGAACAGGCATGGGCTAGTGACTAAACTTCAGTCAAATGCTCCCAACATATGAACTCATATAACCGCCACACTTTGAAGTATTGCTATTATTTTATAGACTTATATCCTTCCTGTCAAGGGAGGCTACCTATGCAGTAGCAAAATACAATAAAAATGCAAATGGAAAAAAGTTCCAAACATTGGCATTAAAATAACAGAAGCAGAAAAATGTGTTAAAAGACACATCCATAAAATAATTCAAATGCAGATGGAACTTAAGCATCTGCTAGAGAATCCAGTTGGCAGAAGAATGAAGTTGCTTCAGTAGCAGTTGTTGCTGTAAGTCTCTGTGGCCCCAGAAGATAAGGGGTAGAGTTGTCTCATGGCTACAGGAAGTTATGATTGCCTTTTTCTGCACATAGCAGACCCTTCACATGACAGTAGGCTGTCCATCAGCTGCTTGTTACTTTAACATTTATCACCAGGATCATGCCATTATGACAGTCTGGTGACTTGAGATTATGGCACATGCAGAAGCTGTGGGCAAGGTTTGAGAAGAATGGGTTGGTCAGTTGCCCTCTGCCCCCAAGTAATCCTGAAGTGTTTGCATCAGGCTATTTGCATACAAGGAATAAAATACTGCTATTTATATTGAGATTTCTCAAAAGGACTTCACAGTCACATAACATTACCTTAGTGACCCTACCTTAAGATATGCTAGTATATTTACGTCCACATTGCAGATCATGGTCTGAGATAGAGAAATAGCATTTTGCTCATGGCTACTAACAGAATCAGTGGCTTAGTGGAAATTTGAACCAAGGATGGTTTTTTTCACAGCTAATGTTCTTGCTAGCAATCAGTGTGCCAACTGCTTGATGTTTTATGTTCATGTTTTCATCCATGATTATTGAAGTACCTCACAGAAATGCACGCAAATGCTGCTTTGAAGTCAGAAGTGTTTCATACAACTGCCACGAACTCTATGGCAGTCCTAAGCGTGAGGTGCATTGTTAAACTGTGTGTTGCTTCTAGGTACTGCACAGTTGCTCAGATCTCAGCCAAGTAATCCGAATGCTTTCCATTTGCTTCTCTTTGCAGCGGCTGTGATTCTGAGTAATCTATGTTTATTACTCATCTTTCTGTCGTCCATTAGAATATGAATTTCATGAAGCTGTGGCTGAAGTGCGATAGACTGGCCGTTGTTCAGTGAACGGAGCAATTAAAAATGAAAGAAAACCCCCTTCAAGTACTTGCAAAGCCATTTTTTCCCTGAGAGCTATTTGGGTCTCCTTTTAATGAGACGTGCTCTGACTCACTGCTGAGAATGTTGTAGATTGCATTGTGCTCTGGACCTGAATAAGTAACTTTTTGCATTCAGTTGGTATTAATAAGCAACTGCAACCAACTTCTCTTTATGCTTTAGAAAAAAAACTGCACCTCTGCATTTCTTTCCCCTACAACAGAACTTTCCAAACTGTGTGTCACAACATGTTAGTGTGTAGGTTTGTCATGTGAATGCTCCCCAAGCTCCTCCTGGGTCTGGAAAGGGGCTAGTTTAACCTTGGGTTTGCTAGTAAAACTGAACTACTGTGTCGCAGTATGTTTAAAAAGTGTGTCACCAACACGAAAGTTTAGAAAGCTTGGCCCTACAGAAACCCCATATGAAAGTTGATGGAACTTCAGATATGATATTTGCATGTTTGTAAGCAAAAGGTACTGTACAGTATCCATTTATTGGAACTTCGAATTTCCAGCATAATAATTAAACAACACTTCTGATTGTTTTCCAGCCTAGTTGATTCATGGGAAAGTGATATGGGAGTACATTCTCTAACATTTCCATCAAAAACCTGCTTGGAATTGCTGCTGATACTGTCTCAGAGTAATGCTTCGCTGCCACCTTCCCTTCGCTGGATGAATTCTTTCCAGGTAAAGAAATGATGGCCTTTCCCATAATGTACCTAACGTTAAGAAGAGTATAGAATCCAGACCATTGTCCAAAACCATAGGTTAGCAAACCTGAATATCAAACTACAGTTTGATCCTTGTTTGGTAATCTGGTTTGTTAAATAATTATGGTTTGTGCAACCCCTAGTTTCGCTTATATGGATGAAGTAAAAAACTGGTTTGTTACAAGGGCATCTATGCAAAAAAACAAACCCAAAACTATATCCATTTACTGATTGTGAGTTTATGGAGTCATTTATCTGATTTGAGATTAATGTGTTTACTGTTCCAAGCATAGATAACGTCTCCCTATTCTATTGGGCATTAAGAAGCTATGTGGTTATAATCAGTTTTGGTGCCTATATTGATGTGTCTGCAAAACGGGGCCTCTTCTGGCCTTATCTGGATATAGTGGTTTCTCTTGTGACTGAGCGTGAGCCATGTCCCTCCTGCTATCTCCTGCTATATTGCTTGTTTCCAGTTAATACAACAGAAAGCGGCATCATGATGAGTCAGACCATTGATCCCTGTATCCCAGTATTGTTTACAGTGACCAGCAATGGCTCCTCAGGGTTCTGAGAGGACATTTCCACCCCTACCTGGATATGCCAAGGATTGATCCTGGATTCTTACATGTAGAAAGCAGATGCTCTACTGCTGAGTTGTAGCGCTTGCCCTTAACTGCAGTCTTCAGCTAGTTTCTTGTTTTTACTTTGTTCACAGCCCTGGGCTTTTTTTGTGTGTGTGGGGGGGGAAGCTGCCATATTTTGGCGATGCTGTTGAAAGTGGCTGGGATCCAAATGGTGCAACCTCTGTAAAGTTAATTCCTGAAACAGCAGGATCCCCCCCCCGTCATGATGTTTTTTGAGGCATCCTTAAACTTAAAAAACAGCTGGATCTTTCTTTCTTTCTTAAAAACATTTCCAAGTCACCCTCTACCATTATGTATACTAGGGAAGTGATCAGTCTCCTGAGTAAACTTGTACATTAAGTTCAAACCAGTACAATTGTATCTTGGAAGTCGAATGGAATCCATTCCGGAAGTCCGTTCGACTTCCAAAGCATTTGACTTACAAATCACAGAAGCTACTGCAGCCAATCAGAAGCCCCGTTGGACATTCGGCTTCCAAAAGAACGTTCGAAAACCGGAACAGTCACTTCCGGGTTTGCGACGTTCAGGAGCTAAAATGTTCGAGAACTAGGCTATTTGAAAACCAAGGTACGACTGTATTTGCAGCTCAGCCCCTACCATCCGTTCACTTAGTAGCACCTTCATTTGTCTACTCCTTGTTTCCTTTTTTCCTCAAGCTTACTTTTCCGTCTCCTTCCATTGTTCCTGGTTTTCAGACCTGATTCCTGCTATGCTACCTACTTTGTATCTTTCCTTCAGCGTATCTCTTGACTCAGTGCTCTTTAGTGTCCCTTTTCAAATTCTCAGCCTGCCCCTCAAAGTCATTTGCTTCCCTAAGGAAGTTGCAATCTCAAATTGGCCTTTTTGCACAGTAAAGGACTGCAGAAATATTATGATGCTTTTGTTTCCTGAGTACTTAGAATGTTCACAAACATTCTATGCCACCGAATCTGCTCAGCCAGTTGATGTCAGAGCCTTCAGTACCACAGGTTCAGTACCATAGAAATTTCTAATGAGGAAAGAAATCCAAGATCCACTATTTGAGAAATCCAGTCTTAAGTTCCAGCCCCAGTAAAGACTACTGCTTGACAAGAAGCAGAAATATCTCTCTCTCTCTCTCTCTCTCTCTCACACACACACCCACACACACACACACACACACACACCCTAGGTTATATAATCTCTAACCTTCAGTGTGGAGTATTTATTTAAGTTTTTATGCTCCATCCTTCCTCCAGATAAGAGCACAGAGTGACTTACAGAACAACATATAATATAAACAGAAATATAAAATATTTCATTTAACAAGATTTATGTACCAACAAAAAAAACTCAAAACAGTTTACACCAAACAATATAACATACTCCTTGAAAATACTCATAAAATCAAAGTATTAAAAGCAAGTCAACACAAAATTGTATCAAAATAAAAATACAAACCAGCCAGCAATTTTAAAACACATATGCATCTTAAAATTGCATGTTAAAATAAAACAGAATAAAACCATGCATTCATTATGAAAATAGTGTAATAATAAGCCAAAACCCCAATGAGGGTCAACATCATCAATTTGCCTTTCTTGATCACTCTCTTTCCAACGTGGTGTTAAACATCACAAGTCGTGATCCTCAGTGTGCTCTGCCATGATTAGCCTCTTTTACTTCACTGGGTCATGGGTGTGCAAAGTGCTTACCAACTTCAGTGTTTATCTTCATATGACTGGGTATTCTATTATACTAGTAGAGAAATACCCTTTGTGTTGATGTGGAGGTTGCATGTGTGGAGGCTGGGTTTGTAAGATCTGAGGAGACTTTTCCCAAATGCCCCCACCCCAGTGACAAGGACGATGGCATCTGGCAAAGAGGGCCTTCTCAGAGATGGTGTTTTCTTTGGAACATTCTTCCCCAAGAAGTTAGGGTGGAACCAGCACTGGTGTCTCAGGTGCTAGGCTGAAACGTATTTATTCAACAAGTTTATTAGCAGTTAATTCATTGTGTCAATGCTGGCTATTACTCTTTACTTTCTCTTGTTTTAATCTACCTCAGTTTTCTGTTTCAGGAAAAAAATATTTTTACAACCTTTATTGTTCCATTTTACTATCTTACGTTGTGAGTCACTTTGAAAACTGGGAAAGTAGAAAAGCAGCGTATAAATTCATGAAACTCTATATAGTGCTACCTCTAGATACGCACTCCTCTAGCTGCGTACCTTTCAGGATGCGAACGTGGCAAACCCGGAAGTAGTTTTCCGTGTTTCACCGTGTGCGCATGTGCAGAAGCTCTGGTTGTGAATTCCTTGGGATGCGGCTGGACTTCTGGAATGGATCCCGTTCGCAACGGAGGTACCACTGTATTTATGTGTCTTTAAAAGTAAAATCCAGTACACCACACTTAGGATTAAACACTCTGGCAACAACATGGCTTGCTATAATCTAATATATAAAGTGAAAGTTGACCTTTGGATTACATTGGCTTCATATTTGTCGCTTGACTGAGCTTATGCACATGTAAGTTCTGAGCCTTGCTAGCTTTAAAGAGTGACAAAAATAGTTTTTAGAACATGATCTCCTCCTCTTCTCTCTCTCCCCCCAACCCCCAGTTTCAGGCACCCATAAAACAAAACTATGGTCTACTTAATTCCAGCAATCCTTGTTTTACTTCGCAACCTTCAGAATGGATGTCTGGTGGATGTTAAAGCAAAATACTTGCTTTTCCACAACAGCAGCGCTGAGAGAAATGTGGTAAATGGCATAATGTATCATCATAAAGATTCAGTATCTTAAGAAGTTGTTTGGCTTGGGTTTTGTTTCTGTTACTTCCTGTGTTCCTAGAGATAAGAAGAGCCAAGATAATGTTAGCAAATCACCAGCAGAGATTGCTTGTACCTTGGAAGTGCGTCTCTCTGTAATCACTTTTGTACCAGAAGCTCAGTTTTGTGCCAGAAGCTCAATTCTCTTGAACCATTACCTTACACTGAACAGCTTATTAAATGTATATGGGGCTGGTTAATAGAACTTGTAGGTTTCTGTTCATTTTGTCTGCTTTGAACAGAATAGTGATTTATAACTTTTAAAAAATTAATAGTGGTGATGGATAGTGGTGGTATTTAACCTGTAACTGGGAGGAAGAACTATCCAGTTGTAAAGTACCAGAATTTATTTATTTTTTAAACCCCACTATGTGCAGAGAGTTTTGGGTGGCTAGTTTTAACAGGACTTTGCTCACTACCCTGTTTTTCCAAACGTACTTAATATATTCAGTAAGGAAGACAGCCAGTGGCATCAAGTTAGGTTTGGACGTGGGTCCTGTGTCACAAGTCACATAAGTTGAAAGTGATCCCATGAGTGTGGAAGCCAGCATTTCAGAAGGAAAAGAAGGGCCCTCAGTAATCAGCATTGTCATTTCTGACAGAACTGATCACCAGTTTGGTGGGGGAGAAGAAGAGTCCAGTCATCTTCTCCTATAACCACCCAAAAGGTGAACAATATTCACAGAAATAACTTGCCCTGATTGTTGGTTCAGTGGAGATTTGGGAAGATTTATTGTATGCACAAAATACTTCAGATTGGGGCCAGTGCCTCAAGCATATGCAGACAGCACTTCTGTCGTTACTAGGATTTACATTAAGGGTGCTTTGAGGTGAGTGAATAGGGATGCCAAGGCTAGCTTGAACTGGAGAGAAGAAGAAGAAGAAGAGGAGGAGTTTGGATTTGATATCCCGCCTTTCACTCACTTTTTTTTTAAGGAGTCTCAAAGCGGCTAACATTCTCCTTTCCCTTCCTCCCCCACAACAAACACTCTGTGAGGTGAGTGAGGCTGAGAGACTTCAGAGAAGTGTGACTGGCCCAAGGTCACCCAGCAGCTGCATGTGGAGGAGCGGAGATGCGAACCCGGTTCCCCAGATTACGAGACTACCGCTCTTAACCACTACACCACACTGCCTCTCAACAAAAAAGTGCTGTGACATGAGAAATTGTTGTATGCAATTTTCAGCTCTCAGAGTAAAATGTTTTAAAGGAATAATGTGCACGTTAGTAATTATCCATCACTTGCTTTTAAGCAGGGCTGGCTAACATATGACCCACTAGAAGTTGCTGAACCACAGCTTTAATCCACCGTGGCTGTTGGCCATGCTGGGATTGATGGAAGTCCTAGATCAGCAACATCTGGGGAGACACAGGCCAACCAGCCCTGATCAAATTAAACAAAGTAGACACTGTAATAAAATGTATCTGATGTACAGGGATGCAATCTTATTGAACTCTGGCTTGTTTTCATAGCTGGGCAAATACTGTTGAAGATGCTTGGTATTTCAAAAGAGGGGGCATGACCTAATTGGAAAGTTACATTCAGCATATGAAAATCCTTTACTTTAGCACCAGACTTGCTCAGCGTCCCATTCAAATGATGATCATCTGGTGGTAGGAAAACCAAGTGGCGCTGACATTCATTCAGAGAGGAAATGTACAAAATTACCGGGGCTCGCAGCCCATTACAAGATGTGGTTGTGAAACAGAAAAGCAATTTGGATGTGATGAAGTGTACTAGAGTGGAGAAGAGAAGTTATTAAGCTTGTCTTGTATTTGCCAATTGAAGTGTGAGAGGTGTTTTTGAGTGTGTTGCGGCCTTCCCTTCAAGAGGCCTTCAGCCAAATCCATAGTACTTGTCTGCACTCTGAAATCAAAGCCCTTCATTTCATCATATTGATAGTGGTGATTGTGTCACGTTCCAATCAAGCTATCCTTTTTTAAACTAATTATCCCCTGATAATGGGCTGATTAGGCCCAGAGACATAATGACATAAAGCATCCATGGGATTAAGTGTGCTCACTATAGAGAAGAGAGAGGTCTCACCACCTTGCTAGAAGTACGTTGGCAGGTTCTGTGGGGCCATATTGAGTGCAGTAGCTGAGCAGGCCCCACCACAACTGCCTTAGGCTTTCAAATGGAATAAAGGGGGAGAATTGCAGCTCCAAAGTTGCCATGGACTCTTGGTTCTGAGTAACCACTTGCCCAATCAGAATTCATTTGGAGGAGGCACTGCTGTTGCTGCATCTTGTTTTGTTAATCTATGAAACTATTCTGTCCTATCTTTTGGTCCTCAAAAGGGCATCCCCGTTCAGTAAGCTTGGAAGAGCATCAATTTTGCAACAGAATTATTAGGTTACTAGGTGCAGCTATTTTTCTTCAAATTCTAAACTTTTCAGTGTGGAGCTCAAACTGTATATTTCATACCATTTTGGAAAACCACTGTCATTTAGTGTGGACTGTACTGACCTTGATAGATAGACCTGTGGTCTGACTCGGGATACGGCAGCTTACTATCTGCCCCACCACCTCCACATGTGCAAGTGAAAAAGCAGTATGGACAGTGGTTTAGGGTGTGAAAACGATCAGAGGGGAAAGGATTAATCAGCTTTTCTTGCTGTGCATTTTTTAAAAATGCAGAAGAATAAGAAAAACCCAGAACTCTGTAACATGTAGTTTGAGTCCTACGAATAGCTAGTACATGCTTTTGTTTCTTCTCATCTTCCTCTAGCTGGTTTTCCAGAGTGACACATTGCCATTTGCAGTTCTTCTATTTGAAGGATTGTGGAGTTATCTTATCAAGGAGGTTTCTCATAATGTGACACATGGTAATACGCCAGACAGATAAAGGAATGCTGTAACTTCTGTTTTAAGTTCATCTTTTTTAAAAAAGAAATGCTCAGATCGGTTGTTGGCATTTCTTCTTCCTATATGGAAAAGAGAAGCCTGGAGAAATAATATGGTCCCCTTTTCTGTTTAAATTTGTGAAATAATGTACTTTGAAAGTTTTGGTAAAGAGTCCTGCTGAACAGGCTAACCCCCCCCCCCCCCGAAACGCTGCTGTTTCAAGTAATTTTTTATAGCCGTGGTTAGTAAATGCACTTTCAGCTGTATTTCCCCCCAGCAAAGTGGTAGCTACTGACACCTTCAATTAATTGCAGGTGTCTGCTTCTTCTTGGGTGCCCTGGGGATATATCTCATTAGGAAATGTATCTCTTATTCTAAAGAATTATAGTTAGCATCCTCTTTAGAATTATCAGTTTAAGAAATATGTTTTTATCTGAGTTCTCAATCCTTTTGTATGCATAAAAATCATCTTTGAAGTTCAAGTTTTGCAACTCTAAAAAAAGAAGTTCAGAGTCAGGCTTGACTCTCATTGCGTGTCTGGCTCTTTAGACCAGCGATTCTCAACTGGGGGCCCCCAGGATATTCCAAGGGGGGCAAAGGTGAAAATTGTGTAAATGGGGGGGGGGCACAGCACGAGACTAGGGGGCCACAGAGGGAAGCGAGAAGTGAAGAAAACAGAGCCGTGACCAAGAAAAGAAAACAGAATATCTAAAAAGTTTCTACAGCTTTGGGATAAAGCAAAATTGTTTTTCATGTCATTTCCTACTACATATTCTGTAGAATCAGGTTTCAGTCGTGTGAATTATTTACTCAGCCTAACGCGGAATTGCCGTAACTGAATGGACAGAGGTGGTCTTCAGTTATCCCTCACAGCAATAGAACCGGATATAAAAAAGCTTGTTTCTGGTCATCAAGCACAAGTGTCACATTGATCGAGAAATACAAAGTATAATTTTTTAGGTAATTGTATTTTGTATTAATTATAAGTAAAACATGTTCTGTTTACAGAACAAAACATTTGTCTGTAACAAGACAAAGAAAGGTAGCATAAATAGCTACCTTTCTACCGGTAGGACGGTGGGGGCACGGTCAATAAAAGGTTGAGAAACAACACTGCTTTAGACTGTCTGCAACATTTAATGCCATTAAAATTAAGACAGCTTTTCCTGGCTTTGCACATTTTAGGAATAGACGTGTTGTGGTTTTAACCAAAAATTCCTGATGCTTTAATTATAGTCACCCTTCCATTTCTCTATACTGTACTTTATTAGAACGCCCCTTGTCTTCAACTGTCTACTCTGTTATCTTGGGCCTCAGGTCTGTGCTGGTCTTGTCATTTGATTTCCTTTTAAACTGGAAATTACAGAGTTTGGACTTGGGGCCCTTATGAATGCCAGACATGTGAGCTGTAGCTTCTTCCTGTAACTCCTACCTGGAACACCACAGCAGACTGTGATTGTTCCCATTTTTCACTTTTAGGTACTCCAGGGGGCAGTAGGTGGTCGCATGAAGTTTATTGTTAACAGCCTTTGAGTAAAGGCATTAAACTTCCAGACTTCTCAAGACTGGCTAGTGAAGACTAGCCTCTGATGGCTTTCTTAAAAAGAAATAAAAATGAATTAGGAACTATAGTAGCTGGTTAGAGCAGGTTCTTTTTCATCTTTCCTTTTGATTATACTTCAAACAGTGTTAGTGATTTAAAGCCTTCAGATGCTATGAAAAGGAATGAGATGCTTATAGTTCAGTTCTTGATTACACTGTGAAGTTATTATGATGGTGCAATATTTTATGCTTGGCTAAGTATAGATTTTGAATAAAAGAATTTAATTACACTGAATAAATACTGGAGAAAGTTCTCCAGTTACATTTCATTAATGGTTCATGCTTCTAGCAATGAACTAATTTAATTTCATTCCTGCTGCTAAAGGTCTGTGTGTGTGTTTGTGTATCCCCTCCTAATGTTTTTATTGAAAATGTAAATCTGTTAGAACATAAATGCAAACAAAATGATACATATCTAACAACTTGTACATACTTTATGCTTTGCGCTTCTTGGTGCTGTTGGATGTAATAGTGTATAGCAAACTTATAATTGCATTTCTATCAACTGTAAATGCATAAATTTGTTATATAATTTACCCACCAATCTATTTACAATTCTCTCAATAGTTACTGAGCTTCTACTTAGGTTACTTCTAATTGCCCTAAAAGCTGACCCATGATATACCGTAATTAGTGAGTTTTTCTTCTCCCTTAATTAGTTATCTTCTCGTATTAACTAAATTCTTTAGAGGTTCTAACTAAATAGGAAGAAATTGTATTTTACAATCCCATTGATGTCAAGTCTACAGCAGGGGAGGAGAAAATCAATTTTTATTCTCTATCTGAACTTAGTATTTATTTGTAAAAACAAATTGCATGGAAATATTTCCAAGTAAACATGCTGTTGTTACACAGACACCCAGCCTGCTTCTGTTTTGTATGGGGAGGGGAAGTAAAAAAGGGTTCTGGTATCATTTCCACCGAGTCTGCATTGTGTTTTCCAGTTCCCTGCATAGTGCATATTGTGAGAGTGAAAATATAGTGGTACTTCGTGTTGCGTAACCTCCAGCTTACGGAATCTTTGAGTTACGGCCACTGCAAACCTGGAAGTGGATTTGCCGCTCGCGCGTGCATGCACAGAAGCCGTCCTCCGGTTACAAAATTTTTGGGATGCAGCCGGGCCTCTGGAACGGATCCCATTCATAATCGGAGGTACCACTGTAGTAGATTGGAAGAAGCTATACATGAAGGTGCTTGCAGCCTATTTTTTCTTTCCCCTCCCCTTCTGCGAGAGAAATTGGGGCTATATGAGAAGAAAAAGGAAAGAGTCGATTGCCATGATGGTAGAATGGACCACTGCCGGATTAAATCCTGTGGAGGCCTCTAGGCAGTTGAAATCTCAGGGCTCTCCTCACAAATTATATCATATTATTTTGATCTGTTGTCATGAGGTCCCTAAAAAGTGTAGGGCCCATAGGCTGGTGCCTACTCTGCCTATTTGGTAACCTGGCACTGGAATGGACTATACTATTTTATACTAAAGAACCTCCTGCCCACAGGCCAAATGTAGCCCACCAGAAACTTTCTAGGCCACACTCCTCACCATCTGTTCCCTAGCTGTTGGGCCAGTGATGGAGCAAAGCCTATCCACTTTGTACTGGCCACTGATAATGTGAAACCACAGCCAGTATGGAAGTAGATCAAGTTCATGAAGCAGGAACAAAGCACTCTGCTTCTCCAACCCAATCCGCTGTTGCTTCCATGCTGTGAGAAAAGGGAGTCTTATATGCAGTGTAGAAGTAAAGTGTGGTAAAATGTGTGCTGAGTTGCAGTCCGGTATTTGTGTGTGTCTCTCCAACCCGGTATATAGATTGTGTGGGTGAATCCTATAACAGGTGGCGAGAGCAGTGTTGTTTGTATGGTGGTTGTGGCAGAAATGGGATCAGAAAAGTATTTAAAAACCAACACACAATGTCTTGCTTTAATAAATGAGAACAATTTATCCCTAAAAGCTGCTCTTCCCCCCTAGTTTTTTTGGAAATATTTTGTGTGACCTACTTGAGCAAACATGAAAAATGGTTTTTCTATCCTTTTGTGACAGGACAAGCTTAAGGATGAGTTCCAAAGTCTCTTGGCGTAGGTAGCTGTAATAGAATGAGTATTAATTAATCTTTGACTGCTAATGCCTCACCTCTTCAGCATCTATATTTGTCTTCCCAACTCCTGCTAATTATAGGTAGTTTTTAAAGGGCAGCATTTCCCAAGGCTAATGCAGGATAAGTTCAAGAGGTCTTTTCAGTTTTACACACTAGAAGCACAGAAACTTACACATTTCTTGCCATAAGAGTTGCAAGAGTGATCACCATAAAACAGCAACCAGCTAAATTGCATCCATGGTGTGAACAATACCAACATTCAAATATCTAGGTGTATAAAAAAGTATTAACCTGATGCTGAAAATACGTGAGACTTGAAGTCAGGTGTGCTTCACTGGGTAGAGTGTTCTGAAAGCAGAGTGCTACTGCAGAAAAGGTCCTTACTGAAGAATCTGTATATTTTAGATTTGGAAGGTCATGATAATATTTTTTGGCTGACATGCTTATTTGTGGTATGAAAAGGCAAACCATATAATTGGGAAAAATTTGTATAGAATATGGGATAAATATAAAAACCTATTGGAGACTAAAACACCACTTTGGTTTTTATGTTTGGAACCCATAGCGGTGAAAAAGAAAAATACGATGGAAAGCTGGACAACTTATAGAAATTTACTAAGAGAGGAGGGTGGAGAATTTAAATTAAAAGAGTTTAAGAATTTATCAGGGATGTTAACAACATGGTTACAATAGCATCATTTGAATGAAGTATTTAAAAAGGATACGAAGTGGATGTTTGAGGAACAACTATCACAACTAGAGAGAGACCTGTTAAACTGTAATGTTGAAGTGATATGTAAAACGTATAAGATGTTATTGGAATGGGAGACAAAGGACTAACAAGTGAAATATTCAGTGATAGATATTGGTCATAACATAGAAATGGAAGCATAGGAACAATTATGGAATATGGATATAAAATTTACAGCATGTTATGGTTTAAGAGAAAATTATATGAAAATGTTATATAGATGATACCCAACACCTAGTAGATTGGCAAAAATGTATAAATCAAAATTGAATAAGTGTTGGAAATGTAAAGAGAAAGGAGGTATCTTTTCCATATGTGGTGGTCTTGCAATAAGGTTAAAGCTTACTGGGAAATGATATATAATGAATTGAAAAAGATGCTTAAGATTCATAAAAAAAACCCCCAGAAGCCTTTATCTTAGGAATGATGGAATCAGAACTACCTAAATAGAAATTTATTTATGTATGTGCCCATAGCTGCAAAAATGTTACTTGCCCAAAAATGGAAGGAAGAAGAGGTCCCAGTGATATAAGAATGGTTACTGAAACTAATGGAGTATGCTATGCAGAAATGGCAAAACTTACCGGAAGAATAAAAAATCAAGATAACCTTTTTAGAAAGGAAAAGAAATGGTTTTATTGAGTACAAATAAACTGTAAGCAGATCAAGATATTGGCAGGATTGTTATATATTTTTGAAACTGCAGGTTTTTATATGATATATATATGAGAATAGATGAATAAAATAAGACAATTTAGAGTATGAAGGAGAGGACAAAAATAAATGTAAAGAACTGAAGAAAGGGGAAGGGAGTTGGAGTCGGGTATGTTAAAATTATCATTGAATAATTGTAATGTATATAAATGAAAATTATAAATTATATAAAAAAAGAAAAGGTCCTTATACAGCCTCTTTCTGCACCTCCCACGGAGAGCATAATTAAATAAGAGCATTTGAAGATGACCTGAGGGTCTGGGTAGGTTCGTATGGGCAAAGAAACTCCATTAGTCAATGGGGTCCTGAGCCCCATAAAGCTTTATAGGTTAAAGCTAGCACCTTGAATTTGACCTGCAAAGTTGGTTGCTGCTAGTTTGTTGATTCCATGTCACAAGCACTCCAGGGGACAGATTGATACCTTCTGGGGAATAGTTAGTGCAGGTGCCGAACCAGTCCTGATGTGGAAGGAGAGCGTGGTCAATCCCCAAGGCTGGAGGGAATTATGGTTCAACAACACCTGGAGGGCCAGAGTTTGCCCACCCCTGACTTGATGCTTTCTGTTGCTGTTCCATGACAGCCAATCCTGTTGGATCACTACGGCAGAAGCCAAAGTACTACCTTTTGCCTCTGTTGAAAGGCGGAACTATTCTGTTTCTAGGGCAACCAAAACAGAAGGCAGCAGCAGAATGGAAAGCTGGCGAGCTGGTAACTGGGGGAGACCCAGTGGAGTATTAGTTAATTTTGTCTTTCCAGTCTGTTTAAGCTCTCTCTCTCTCTCTCTCTCTCTCTCTCTCTCTCTCTCCCACACACACACACACACACACACTGAGGCATTATCTTTTCTTTTTGTGTGCGCGCTGTGGTTTAAATTGCTTCATATGGAACATATGTGCCGCTACGTTTGCTTCATTAGCTGAGGCATGCAGATATTTGTGGTAATTGCCTTGCTGCAAAAGGCAATTTGGAATTTTTGTTGGAGTCTCTCTCTCTCTCTCTCTCTCTCTCTCTCTCTCTCTCTCAATTATTCTAGATCACTGGCAGTGTTATTAGAAGCAACCCCAGTGGCCAGACTTAGACATGGTTGTACCTTTGGTGAAAAGTCCTAGTGACACTCTCACACTGTTTCTTTATTTGTTTGTTTGTTTTCATGGTGCACAAATGAAAAGTGGCAGCAGGAAAATTATGCCCCTCTCTAACCTGGCTGCATGGCATTGCTTTGTGGTAAGGCTAGATCTGGATAGGCTTGTGTACAATCCCTTGTAGGTCTTTGTCACTCATAATCTGACAACAACACAGGATGAACTGTTTATAATATGACTGCAAGGGATAAATATATACACATGCTCAGAATAAACTGGAGTTTTTACATGGCCATTAAATGCCTATTTTTAATAAATTGATTGCCCCCCACAATTTAAAAGCTTGAAGCAAGTGGTGCTTTTGTTAATGCGCACAGGTTCAGTTTCAAGCCAGCTATTGCAGTTCTCTTAGTGCTGTTTTCATGTCCAGAACTATCCAGTATTCCTTTCCATCAATAATACACCTTTTTGACACCTGGAAAAATAAATTCTTCCACGGTCTATTCAGACAGCACAAAACAGTAGGTGAACATGGAAATCCTGTCACTAGTGAATTGCACATTCCCGGTGAAAACTGTTAGGATTCCTGCTCTGTATTTGCAGTCATGAGATTGTTGTCTTTCACATGACGGTGTATGTTTGCATTCCACAGTGTGGGAAGTGACGGAGACAGGATGTTTTAGTATTACTGTGTTCCGTGAAGTGGAACTATTGTCCTTTATTTTCTTTCTTTGCTGTCTGATGAGAAAGAGGAAGGAGCCAAGTCAGAATGCTCCAAGTGTATTGTATGTAAATAAAAGTAGATTAGCCAAAATGCTGTGCTACTGAGTTCTGTTATGCAAACTGCAAATACTCTGCGGATCCCTAAGTGTGCTGATGCTTCTTGGTATCAGTCGCTGTGATGTTCAGGTCGAAGAAAGCTTTTGAAGCTCCCGAACGAACAACCAGGAGGGAGAGAACATGCCAGTCGGGCATGTGTCTCTGCCAGGGTCCTACACGAGAGTAGGACACTCCTAACATCGTAGTTAGATGATAACCACATTTGGATATTATTTGGGTGCTTATTCAAAATACCATAGTTCCTCACCCTACAGAATTTCTGTTATTTTTTAGTTTGCTTATTGTATTGTTCTTAGGTCTCTTAACTGATTGTATCAGAAATCACATGCCTCTTTGGGAAAATACCTCATTTTGACAAAATATATTAAAATGTAAAATTTTGTTTTATTAAAGAAACAAAAATTAAAAATGTATCTAAGAGTCAGACCATGGGACAGAAAGGCAGGAAAAGCCCCCCCCCCCCCCAACATCTCTGCTTTAAAGTAATAGTGTCCACCTTAAGAATTCGTTAACATATTTTTGAAAGGCTTTCTGTCACCCTATTTAAGAATTAAAGTCAGCAGCAATGTGTGTTTTGTCTTTGCTTTCCTTCTGGCCATGTCTTGGCATGCTTATGTTGGCATTAGCAAAAGAGGCAGTTTAAAGTAAACATGTGCAACTAGCCTGGATAGCTCAGTTGGTTAGACCATGGTGCTGATAACACTCAAGGTTGCAGGTTCAATCCCTGTATGGACCAGCTGCATATTCCTGCATTGCAGGGGGTTGGACTAGATGATCCTCAGGGTCCCTTCCAACTCTACAGTTCTATGATTCTATTGATCTTCAAAGGAATACCATTCTCCATTTCGCCTTTTACCTCATATCAGCTGCCAAGGGTAATAAAAGTGAGGGTGTCTTAACCCATAGACTTAACTTTGAAAAATAAAAAAAAATGTTGTATGATGTGGTCTTACGCTGAATTGGATTACTGATACCACCCAGGCTAGTTCTGCTGACTTTGATCAGCAGCAGCAGCTCTCTGAAGTTCTGAGGGAGAGGTCTGTCCCAGCCCTCCTGCTGGAACTAGAGTACATGCTAGGGGATCCCTAGCTGGTGGGAGTTGTAGTCTAGCAACATCTAAAGGGTCACCGGTTCCGTTCCCTGGTCTACCTTATTGGTTAGTTAAGGTGCAGTTCAGTTAAAATTGCTTTCTTAATGGCAGACAGTATGGAATTTAAAGTGGGGTGCATCATATGCATTTCCTAATGATCCTACCTGACCCTTGACATCGGCCCCAGTAGGATCAGACAGGAGTGGATCAAGGGCAATACTTTATTTAGTGGTGGAACTCCTTTACTGGCAAGCTCCATCATCTTGCCTCCTCCTTGGCTACTTTTCAAAGGGCACTGAATACTTTCCTCTTTCACAAGGCCTTTTATGAAGAAATTCTGATTTCTGCACATGTGATTTTTCACTGTATGATTGCTGTGAACTGCTATGGAAGGATTTGTGTTTTGAAAGGCAAAAGAAATCAGTAATGTGGACCCCTCTCCTTCAATCTCTTACATTCTTTCTTTTACTTTGAAGTAAATGTATATTTCAGGAGCTGTTCAAAAGCAGCTTATTTAGCTAATTGTTCACAGCCTGCCTTGGAAGCTTCATTGTTTTCTTGCCGCTTTGGTAAGGACCATGTGACTAATGTCAAGTCTTCATGTGTCTCCTCGTGAATTGCTTGCCCTTTTCTTAGGCAAGAGGGCAGTGTTGAAAAAATAAATCCATTTCTTTTATCTCATTCGAGCCAGGCATTCTATTTGCCACCACTGTTCAAAACTTTGGCTTTTCCTTTGACTTTGAGCTCTTCCTCACCTTCTCATTCATTTCTTGTATCAAAGCATCTCTATTGCCAACTCCAAAGAATAGTTTCTGTATGGCAAACTTGGAAAGCCTTGTTTTCTTAAAACACATTGCTTGTCAAGGGGAAGCTTTTGCTTCCCAGCTTTTCTAAGCAGAAGCGATAATGGCTATCAGCTTGCAAAGTTCTACTATTGGGAGTTATAAATGGAATTCACCTTAGAAGTTTTAAATGCTCTTTGGAACTGCCTTCCCCTTCCCTCAAACAACTTCAGTTAAATTTGCTTTACTGCTAGAATGCCATATTACTTTTTCTAGTTAGCTGCATCGGAATATACAGATCAAAAGATCATGAAGTAAATATGAGTAGATGTTACCAGATGACTAGTTGTCTGAGTTAGAAACCACAAGTGTAGAAATCTGGGGCTGTGAGTGTTGTAGACGTATTCTCTTTAAAGCTGCAATACAACCATTACATTTTGTAGTGAATCTCAAACAAGAAACAAAACTTCATAAAGTAGGGGTAGCCAACACGATGTTTATGTATATATATTGAATTATGCATAATGAGAACAACATAATAAATAAATAACATAAACATAGAATAGTCAAAAAGCATTAGGAAATCCTCAGTATGCTACCCAAAACTTTCCTGTGTCCTGTTTGGTACTGCAAGCTTTTTGATTATTAATGCTTGAGGTCTTCAAGCCACAGGATTATGGGAATCCCATTCTGGGTCCTATGCAGGAGCACTGTGCTATATTCACTAACACCCTCCAGCTATGCCCTTCATAACTACCATTCTACAAATCTTGATCTAATACTTTCATTTATAGTCACTATAAGCATATTATTTATATTCACCATATTCACATTCCACAGTGTGTGTATATCTTATGTTCTTACTGATATTTATTTTAAAAGTGTATTACTCCCTGCTGGGATATGCAAAATACCGAGCTTTTGACTTTTGTGTTTTTTGCATTTGCTTTGGTGTGTTCATTGTGAATTGCAGCCTTGGTAGAGTTTTTATTTTTTATATTAAAAAAAATATAAGCACCCAGGTGTTGTAAGAGCTTTAGGAAATCAGTATCATCATTGCATTGGGAAATGAATAGGCCATCAAGAATTATAACAGTACTATGTGCTGAAGGATCTTGCTTTTATGAAAGGAAGGAGATACTTAATTGTATTAGAATATATTTTGCTATGTTCTGGGTATGAGTAGCGCTTCCTTCCCTTTATAGTTCTTAGTTTGGGGGGGAAATGTGGTACTTGTGGTCCTCCAGATATTGCTGGTGTATAACACACGCCATCCCTCACTGCTGACTCTGTCAGCTGAGGCTGATGGGAATCTGAATCTAACAACATACAAAGGTTCACAAGTTCCCCATCCTTAGGAATTTGTGGAGTAACATCTGAACAAAACATTCCTTCAGTTACTGTCCTTTGCTTCCTTGCCCCCTCCCCCCTATTTATGGAGGCACTTAATAACATCCAGGACTTGTGGAGCTTCCCAGCATGCTCAGTGGCAATTAGAATAACATTGGCATAGGGGGGGATAAACTTTCTGTGGTACAAGGCAGTATTAGGTCGGTAATTGCCTGTGCAGATGACACATCACTGTTCCAGAGATCACGAAGGAAGGTGGTGGTGGTGGGGGAGGTCAGATTCCATGTAATGAGGCTTTTCCTGCTGTGTTACTATAGCCCTATGACTATTCTTCCAGTTCTTCCCCTCCCCCTTGTAGTTTCAGTAATCTCTTCAAAATGCAATAAATTATTTGGACACACACACTCCGGTGATGATATTCATTTATATAGATTTATCACCTGCCCTGTTTAGTAGACTCACTGTTGAAACTAAAAGCATGAAACTCTAGCTGACTTGATACTTGATAACTCTAACTAAAAGCATCAAACTCTGCCGACTTGATACTAAACCATTAAAGCCAGAGCAACCTGGTTGAGTTTACGTTGCTTTTGAAATGTTCCCAGGCTTGTTAGTACTCAGGCCACTTCAAGGTCAAGTCTGAGGCACCAATGTCCAAAAACTTGCTGAAGGTAAGCAGGTTTGGGTCCTGTCAGTGCCTGAATGGGTGACCACCTGAGAACCACATGTATGCCACCTTGGGTTCTATGATAGAGGAAAGGAAGAATATAAAATTCAAGAAAATGAATCTTCTCACTGAAACTGCCAAACCATTTTCAAAGATCACTTGACCTACTTCAATTTGTCTTCAGTGTGCGCACACTTATTTCCCCCCACTTGGAAAATAGATTTCTGATAAGTTTATAGTTGTATCCAAAGGACACCTTTTCCTGTGTGAAACTGTCTGTCAGTTCAGATGTTCTGAGGTCCTTTTCCAGGTTCCTCCTTCCTCTTTCAGAGTCTAGGGAGGTGACTACTGGTAAAGAGTGCCCTGGCTGTGGAACGCCCTCCAGGTGCTCATTTGCTTGACCCTTTCATTATTATTGTTTAGGCACCATATCGTATGCTCTTGCCAAGGACATGTATCTCTGTTAACATCTGAACCTTACTTGTATGTGTTCAGGACCCTGAATGTTTGGGGAGAATTTTGCTCTGGTGCTAGGCTAATCTCGTTCCTCTGTTTTGCTGGAGGATAGGCTGCTGTGAGATCAGCAGACTTGGCATGGAAACTAGCATGTTTTACCAATTATATAGGAACACAATGTGGGTAACACTAGAGACTTTGGCTTGGTATCAGAGTGCCCTTGTAAGTTATCCAGGAGGAAGGAACAGACGACTCCAGAAGTTTTCCAAGGGGGTTTTGTGCATGAAGGTAGATAGAAAATAAATTGCAGATCTAATTATTTAAGGCTGTACCAAAGGAAAGGGGAAAGGAGAGAAAAGTGAGGGTGGCAGCAAGCTAAAAGCAATTGTGCACTGATGCTTCAGCGCTTGGGAGAAGAAGGAAGGGAATGTTGAAAGTTGATGAGAGAGGAGGATGGAGACTTAGAGTGAGAAGAAGAGGGATGTAGAAATAGTAATACTACCGTACTCTCTTTATGACCTGTTGGAGGATGAGAAAGTTGATAAATCCTCATTTTCAAGGCTTTGTTGAACAGAGATGGTGGCATTTGACACCCAGACCAGGGCTTCTAAAAGAATAATGGGCAGGCTAGCACCCTGTCGGACCATATTTAAGGAGTAGACACAGTCCAGAAAAGGAAAGTACATCATAAACAAGGGTTCAGATCTACAGGCAGGCAGAGAGAGAAACAGCTGTAGGCAATGTGGATGCCAAACTGGATTCTCTTGAACTAAAAAGAACAAAGACTAGAGCAGCTATAGAAAACAAAAACTAGGGTGGCTGCTGAAGGGGGAATTTTCTGGAGAACAAAAGGGCTTTTCTGGATAGAGCTGCTCTAATCTGGATGGGTGTTGATATTGACCTGGAAAGTCAAAGGATTACTCAGAGCTCTCAGTTGCCAATGGCAAGCAAATTGTTTTCCCGATTTCAGTAGGCGCTGGGGGAACCTTGGCTTCTGTGAGTCTAAGAAGCTCCTTAGATTTTTTTTTGGTGGGGGGAGGGCCAGGATCCTTTCTTGCTCATGTCAAAAGAGGTTGGCAACTGGTCCTGCAAACACACCCTGTTCTTGCCAGTTGACTGTCATAGACGAAGGCTTTTAATACAGAATGAGAAATGTAGGAGACAAAATGGAGGCAAGCTAATGTTCTCTGGCAACAGTGCAGTCTTACCTTGTCCGCCTGTGCTATAACTGCACTTAGCAGGCATCAGCTTTGGCTGCTTTTATTTGTAATTGTACTGCTGGTTTTTATTTTCATTTTAAGCACTGCAGTTGAGTGTTTATTATGCTGCTTGTTTTATAAGCCAAGTTGTTTTAGAGAAGAATGGTAGGGCAATAGAGTGATTAAATCAACTAGGTGCTAAAATTCAAAACATTAAAATACTTTTATATTGCCATACTTAAAAGACTAAACAGTAGATAATTAAGTCTTCCAATCTATTTGTAAATTCTCAGCTAGGCTTCTTCTGCAAAATCTCCTGTGATGCTAGGTCTTTGAGGCTTATTAAGTTGCAAAGTGGAACTTTGGCTAACTCAAAGAAAAGGGTTCTTTGTACTTTAGAGCACAGTTTGTCATGCAGTTCACATCATTTGCATGTGAAGTGAGAACTCCATTTCTAATCTATTTTCACAGAAAATGTTGAACCCAGTGTTTAATGGGTCATATCTCTGAGCAGAATGTTAGGAACAAATTAAGGGAGGGCAGGGAATAACATTTATTTGATAAGATCAGTTTGGGGCCATTTTCCCTTATACAGTCATACCTCGGGTTAAATATGCTTCAGGTTGAGCGTTTTCAGGTTGCGTTCTGCGGCGACCCGGAAGTAACGGAATGGGTTACTTCTGGGTTTCGCTGCTCGGGCATGCGCAGACGCTCAAAATGACATCACGCTCATGCGCAGAAGTGGCAAATCGCAACCCGTGCAGAGGCGGGTTGCGTTCTGCTCAGAATGCGAACGGGGCTCTGGAACGGATCCCATTTGCATCCAGAGGTACCACTGTAAGTGATAAGGGGACTTCTCTGCATTCTCTACTAGGCAATATGTCATGGATAACAGCATTGTTGGGGGGGGGAGGGGGTGTCCATTTAAAAAAAAATTCTTACTGTGCAGGAGCTAACTTCTTGGGTATGTTTTGTTTCCATTGCAGGTTGCATTTTTGAAGATGTGAAGGAACCTGGTCTGATACTTTTGAAAATAAATTCCTGTCAAGATAACCTTCAGCTACAAAGAACTGTGGATCTAAGTTACCAAGTGAGGATGTCCCCCCCCCCCCTGAAAGTGATTGTGAAGTTCCTAAGCCAAAGGAAAAAAGCAGTTAATTGTATATTTAACTTGCTGTTTGTTGACTTTGGAGTTTTGAGAAGTTCAAAGAATGTGATGGAGGCAAGTCAGTCAAGCAGAGAGGCCAATTTTTGCGAGGCTTGAGTTCAGAGAGGAGCTTAATTTGGGATGTCTGGAGTCTTTGAGATCGCTTGTGAAGAACTACTAATTCTCCAAGGAGAAGTCAATTATCTTCTGCAGCAACTGAAGCTTTAAAAAAAATAAAAATAAAGGAACACACAGTAGCTGACTTGCCCTTCTAGGAAACAAAATCTTCAGAGCTTTGTGAGCCCTTGACCTAATGGAATGTGAGTGGGAAAGGGAGTGACAGAGGGTGGGGGAAGAAGGTTTGACTGCCCGCTATTTGTGGCTCAGATTCTCCTCAAGGGAATCTCACCCTCAGCAGAAAAGTGGTTTTCAATCCCTGCTTTTATGATAAAAAATATTTTTGGTAAATTGTGAACCCCAATTGCCAAGAAAAGCCTAAAAGTTTTTAGATTTAACAGCAGATTATTCCAAGGTAACGTTAATAATAATAATAATTTATTATTTATACCCCGCCCATCTGGCTGAGTTTCCCTAACCACTCTGGGTGGCTTCCAATCAAGTGTTAAAAACAATACAGCATTAAATATTAAAAACTTCCCTAAACAGGGCTGCCTTCAGATGTCTTTTAAAGAGAAGATAGCTGCTTATTTCCTTCACATCTGAAGGGAGGGCGTTCCACAGGGCGGGTGCCACTACTGAGAAGGCCCTCTGTCTGGTTCCCTGCAACCTCACTTCTCGCAATGAGGGAACCGCCAGAAGGCCCTCAGCGCTGGATCTCAGTGTCCAGGCTGAATGATGGGGGTGGAAACGCTCCTTCAGGTATACTGGACTGAGGCCAATTAGGGCTTTAAAGGTCAGCACCAACACTTTGAATTGTGCTTGGAAACGTACTGAGAGCCAATGCCGATCTCTCAGGACCGGTGTTATGTGGTCCCGGTGTAGCACATTGCAGTAGTCCAAGCAGGAGATAACTAGAGCATGCACCACTCTGGCAAGACAGCCCGCGGGCAGGTAGGGTATCAGCCTGAGTACCAGGTGGAGCTGGTAGACATCCGCCCTGGACACAGAATTAACCTGCACCTCCATGGACAGCTGTGAGTCCAAAATGACTCCCAGGCTGCGCACCTGGTCCTTCAGGGGCACAGTTACCCCATTCAGGACCAGGGAGTCCCCCACCCCCGCCCACCCCCTGTGCCCCAAAAACAGTACTTCTGTCTTGTCAGGATTCAACCTCAATCTGTTAGCCACCATCCATCCTCCAACCGCCTCCAGGCACTCACACAGGACCACGTTGGTTAAGGGCTGGTTGGTTTACACCACTTGATTTCTGCGATTAATGTGTGAACTGTCTGCATTTAAAAAAGCATTGAGTCTGAGATGATATTGAAGTGATGGAGCCAGGACAGTGTGTCATGTGCTGGATCAACAGCAAATGTTCAGGGTGCTGGGTTGCAGAAAGCATCAGTGGGACTTAGTTACCGGTACTCACAGAAACATACTTGCTGCAAAGAGAGGCTGACGCGCCACAGGGCTGATGTGTGATGTATTAGAGACCACCATATTAATAAGTGCCCAAACTACCTAAGGCTGCCCTTGTTTGCAAATTTGAATGGTTTTCTCCCTTTCAGCTAAATGGGAACACAAGGCCATGTCTGCAGAAAGGTTGCAGTGTATTTTGTGCCTCGAAAGCGCAAGGTATAATGTATTACAGAGCACTCCAGTGCACCTCCTGAAGGCAAGCAGACCCCCCAGGAGCAGCACCGTATCAGGGGTTGTGCTTCATGGCTTCTCTGTCTCAGTTGCACATGGGTCCAGCTGTAGTGTGGAATGCATGACTGATTGCTCATGAAAGCAGTGTGTAATTGACCCATGTAAAAGTTCCAGTGCACACAAACAGATGCAAATCAGTGTGCATCCTTATCATCAACAAAGTTCCCAAGTAGCCATTCCCAATAATTTTCTGTAAATGTGCAAAGGACTACAACATACATCACACTATTAAGATGGCATTTTTCATGTACAAAATTGTGTCCTGACACTTGGCAGAGAATTCCATGGGAACTTTTTTTTTTTTTAAGTTTTACTTTATTTTAGCCCAGCACAAAGGTGAGCGTACACAGCAATTCCATTGCACGGCTTGTGCAGGCTGTTTTCTCAGATTACCAGACTTGCCCTTTAATAGACTTTGATTTATGTGGTCCTAATAAGAGCGGAGCAGGCAAAGGCCTTTATTTGAGCATTGAAAAGAAAGCAGATATGGGACAATTTACAGCTTGCGCTTAGCTGCAAAAAAGGTCTTTTGCCAAATGACTGAGGAAATATATTTCAGGCTGATGAAAAGCCACTAAATCTGGAGAGCTTTAAAAAATAAATGGCATGTTAAAGGGGAAACTTGAGCTGCTGTTGTAGCTCATCCTTACTAATTATTAAAATCCTATTTTGAAGCTGTGATTTACAAACATAGTTTGACTGTTGTGAGTTCTCTTCAGTTTGTGAAGAAAAAAATGTCAATTCCCATCCTGCAAATGGATATGTAGAAGACCTGGAATTTTTGCAACCCTCTGCTTACTCTGCCAAAGAAGTAATGGGGAATCTAATTTGTCATCACTCATGAAGCAAGAGGACGTCTCAAAATGATGCTCAATGTAAAAATAAATTTGCTATTTTTCTTGAAGGAAATAAATGATTGACCATTGTCAGAAATTCTTTAGATCTCCCACAAGATCTCTCAAAAATAATGAGAAGCTTGTTTGCAAAGATAATAATTTTGCATGGGCAATATACAACAATACAAGGCAGTTTAAACCTTATAAGAGAGGTGCCATAATTTGCAAGATGTTTCATATCTATAGTTTATACCTATTACATTATTACAGCAATGGGAGAAACCATAATTACTTAACTCTGCTTTGGCATCTCGGTAATGGTTTCCTGTTTGTGGAATGCCTTCCCTGGTGACATGTGTATGTCTTCATTAACTTTCAAGAAAAACTTAAAAACATTTCTATTCGCTCAGGCATTTAGTGGCTAAAAGATACTGTTCCTGGAAACCTTGAAATTATTAGCTATGAGGGTATGTTTTAAAATGTTTAAATTGTTTTTAAATAATTGTATTTAAATAACATTCTTACCTTATTTTTAATAGCACAGTTTTACTGCTTTGTATCTGCTGCCCTTGGCTCCTTTGGGAGAAGGGATGGGATGGAAATTTAATAAATAAAACTCTTCTCCTTCCTCCAACCTTGGTTCCTGTCTTGAGGGAGGTACACAAATTGCTGCCCCCTCCCCCTGGCTCCACCTTGGGGGCCCTGCCTCTGCCACACACTCCTTGGAACCATGCCAGTCCCTGACAGGTGCCTTATTATTAAAAATTATCACCATCTCCCCTGGGTGGTTACTATTTCCTCATTATTATTATTTTTCATTTTTGAAAAGGAAAGGTTTTTCAGAATTGCTTCCCTTCATTGTTCTCTCTATTTGTCAAAAAGCTGCTTCAGGAACTCTATACCCAAAGGCATTGAGGAACTTGAAGCTGTTTGGCCAGGGCTTCCACATGAGAAGGTTACAGTGAAAAATGATTCCCGTCAAACGAAAACTGATTTGGCATCATTAAATATGGGCAAGGTGGTTCACGTTGTGCAGGCAGTCAGCCACATGTCGGTGCGCCCATAACTTTCAGAGCAGTTACCTGGCAGAAACATCCCTGGACTCTCATCTGCGAACACTTGTTTCCTGTCAAATTATATCCAAATATGCTCTGTTGCATTGACAGTTCTGTCTTTTTATTTTTGGCCCTCCATCTCCTTGTGCCAAAATCTCTCCTTAAGCCTTAAGTGAATTTTTGAATCTTTTTCAGTCTTTTATTTTCCCCAGACCAATGTTAATGTGATGCAGTTTTTTAAGTTGCCAAATGACTGCTAGAAGATAGTATGTCCCAGTTCCAAACATGCCTGTTTAGGGTTGAAGCTTTGTTTATTAAGGATTCACAGTGATTATATACAGCAGACCCTTCTCCAAAGGAAATTATTCTGTGCTAAAGATCTTGGCACTTTTTATTTTAAAGCAACCTAAATCCCTCTATCTTCTTTTTTTAATGCTGAATTTTAATCCTGATAATTCCAAATTCTCTCAAAATAGACAGCTCTCCCGAGTTTTTGCGCATACATTGACCTTTGAGACGATCAATAATGGTTTCTTCTGTTACTAGTCGCAAGGGGATTACCTGGTATTTAAAACAAATGGAGAGGTGTAAACCAGTCTAGTTTTACTTAATTTTAAGTGTTGTTTCCAATAGTGTCTCAAGATTAAAAACAAATAATTGATGAATAAGTAAATATGATGGTTTAAAATGTGTTACTTCATTGAATCAATCTGTACGCACATCCTTGAGAAGCTGTGCAGGTATGACTTTAACTGGACTGAACTAGTGCAGAGATGCAATGGAATGCAATTGTTAAGGTTGGACTGTGACATTGACAGGCAATAAAAGATCCAGGTGGCTGCAGGCAAACCAATTCAATAGGACTTGGATTTAGAGTTTAAACATTTTGTAGGGCAAGACAAAGTCATCCTAACCTGTGGTGACTGCTTGATTAATGCTGTAAGTTCAAAAAGAAGAGAGAAGAAATGAGTTAAGAAAAGCAATCTGTTATGCATATTGCTTAACCAGGTAAGTGGAGCTAAAGAAAATGTAGGGTTCTGTTGTTTTTGTTTGTTGAGCAATAATTCATTTCCAGTGGTTTTGTACCAGGGATAAAAAAGCAGGTGATGGATAAAATTTTCCTCCCTCCTACATAATCATGCCCCAGTTTCAGAATTAATGCTTTTGGTAAGCGCTTACTAATAACACTGAGCAACACCAGGCACTGTCTAGAAAGTAGGATACAAAGACACCAAAACCAGGAAGCATCCAGGGATGACGTGCAAAAAAGGGAAATGAATCTAAACAATTGTTAAACTTTTTTGTGTGTGGTTGAACATCTTAGAATGTAAATAATGTAATAAAAATTCTAGTGAGTCCCCTGGTAAATAAAGTTCAGGCAGCCGTGTTCGCCATGAAATATTTAAAAGTACAGGTTGAGGTGGTCCTCCCACATGATTTTGCCATACAAGTTGTTTTCAACAACAGAAACTTTTAGATTGGTTAAGAAACGAAGAAGTGCGTACGGTCTTTGAACTTAGCTTTATTATTATTTTTTAATTTGCATGTGTTATGGCTGTTTCTAGTTTAAAATAGGTTTTATCATGAGATATCTGACCTGTTAGAATGTGTATTTTAATAAATTAAAGTTTTTATACTTTTTACGTGTGAACAATTGTTATTATCTTTTTAGAGACATGACAAAGGCATTTTTGGCTGAATCATGTAGGGCACATTGTATAAATAAATAATCCGTCCCTTCTTTCTTCCTTTGGTTATCTGTGAGATTCATTTCTCCTTTTTACTCTGTCTAAAAACTGTATTTTCTGAAATGCACTCTCAAATAACTCCACCCATTCATCTGAAACATTTTGCCTGGAATGACTTCTCAGGATATTTTCATAATGCTGCTTCTCTCTCCACCTCAAAACCCACCATAAAGTTATTGGCACAGCCCGTTACTGTACTTATCCCCTGTTGAAACTACACACCTAAGTACATATGACTGAACTGAACATACTGTACATTCCTTCCCCTTTGTACCTTAATTCCTTCTCTTTGTCAAATCATAGACCAGGAAAATACACATGGTTGGACTCCCATCAACTCCAGCCAGCATGGCCAAGATTCATGAAAGGCACCATGTTGACTACCTATGCCTTAGACTATAAATTACTTGTGGAAGGGGCATGTCATCTTGCTGTTTAGTCTGCAAAATGTCATACACACAAATGGGGCTATATGGGGGCAGCTGGAGCTCAGTGGTGGAGCACATACTTCTCATACTGAAGGTCACAGATAAAATCCCTTCATAGACCCTCGAGAGCTTCTGCCAGTCAGCATAGTAGAGAATGCTGAACTTAGGGGATCAACTGTATAAGACAGTGACTCCTATATGGACCCAACAATAAACGCAGAAGCCCTGTGTACCTTGATGTCAGCAAAGCATTTCTAAACAATAAATACTTTTTGTTTGAGATCACCTAACTAAAATACGGACATTTGCAATATCCACTGTTATTGTCTATGTTCTTGAATTTGCTGCCTTTTCATTCTGTGTGATAGACACATCTGTGCCAGTCACAAGACTCCATATTCCTGTACCAGCTGGATCCTCATCCGATGAAATATACTACCTTACAAATTTTGTATTATTCCTACAGACTAATACAGTGATAAATTTTTATATGATCTTGAAAAGGAGAGCAGATTTGCAAAGCAAAACATTCCTATTCAACCAGATCTTTGGCTGATTAATATTGAGCCTTTTAAATGTATTTGTGTAATGTTTTGTTGCCTTTGTTTTGACTATTTGTTCTTTTATCTTGTGGTTTTATCTTGTGAACTGCCCTGAGATTTTTTGATGAAGGGCAGTATAAGAAAGAAAGAAAGAAAGAAACTTTAAAGTTAATTCAGTACTGGATAACTCCTGAGTTCAGGCTGAAACAGACCAATTTGTCTTTTACAGGGGGAGTACATTGAACTGTGAATTCTGATTATTCAAGCATCTGCACACAGCCGTAGGGATTTCTTTTTTTTAATTAAGAAATGCAGCCTGCAATAATCTTCTATGAGTACCGGTGAGTCGCATTTAACTCTAAAGTCATTAGGTATGTTAAAATACCATATACAGAGAGAATCTTGTCTCAGAATGCACCAACACTGAATTCCTGTTTTTGATACTTATGTTTGTGATATGGTGTGCGATTGTTGTTCTAAACAGATTGTGCATGGAGAAGCATCTTAAAGAAATATACAACCAAAAAAAAAATGATGCCAGATGCTATATGACAACTTTTACAGGATTCAAAAAGGAAGAATGGGCTAGGACTGTCACTGCTCTTAAAACAAAAAGACAGGATCTCCAGGTGGTGACCTGTCAACCCATGACAGAAGAAAGCCAGTTTATTTTATGGTTTATCAGTCTCCTTGTGCAATAAGCCTCTGGCTACATATACCGGTATATATATTTAAAGGAGTTATGGTACCCAAAATACAGCAAAATGCAAATGAAATGTGAGATTTTTATCCCCATTTGTATTGTAATGTGGGGAACTAAGCTCTTCAAATTGGCAGTTTTCAGCACAATATCACTTAACTCTATTGCACACATGCCAACTTCTATATCTTCTCAGAGCTGGCAGGAGAGATAAGGTACAAATCAGATGTACATTATAGATGTGTCAAATCCACACTGATGGCAACTGCAGAAATTTGCTAGGTACAAGACCCCCTCCCCCACCAATTTGCCATAACAGAAAATCACAAGGCCAATCACTATTGGAAGTCTATTAATTCAGGCTGTTTTCTCAGAAGAACCATGACAGTGGTGGTGCCCTAAGCCAAGCAGAAAGGATGTGTGAAGTCCAAACAAACACAATGAACCACCTGATCTTTCCTGATTTACTAGAAGTTGCTCAGGGGGCCCTGTATGGGCTCTGTCTGTAAATATACGGTGCAGGCTCCACAACTGAGAATGTGCTTCCAAGGAGACTCCTCCCCCCTTCCCACACACATCAGCTCCTGGTAGTCTCTACGCCAGGCTTCCTCAGACTCAGCCCTCCAGATGTTTTTTTGTTGTTGTTTTTTTAAAAATGATATTTATTGAAAAAATTTTAGAATTACAAAAAAAAAACGAAGTAGAAAAAGAGAAAGAAAAAACAGACCACATCAAACAATACAAATTAATAAAAATCAAAATCAAAAAATAGCACAACACGATCAAAAGACAAAAATATACCACAAACATTTAAAAACAAATCCAATATTCTCAAATCCTTAACTGTCATTACCTTCTTTCTTTGACCTCCTCCTCCTCCCTTTTTTTTGTATCCTAGTTGTTAATTGTCGCAGCAAATCCTTTCCATATTTCATAATATTCTGTCATTACATTTCCTTAATCTATTTTAATCTTATCTTACTATAAAAAACCTTACAGCTTAAAACTTAAATCTTATTTTTACCAATTTCTCATAACCATAATATTCTTACATAATTCTTTAAACATTTTTGCTAAAGCCAAATAATTTCGTTCCAACATTTTTCTAACATTCATCAATTTTATAAAACAATCCTAATAAATAAATTTAAATACAATGCAATCTTCTTCCAGCGTCTCTTCCTCCTGGTCCTGGGTTTTGTCAGTCCTTTTTATCCCATCAATCTTGCGCATTAACCTGGTAATCTTATATCCGAGGCCCTTAAGTCCCTTCCATGTCCCTTCCGCGGCTCTTCTTCATATTTATAGCTGTATTTTCCTTTGTCTCCTGCTCCTTTCACTCGTGGGAACTCAAGCTTAACAATATTTTTGACCCTTCTCGACAAATCAGCCCCTTTTCCATAGTCCACACTAAACTCCATGTGGTATTTAAGAACATGTTTCAGAGTCCCTCCAAAATTAAGAGCCCCCACAACCCCAAACATCTCACGGCCCATTGCCAGACTTGAAAAGTCCAAACATCCCTGCATAGGGGGGTCTATCCAGCCCCCCATTTCCAAACCAAACCAAACTTTATCTTTCCAAATCTGGCTT